ACATGATGTATTGGTCAAGGCATATGGTATATTGGAGGTCAAGAATGACTGCCTCCCAAAGCACATGAAGCTGGGTCTAAGTCATAGGGTGAGTGAATAAGGTGCTAGAGATGAAGTTGCTGGCTGAAGAGAGAGAGGACAATATAGAGGAGGCAGAGGAAGATACTAAAGAGGGTAACATGTTCAATGATGGTGGTAGTGATCATAAAACTGGGGAATCAGTTCATTGCTTTCATCCTCTTCTTATACTCCTTAAGGACCTCCACTGCTGATCTCAATTTCAATTTAGGCAACCACATTCATTCTGAGTCAGGATACCCTACCTAAGTCACTAGGTACCAGTGGCATGAGCTGGTTCCTTTGTGTTGGACAATCTGTTCTATTCTGTAGTGCTCCTTCTTATCGATAAGATCTGGGAGAGGTTCAGAATAGTTTGGTCCATGCACTTCCATCTCCTGATAGGAGAAAAGTTCTGAGGCATGAAACATGAGGTGAACCTTCCAAGCTGCCAGTAGCTTGAGCTTGAAGGTGATTGGTGATAGGACCTCAATGATTACAAAGGATCTGTATCTTTTTGGTGTGAGTTTCTTCAAGGGGAGTCCAGTGATGACATGTGTGGCTGACAGCCAAACTTTACTGCCTCGTTTCCATAGCTGATACTTCTGCCCATGGGATCATTCTACCATCCATTGCTGTGCAAGGGAGTGGCATGCAAGTGCTTCTTCGTGAATTTTCTAGAGGAATTGGACTTGGTCATCTGCTGCTAGGATAGCTGGGTCAGGGAATGCATAGGGAATGCTTCAGGGCTCATAGCCCATCATCAGGAAGAAAGGGGACATATCACAGGTGCTGTGCTTCCTAGAATTATGTACAAATTCTGCCATTTCTAGGCATTAGGCCCATTCTGTGGGTGTTGTTCTACAATAGATATGGAGGTAGGTTTCTAGCTCTTGGTTCATTCATTCAGTCTGGCCATCTGTCTGAGGATGATAGGTGGTGGATAAGGTGACTTGGTACTCCAGGAGTTGCCCTAATTCTTTGGTGAGTCATGAGGCAAACTGTGAGCCTTGATCAGAGATAATTTTATCATATAATCCAAATCTCCTATAGACATGCTTTAGGAAAAGTTCAGCTACTCCTTCTGTGGAGATTGTTTTGTTGCAAGGGGTGAGAATTACCCCCTTCATGAGACTATGGTCTACCACAACCATGACAGAATTGTAGTCCCCCAACACAGGGAGGCCCATGATCAAATCAATGGACACCTGAGAGAATGGCCACATGGTGGAGGACAGGATCAGCATCAAGGGAGGTATCATTGGGTGTGTGTTCACCTTCATCTGCTGGCATATGGCACAGACATCAACATACTTCTGTACATAGGTACCCATACCAGTAAAGGTAAGGACTATGAACTATGAGAGAAACAGACTACTACTAGGGGAACTCTACAGCAAGACCTGGATATGAGACAGAACTCGACCCAAAGGACAGCTACTGAGAGAGAGTCCTCAAAATGACTGAGGGAGACTCTGAAACCAAATGGGTGCTAGAGGATGCATGAATGCTGGAAGAAGCGCGATCAAGATGCACGTGAAAGCATGCTGGGGTGATAGAAAGTAAGAGTGCGCACATGGAAACACAGCACATGCAATAGGGGTCTAAAGTGTAGAGGCAAGGGCTATCTGGAAACTAAATCCAGTGAAGGAGGAATTGAGCTGGTGTGAAGTGGTCGTGTCTAGGCAGGTAGTGTGCGAATTCAGACTTTTGGAGCTTTTAACTTGCTCTAATGCACAAACTACTGCTAATACACAGAGATGGGGAGTGCTAGGATAAAAAATCCTCTAAAAACTATAAGTCTCTTCTCTATATTGAGCACTAGGTGATGCTTGTAGTATGGGAGTAAAGCAAGTAGGTAGTGATATCTGTATGTAATGGCATCTAAGCACACACATGTGCACTTACAGTGCTGTAATCAGTCTGGAAGATACATCAGAGTGATAAGAATATAATAAAAACACACCAGTGGACTTTAGTGAGGACATGGATGGGTGGACAGACTGTAGTGGAGGACCTAGAGTGGGTGTGCAGGACATGCAAGTGCATTTGCATACTCATGGCAGTTGCATAATAGCATGAGTGACTTATCCTGAGGATCAGAGCTGGAGTATGCATAGGAAGGGGTGGTGCATCGTCCTATAATGACCATATAGAGGTGTGAGTCTCTACACTGGGCCACCAGTAAGATTTCTTCATATTCCACTCAGTAATAGAACAGCTAGGGTGTCCCACGGTAGAATGGTCATGATGGAGGGAAAATATATGATGCTGGAGGTTGGAGGGGATGTAGGCTCAATCCTTATAAAACAGTATTCCATCTGTAAACTTCCAATCCAAAAGTGTAGACTTCATTGCTGGTGCACAAACACCATTCAGCGCATCAAGTACAGTTTTGATCATTAGATCATCAGAGTCAGTCGAGAGCTGCTGGAATTCTGCAGCAAGCTCTGAGTCAATCAGTTTCACAGACAGTGAATCTGGGAGGAGCACAAGATCCTCATTATCTTTATCGGCAGATATATGGTCAGGTTGATGCAAAAGGGCATCAGGGACAGTGAGCTTGCTTCCAGGCATGTGGTAGAAAGCAAGGTCAAAATTGCAAAGGGTGAGCTGCCAGTGAGCCTGGCAGTATGTAAGCTTCTGAGTGGACCTGAAATATAAGAGGTTCTCATGATCTGTGAATATGATCATGGGATGAAAATTCCCTTCAAGGAAATGGTGCCATTCCTTCAAGGTATGTATGATGGTAAGTAATTCTCAGTCATAGATCTGGTAATTGTGTTCTACAGGGTTCAATGATTGTGAAAGGTACCCACATGGGTGATAAGCCCTGTTCTTATCTGTTTGCAGGAGGATAGCTCCTGTTGCATGGAGGGACACATCAGTGGCAAGCGTAAATTGGTGCATCACATCTGGGTTCCACAGAACTGGTTCAGAGAGGAAGCATTCTTTCAGTTTCAGGAATGCTGCCTTGCAAGAGTCATTCCATGAGAAAGATATATCTTTCTTTATAAGATCAAGGAGGGGGCATGCCATATTGGAGTAATGAGAGATGATATGTTGATAGAAGTTGCAGAAACTGAGGAATGATCAGACATCCTTGACAGAGGATGGGGTCTGCTATTCACTGATACCCTTTAGTTTGGCAGGGTCCATAGTGACTTGGCCAGGGCAGATGATCATCCCAAGGTACTCAATCTCCTTTGCATTGAAGGTATACTTCTTAGGCTTAAGAAAGAGTGATTCTTTCCTAAGCTTTTCCAACATGTGCTGTGTTCATTCTTAGTGCTCTGTGAGCATCTTCAAGAAGATCAGGATATCATCCATATAAATGATCAGCCATCCTTTGCTAATCTCCTTATCAAAGGTCTGGTTATCAAGTTGGTGCAAGCCCCAATCTAAGTTCTATATTACTCACTTGCTGTTAAGAACCATGCTCAAGGGGAGAGGGGCTGATTCAGAGGAGCTTGGCCTCAGCTCATATGATGTGCCCCTTACCTGAGTATATGCCCTTCATTTCAGATGAAGTCTGATATTGGTCTAATGAAATCCAAAGGACTTCCAGAGGAGTACAGGAAATGCTCAGAAGAGTTCCTACTGCATAGGAGGTAAAGAGACCCCAAGGCAATACCTCTAGAGGAAACAAGATAGAGGGATAGGAGGTCCAGAGGTCCAGAAGGAATAGGGGCTACATTAGACAAAGTCCAATGTAGAAACAAACAGAGGTAGACTACACATAGATAGAGTTAGAGAGACAGGAAGTGGACCAAAGTCTAGAGAGAGGGTAAGTGCCAGAAAGGCAAGACTCTAGCCCAGGGAAACAATCCCTAGACTTGGGACAGAGACATAGGGGACAAATCCAAAGGTCTGGATTTCTAGCCTAGGGAATCTATCCCTAGGCCTTATGGAAAAGGACAAGACTCAGATGGACTAAAGTCTGGAAGATGCGAGAGCAGATGAAAACAGATCTAAGATGATATTCTGACTGAGGACTTTACAGAAGTTGTACAGGGGTTATATACATAATAATGTTTTGCAATTACAAATTATATCTGATCATATTAACTTCAGGTTAATTTTGTGATACAAAGGTAGGTAAAATGATGGCAAATGAAAAACACAGGATGAGAATGGACAGGAGGTGGACAAAGTCATTGGTAGATATATGTCATGGATGTGAGAAGCACATGAATGATCAACATGGTGAGACAATGTGAAAGTGAATGTACTACTCAGTACACCCTGTGGTATCTCATATGTTGTCTGAGATTGAAGGATAAATGGCTCACACCAGGTGTCAAGGAAGCCCCCTGTTTCAGATATGTTATGGAGATAAAATTTGTAAACCATTCATTTATGAAAGAGGGAAGAGTATACTGCCCATTGGTACAGAGAGAAGGAGAGTGACATTACAGATTTAGTGCAAAATCTTGGAGTAAAAGGTTCATTCAGATGGAAGGCAAAAGCAAGTGGCACAGGAATGAATATGAGATAGATCAGTGCACCAGAATAAGGTAGACCAATCCAACTCATTCAGTCATGGAGAGGACAATTTGGTTTGGAGGCCAAAGCAAGTGGGACAAAGAAAGGTAGTTCTGGCCATCAGCAGGAGGACCAAGGTAGTGAGATGTATCATAACAATGAGTTCAGCATTGGAAGTCCAAAATCAGAGCTTATTGCATGCACATATTCTGAGTGTGTAGAGTGGTAATTTTTTCTGACAGATAGGAAGATATTTGAGGTCAACAAAGCCCTCCCCTACTAGGCAAAAGTACAGGTAGCCCATGGGTATTCTGTGCTGTACCTGCACCCATACCCATGCAAAACTATACCCATTACCCATGTTATTGGATATGGGTTTGGGTACATGTCCATGGGGATTGGGGTGTACTATGGTTATGCATCCAAATTTCATATATGTATACTGCTAGCAATATGAACTACAATTGAATCAAATTCCATCTGTTGTCAAGCTTATTCTCTTCACCAACTACCTCAGGCATCACAGCAACAGCCATAACATCTTGGTCTTTGACCAACCCTAAAAGACTCCATGAACCTAAGCAAAGTAATACATGAACAGACTGGGCAGATAGGTGACTGCAGACATGAGACAACAAGAGGTAGCCACAGCCAAAAATTCACTCCACATCAACTGATATCACTACATATACAAATGAGTGAGATAAATTGCTGACAGACACAGGGCTAATAAAAAAACTCACCTGGAATTGACAGATAATCTAAGGCCATTCAGAAGAGTTGGGGATACATTGCCTTCCATTTGGTCCACCAAGCTAAGATGTCCACAACATATTCTAGATCTGTGCTGAAGTATGAATCAAGCTCATCACAGAGCTCTGACTGCTTGGGTGCTGCTAAAGCTGGAAATTTGTCAAAGATGTTACAAGCTTTTTGCTGGTAAACAAATGGTGAGAAAATAGTAAAGTTGGACAAGATAATACATACTGCTGATATTTCTAGCATTTCATCCTCATCCACAGCATCATCCACTGGGTCAGCCTTGTTAGTGCTTGTATAAGAATGCTCAAACTCCTCATGAACAATACCCTCAGCAGCTTGAATCCATTCAGCCCCTATCTGGCCTCCTTGAAATATGATAGTTTATATTAAGGGTGCAACTAAAAGCATCAGCATCAGTAAAGTAGACACTTGTAACATAATGACAGAAACAAGGTGAGTACTTCATTTCATTACAAGCAGAAAACAACTTCAACATTTACAAGGACAAATCAAGTAGGTCCAACACTGTTTCACTGTAGGGATTTCATTACTGTGGGCTTGTATAGGCAGATATTACTTAGTGTTATGTTCGCACTTTTGGTGCTTATGTAATCATCATAGTTTTCACCACCTACCAGTACCAGTCTGAGACTGAGAGTTATTAGCATGATTTCCTATCCTCTCTGAGCACTGAGCTTAGTCCAGAAACCCTTTAGGGTTGAATAGCAGCTAGGCATAGCACATTTGACCCAACTTTATAAGGCTACTTTCCAGTTCTCTTCTTATTATGTTTCTCATAATGTCTCCAATCCAAAGTTCATTTGCAAGTGAATATAGTGGGATCTTTTTGGCACAAAGATCCTGATAACAATCAGCACATATTGCTCCCCACTGTCTGTCATCAGATTGAGCTATTGCAGGTTCATGTAATAGCATACCATGGACTAGAGACTGTGTGCGATGTCGAAAGGTGGGAGTAAGTAGATGTTGATTTGGTAGTTCATTGATATAGATGCCCTGCATATCATTAATAAACTGTTCTCTGGCACAAGAAAGACAGCTAGATTGACGAGTGTGCATATCACTGGTATGATCAATGAACTGTGCCAGTGATTTCTTTTTAATGTCCTCATCAGGATTTCTGAAAAAAGATGCATGGTCATCTTCATCACTCCCAATCACATCATCATTCAGACAAGATTTTTTGAGACATGTCTGCCTTTCTTCTATGCGCCGTTCTTGCTTCTGATTATAAGCTTGTCTAACAGTCTCCTGCAATAGGGATGATTGTCATACTGCTTCAAGAAGGTCACTTCAACAATGTATTGCTGTTTTTGAAAGCAGATTTGGACAAGCTTCCAATATTATATCTTTCATAGTGAGATATTCAGCAAGTTGCATTGCATCTTGCTTGCTAGAGTTTGCGATATTCGCCATATGACTGGTGATTCAATGGGAGTCTCCCAGAACTATGACTAATCTGCAACTTATGTAAACTAGTGATGATGATGAATCATAGGAGATCAGTTGTTTGATGCACACACTTATCACACTCACAAACATCACGAGCCAAATTATCTGGCTTATCATGGTCTCTTAGATTCTATTGCTTGGCAGCATACTAGTAATGGTTTCAAAGTTGCAAATCAAACCGACCAATCTCCTTTTATAGGTGTTTTAACTGGCCATATTTCTCCTTTTCGACTTAAATGTTGACTAGCTGGCAATCACATCAAAAAAGACACCAGTCCTCTTGCCAAAGCTAAATACCAGCTTTACCTTACTCATCCAGCTGACCATGAACTCAGCATGGACTTTGACATTGGGATGTCTGTTTTGGATACTCTCCAAAACCAAGTTGGGACTGCCAAGGAGCATAAAAATATGATTGTCAAGGATATTACAGGAAAGATGATTCGCATTGTCAGAAATGTGTTTGAAAAAAGAGTGAGTCTTTATGGATCATTTGCCATGAGTTATTATGCTCACTTAAAATAGGAGAGGATTGTGCTGGATTCTCCACATGGTCAGAGTCTCAAAGGAGCACCTCAAGTGGACAAAGAAACTCAGAACTGGCCTATTGCAGAAGAACTTGTATGTGAACTTGACAAGTTGAAGTACACTTTTCAAGCAGATCCTCTTCCCTTGTTGAACCTTCTCATGCACAGAATGTGATCAATGGCACCATTGTTGAAGTTCACTTTGGCATTTTTCACTGGCACATTAGTGACTTTGACAGTTTCCAGGCCAATATTGAGAAAATCATCATCTTGAAGCTGGGTTATGGACATCACACCTCTAACTACAAACATCCACACCCCAGTGATGCAGTTCTGAACCAGAGAAGAAAAAATCATGTCATGAAGAAAATGAGGATTCTTCTGGGTCTCAAGTATGAATGTAAGCTTCATTTGCCATCTTCTATAACACATTGACCATCAGAATTCTCACAGCAGTTCTGATTTATCTGAATTTATGTATCTTTATTTATTGATGATTATCTATCACATGCCTCTGTTTATGTAATAGTAGGGCAGAAAATGTTCCACACCATATTGACCTTGCTTCACAAGGTAACATTGCACTACAGTAGCCATGCCACATGATGCTTATGTAAGTTGTGGTTCACATTCTTCAACAGTTGTCTTCTCTCATCTCATCCACACTCTAACTGTGCACCTCTTCTAGCCCTTCAAACCCTTCAAGCCCTTCAAGCCCACATCCTCCTCTCCCTACTATTCATGGCTCCTCCCTGGCATTTCATGGCTCCTTCCTGACCCTCCCTGGTCCTCTTCCCTGGTCCTTCATGACTCTTCCTTGGCCTTACCTAGACCCTTTCTGGCCTTTCCTGGCTCCTTCCTGGCCTTCCTCCCTAGCCCTTCATGGTTCCTCCCTGGCCCTTCTCCTTCCTGGCCTTCTCTGGTCCATCAGGAAATCGCTGAGGCAACAGTTTTTGTAGTTGTAGTTGGTAAGATCAGATCAAAAATTCATGTGATTATTTGTAATGACAAAAGTAGACAAAATAATATATAAGATAAGCAAATTGGCAGCAAAGGATAAGATATGGCAAAAATATATAATTCTGATGAAAATAGGCAAGTGTACCAGCATTTCTTAACTGCATGGTCACCTATGGTCACCAGTGTGGGAAACACAACAAGAAGAGAACTGGAAAGTAGCCTTATAAAGTTGGGTCAAATGTGCTATGCCTAGCTGCTATTCAACCCTAAAGGGTTTCTGGACTAAGCTCAGTGCTCAGAGAGGATAGGAAATCATGCTAATAACTCTCAGTCTCAGACTGGTACTGGTAGGTGGTGAAAACTATGATGATTACATAAGCACCAAAAGTTCGTGTTCTCCCTAGTGTGAGGCACAAGCATGTAGTTAGAATTAAGTCTATGCTATTTTGAGTAGAGAAAACTCACATCTTTCTTTCTTCCTGCCTTCACTACTCATATCTCTGAGACTACAGATACTACTCTCAGCTCAGTTACTCTCTGTTTGAGTCTGCCTCTTTCAAGGCACCCACATCTCACAAGTTGCTTCTCTCCTTCAATGTTTCAGAAATGGACAGACTTCACTCCGACCCTTGGTTTTTGGCATGCCCAGACTTCATGATTGACTGGTATCAAATCAGCTGCACTAGTATGGTCACTGCCAATGTCACAGAGGCTCAAGCAGCTAAAACACTGTGTAATATCTGGGTCGTGACTAATGAGGCTCTCTGCCTGCAATGGCAAGAGCAAGTAGTAGAAGATGATCATTTGAGGGCAGAGACACAATGTCTTGCCAATGAGGAACAGGAGCATCAACAGATCACTCTTTGGGTAGAAGATGCTGCCACAAAGGCAGATGAGCAGAAGAAGAATCATTTCAAACACTTAGCAATTCCCATGCACCCATGTCCCCTTGCCAATGAGGAAGATGTGTTAGTATCTGATTTTGCCCTTCACAAATTGGACAAAGGCCAATATGTTGAGCTGTACTACTGGACTAACCTTGGTCTTCATGATGCATTGACTAATTACAGTGGCTCAAAAAACTGTCCACATATTTTTGCATTTTTTACTATTTACAATATTATGTGAGAATACATAAAGACCTCAGTGACATGCTGATACCATATTGTAGTGCTGCTTCAGGGCTTTGGATTGAGCACCACATCGTGAGAATCAGAGGAGATATGGTGGAGATACAAGGCTTACAAAATCATGACTCATGCAGACAGTTTTTTGAGCACATATTAAAACTACAGTGGCTCAAAAAACTGTCCACATGTTTTGACATTTTTCACTATCTATGATATTGTGTGAGAATGAACAAATGGCTCAAGGACATGCTTATACCACATTGTAGTATGGCTTCAGGGCTTTCATTTGAGCCCTACACTGTGGGAATCAGTGGAGATATGGTAGAGACATAAGGCTTATAAAATGATGACTCATGTGGACAGTTTTTTGAGTGTATATTAAAACTATATAAATCATTATTTATGACACCACAAAAATCATGCCACTATTATATAAATTATGAAGTGGTGTCATTATGTTATTTTATGACTATATCTAACTATATAAACCAGAATATCTCATGTATCATAGTCATAATCACCATGAAAGCCATCTCCTCTGCTCAAAGAGATAATATCCTCTCTCTGTCTTATGCTGGCCTCTCTGCTTGCCAAATTTCCTCTAGAACTGGAGTATGCAAGTCCACTGTGGCCAAGTTTATCAAAGAAAGCCACCCAGACAAGGAAAACTCTTGTGGAGGACATCCATCCAGGCTTACCTCTACTGACAAAAGGGCTATTATCCAACATATCACTACAGGAAAGGCTGATAATGCTGTCCAAGCCACCCATTATATCAATTCCACCATCACTACCCCTGTCTCTTCACAAACTGTGAGGAATGTTCTCAAGGCAGCTCATCTCAAGGCAGTAACAAAGAAGAAAAAGCCTCTTCTCTCCATCAAACATAGGCAGAGAAGACTAGCCTTTGCCTTAGCTCATCAACACTGGACTATAGAGGACTGGAAGCATGTTATATGGTCAGATGAGACCAAAATCAATAGGATTGGGTCAGATGGGAAGGTATATGTATGGGAAAAGAAGGGAGATGGCCTAACAGACAGAGAGGTTAATGGGACTGTCAAGTTTGGAAGAGGTTCTTTAATGGTATGGGGCTGTATGGGATGGAATGGTGTGGGAATGCTTGCTGAGGTTGAGGGGAAGATGAATGCTGAGCAGTATGTGGACATTTTAAATGACCACTTGCTGCCTGGCTTGGCAGAATCAGGGATTAATGAAGAAGATATCATTTTCCAACAGGATAATGATCCCAAGCACACATCCAGAAGAGCTAAGGAATGGTTTGAAGAACATAACATCAATGTTCTTGACTGGCCAGCACAGTCTCCTGATGTCAATGTCATTGAACATCTCTGGGGAACACTCAAGAAAAAGCCTCAAGCCTATGAAAACCCCCCTAAAGGAGTATGGGAGCTTTGGGAGAGAGTAGCAGTGGAATGGGGAAAGATCACAGCTGAGGATTGCCAGAAATTAATTGAGAGTATGCCTAGAAGGATAGAGGCAGTAATTAAAGCCAAGGGAGGTCATACAAAATACTAGAATACCTGGTTATTATTGTAAAATATTTGAGTCAAAAAACTGTCTGCATGAGTCACCATTTTGTGAGCCTTGTATCTCCACCATATCTCCACTGATTCCCACGGTGTAGGGCTCAAATGAAAGCCCTGAAGCCATACTACAATGTGGTATAAGCATGTCCTTGAGCCATTTGTTCATTCTCACACAATATCATAGATAGTGAAAAATGTCAAAACATGCAGACAGTTTTTTAAGCCACTGTATGTACTCTGGCAAGAGCCTCAAAAATTACCTTTACTCTGTTTGGGTGTGGCACCTCCTGCATGGGCAACCCTGGCTCACTCACCATGACCAAGTCTCATCAGCACTGGAAGGTGGCAAGCACCTTGCACCTGCAACCTCTATGAGGCCCAAGCGCACTCCCTTCACTGTTGCCTTGATCAGGCAATTGCACTCAGTGCTGGATCTCATGACTCCTCTCCATGCTGCTGTCTATGCTTGCCTTACAACCTCCTTTCTCACAATCACATGCATGGGTGAATTCACAGTACCAACACTGTGGGGTTCCGATCCACTAGTTCATGTAAAAGTGGCCAATATGAGGAATGACACAGATAGGAACAGTTTCCAGGTCACAGTTTTCCACTTACCACATACCAAAACTGCACTCACTGGGGAGGAAGTGTATTGGGTGGCACTGTCTGGGGTCAAAGATCCTCATGCAGCTCTCATGAACCACTTCATCATTAATAGCCCAGGCATGTCTGCACCACTTTTCAGTTGGCAGCATCACACCAGCATGTGACCCTTGACGAAAAGCCAGTTTCTCAGCTGCCTTCAATCTGCGAGTGATCAGTTGGGTGGGGAGTCATTGAAAGCCCATGGGGTTAGAATTGGGGGTACTCTGGAATACCTGTTGTGAGGTGTGCCTTTCAAATCTGTAAAAACAATGGGTCATTGGAGCAGTGATGCTTTCCTGCTCTATCTCCACAAGCATGCTGTAATCCTAGTGCCATATCTGCAGGACCGTCCAGTTCTAGAGCCTTTCATGTGTTATGCGCTGCCTTAGGGAGTTTGTTGTAAGTGTTGCATACCTTCTTATGTTTGGGGCTGAGCTCATGCTAGATGCATCATCACACTCCTTGATTTCAGGGTATCTCAGCTCACTCTTGCCCATTTAAGAAAGGTGTAGATACATGTTTGGTCGAAAACCCACTGGGTTTTGCCCACACACTTGTTTAATCCTTCCAGTAGCTTTCTTAAACCCTTGCTCCTCATACCTGTTTATGTTGCTAGTAGCCTGCTACTTTCAGTGTCACTGTTGTTTACTCAATCACATTCATTCTCTCAAGAATCAGCATAGAGCAAACATAACACTAAGTAATATCTGCCTATACAAGCCCACAGTAAATGAAATCCCTATACCAGTGACCACTTGGGATCAAGAGGCTCAGCCCTATAGGATGCTTATGTAAGTCCGAAATTTTTTCAAAGTTCAACATTACAGTCTTCTTACTAGCTCCTTCTCTCAATGCTACCACCACCACTTAATTACTCTCTGAATCTTGAACTCTCACTCTCTTTGGCCTTCCCTCTTGGTTCCTCCCTCTTGGTCCCTTCCTTATGGTTCCTCCTCCTTGATTCCTCCTCCTTTGTGGTCCCTCCTCCATGGTTCCTCCATGGTTCCTCCTTCACAGACCCTCCTTCACAGACCCTCCTTCCTGGATCCTCCCTACTTCCTGGACCCTCCTTCACAGACCCTCCTTTGTGGACCCTCCTCCCTCTTATACTCATTTTCTGTCTTTTGTTGTGTTATATATGTATATATGTACTTACATCTTGTTTGTTTAATTACAAAATGAATTTTTTTGTGGAATAAAATGTGTGTACAAAGGTCAAAAAATTAGCTTTTGTTTGAAGCCACCCAACATTATCAAACTTTGTCATGGCTGCCAAGTGTTGGCAACATTTGCCAGTTTGGTGAGAAATGGCAATTAATTGCAGGTAGACTATCATGATTGTGCTTTTGGCAGTTTTCATCCAACTTACTCCAGGTATATAAAGCATTTTCTAGTGAACTATCATTTTGATAGATATTATACAAATTTTAAATCAGGTAAAGCTTGACAAAACTTTACCATTTTCATGTCACTTCCCTGATGTCCTCCCTGGCCTTCCCTGGTGGTCCTTCTGTTCCCTCTTGAGGCAGGTAACTGACATGTCTCTATCTCTCTACCTTCTACTGTACTATGTCTCTCTTCTCTCCTGTATTGATACCACATATGTGCACCCCAACCCCAATTAAAATTGATTTGATATATAAAACAATAAAATGAGTGTCAATGTTAAGACTTTCAGCAATTTCATGGCAGTTTTGTTTGAAGCAGCCTGGCATTATAAACCTTTGTCAAGGATAGCAGATGTTTGCAATGTGTATCATAATTGTATTTTTGGTGGTTTTCCCCAGCATAGTCCAGCTATCTAAAGCTTTGTCAGGCTGAGTGCAATTATGATAGGGATTGTCAGAGATTATATGAATTTTATGTTAGATGGAACTTTATAATGCTATGTCATTTTCAGGTCAATTCCCTGATGGCCAAGAGTTAAGTCAGTATTGTGAGAATCATAGGTGTCCTCAACTAGCTTCAGGACACTGAACAATGTGGAATTGGTACTGGGGAGTGATGAATCCAATAGCCCTAGCAAGACTCGTAGCCTCTGGTGATCCAGAGGCAAGCAAAGAGCAGGAATGGACTTGAAGCTAGTAAATAATATATTCTACGTGCACGTTAGCTCGTTATCGAGGCAGTACAAAGATATACGACTTACATCTCAGTATCTTGTAAGAGGCTGAGATGTTTACATGACGGGGGAGGGTATTCTTTATAGTACAGGTAGAGTAGGAAATATAACATGAGGTTGAAACATTGCAAGGACGAACCTCGGCCGACGTCACTCCGTCCCATCACCGAATATACTCGTACCTATCCCGACGCCTCCGATTCCTCTGCGTTCGACGAGACCGCATCAAAATAGCCACGCCCCCAGCTGCACATAAATGCATCAGCGTCCTACAGCGAGAAATGAATTCAAAGAGAACGCACGGTATAAACACAGTTTGCATCCTCGCATGTGTTTCTCGAGTAGGATCTAATTCGGGATACACGCGCTCCACAATGTCCATGATGGCTTGGAAGACGATCTTTAATCTTGAAAGTTAGCAAGCCTGACAGGTCAGAAATCAGTTTGTGCGTACGTTGTAACCATCATTGGTTAGATGTAGCCCGTCGTTCAGGTATTTTTCGCATGCCTCCTCACTTCGACCAGCAGCATCGAATATCTTTGTCCAGATATCTGCGACGGGAACACACTCTTTCTCACCTACTTCCTTGACAGCCCCCGCGTACGACCTCGTCGTCTCAAATACACGTGGACTGTCAGGCTTGTCCCATTGCTTCGTATTTACTGGCGGCGGTGTGATCAAGATTATACGAGTCTCGGGGGAATAGTATGCTGAAGTCGGCGATTTCACCATTTGGATGATATGGCTTAAATTCGATTTGTATCTGTCTATCGGGACATGCTGTGGGCTGGGAGCAGGTGCGGCGTCGTTGGCGCCGTACCAAATTGTGAGTAACTTGACCTGCGGAACGCGATGTTGCTCATGCTGTTTGGCAAATATCTACGAATACGCTCAGCACAATTCATAAATGGCAATATTGGATTTCACCTGCTCGCAAATTGGAATTGCCCAGTCCGTTTGATAACCCCCGAGGCCACGGTTGATAACATCGAGCTTCCGATTGTAGGCTTCTATACGTCGCAGCCTCGGATTATAGTTCGTACAAAATGTTTGTGATATACGTACCTGCAAGTAACTGCGCGAAGCCTCCTTGACCCCATCCACGTTGAGTGAGGGAGTCACCGACGAGCATGGCGACATCTTGTACAATAGCGGCCATATCTATCTAGATTTCGACTGACCGATCAGTGTTCGATAGATGTCCGAAGTCGGTAGACATTCACCTGTGTTGCTCATCCAATTGCTCTATTCGACGGTTTGAGATGAAGGGGTAGAAAAGGGTCATGATGATAAACACATCTTTGATGACTTGTGCTACGGCATTACGCCAAGTTGGTGCCAGTCGGGGTTACGTTGTGACTTATTAAAGCCTATTGATCCTTGTCCTTCAATTCTCAAATCACCCTAGGGCCAGTGCAACTTGCCACAACCGCAGGTATGACTCAACCTATATTGCTTCGAGTCTCAAATTTCAAAGCCTACGTGTGGGATGTTGACGGCAGGTCATTATCGTAATCTGATGTCGACGCTTCTAATCTTGCACGAACAGATATCAACATCCTACGATCACATCATCATATATGTGGCATCCTCACTGGGACTCTTCCACACTTGTCCTCGCAGAATATATTCTTGGGATTACCTCTTCAGCTGATGCCGGAGGAGGCTGTTCTCCTTGTCGAAAATGGTCAGTCGTCTTTAAATTTATGCACCCCATTCACCGGCGGTGATCATGTATCTAGGAATTGCTGTATTAGTAGACGACCCCAGCGCCCATCACATTCCGTCCCAGTCAGCCCTGAAACTATGGAAAGAAGCGCGCCTTAACGATATAAGGCAGCAAATAGCTCTAACTGAAGAGAAAGGGTCCATCGAAGCTTCTAACCCTGACCGCGCCATGTCTGAAAGTGCTAAGCGCAAGCGCAAAGAACGAGAAGAGCGTCGCGCACGTGCGATGGCCAATGCCGCTCCCGGCGTTCCTGCAGAAGATAACCCATCTCCTCATCCCACATCTGAAAACCCCTCACAGGCTATCATTGGAGAAGCCCCAGACAGCACTATCGTAATGCCCTCTGGATCTTATACCGTCAACATTCCTGCGTCCTCATCCAAGTTGGAATGGTACGTGCCGCACTCCAACGCGTCCTTAACTATCGCACGCGAAGCTGGCATATGGCTCTATCCCTCGACCCTACAAGAGCGCGCACGCTGCGGCGTCTTTCGCGACTTATGGGAGAAAGGATACTACATGGGAGGGGGGATTAAATTTGGTGGCGAATACCTAGTCTACCCTGGTATGTTCTCCTTTCTATTTGAAGATCTTCCCGCTTCGCCACCCACGCCTATCTTCGAAAGCGTGTTTATTTTCGTTAATCAGTAGTATTACTGAAATATGTGCTGACCTGCGCTATTCATCTTATCAGGTGACCCCCTCCGTTATCATTCGCACTTTGTTGCATCGGTCATCGAGGCTCCGGATGCCGCTCTCCGCCCGATGGAAATTGTCGCACATGGCCGTCTGGGCACCGGGACAAAGAAGGCGCATTTGCTGTGTGAATGGAATGATGAAACACGAGTTGTATCATATTTATCTGTCGAATGGGCAGGATTTGGATGAAACCTGAATAGCATATAGAAGCGACTGTGCCTCATGTCAAAACTTCAGAACCGCGCTGCTTTCACCCCAGCTGATGTCCACTGGTTTTATTATTATTATGAAAAGAGGTATAGATTCTATAGAAACACAGAATCGTGAAAGTTGTGTACGATGTTTACTAATTGCATATGAGTGGAAGTTGCCTGTAAGATCATGACCATGCCATAAGAATCCGTCAGTCCTTCTTTCGCCTCCCAGCAATAGGTGCCTTTCCATTACTCGGTAGTCTGTCTCCAAGATTCCTTGCTTGAACAGCGGGGGAAAGCCCTCTTGCTGTACGGCCGATGTTCTTTAATTCAACACCTGTCCCTTCTTCTGCCTGTTCGGTAGTGTCACTCGTCGTCCTCCGGTGTCGAACACCAGTGCTGCCACCGACACTTAGCACTCTGACGATGAGATCATTCAGCCAAATGACGATCGTGAAGACTGGCATCCTGATCGGAACAAGTGGCGAGGGAAATCGTACGGTGTTCGTAGACTCCGTGGAGGGTGCAGGATTGTAAGGATCCTGTGGAACGGGTCGTGCATGCATGGCCATGATGATGAACTGGACATCGGTAGAAATCAGCAGCAGAACTATAGAAGGAAGGAATCCATATTGTGAGACATACAGCGGGGAATATGAGTGCGAAAAATGCAGCATTCGCCAGTCCACTTCCGCACGTGCAGATCACAGCGGATGGAAGACCAAATGCGAAGTAGTATGCCCATCGTTCTTCTAGATGACGCACTCTTTGGGCCAATGATGAATTACGCGCCACCCAGACAAACCTGAGGGCACCCGTATTTCAGTGAGAACGGCTATCTCTGGGCCATGTAACTTACTCAAAGCAATAATATCTGAAGAAAAGTTAGAAGTGCCTCTTATCAACCAACGGCTGATACACTGACGCATTAACCCAGCACATAAATGCAAAGCTGATCCACGATCCGGCAAATGGTATTGATCCCAATGCCAACGACACGATAACAGAAGTAAGAATCATGACAGCACGGTATGCAGACGTGGCGAGCATGGTCAGCATACCGTGATAAGTAACTGGCTGCTGATGTGCTGCACGGTTTCCATGCTGAAGGACAAAGGACCGTTTTGCGATAAGATTGCACCAGGAACTCTGAATGGAAGAGGTTGGTAAATTGATTGTGGTTCATTTATGGCTGAAGCAAGGGCTTAAGATCAGGTTATGGACTTACATTAAGATAGTAAGATGCTCCGACGACCGGGAACAACCAAAGGATGCGATAGAACCATCCGACATTTCGGCGAAGCCAGCTTGGGTGGTTATGCACGAGAGGTTGTAGAAGTAAGTCGAACACGTAGATGGAAGTCAATGATAACGAATTGAGTAGTAACGACTTGAGAATATTTGAGCGAATTTCACGGTCGCTGTAAGGTTTCCAAGGAATTGTGTGTAGGATGGCAAAATACAGAGACAGTGAATAGATGAAAGGTACCTTGTAGCAGTCTTCACAACGACGTCCCACCGAAAGGCTTCAAGGATACCCCTGGATGCCCATGTCAATTGCAGCTTGATCGTTTCTTGTAGAGAGAGAAATGTAGGATAAGCTGAACGAGATAGCTGATGCTGGTGCGAGTAAGAATACGACGATTGTATGCTACTTGGCTGTCTGGACATGTCCCTTCTCGAAGTCGCGCCGTGACAGCTTGTTACAGTTGCAGGTGCCACCGTGAAACAACCAATTTGGTAGTAATCGGAGTCTTTACTGGTATATGCGCGGTGGGTCCATGCACTTTACCGGATCAAATGTGAACACTCTGGAGTTCCACGTCGCACCCCTAGATCTACGCCACGACCCTAATTTGTTGAATCTTAGCTTGCTGTGGAACGTCGCAATAGGTTTGAATCAAGATATGATCGTGACAACAGGCCCCAGTATACACGAGAATTGATGATTTGCTAGTCGAGAGGCGGGTAGGTAGTAGGACCCAATAAATTACAATACAAATCAAATACGAGAAATAAGAAAGGTGCAATCAGAGGCGCGAGGAAAAGTGCATGGAGTAGGTAGAGTAGCCGTAGACTGAGTTCTACACCTTAGTGTACCGTGATCAGGAGAATGAGCGTATCATCGATGGCAGCTGGGGGGTCACCTATTTCTTGGCGACCTGGATGAACAAGTCAAGCCACGACAATCACAGCGCATTTGAGTTATTCGCGTACCTTCTTCTTGCTCGTTGTCGAGGCCGTTGCTTTCGCTGCGGGTTTCTTTGCGGTGGTCTTCTTAGCGGCTGCAACCTTCGCTTTAGTGGGTGCGCTCGTTCCAGTCACAGCCTAGAAACATTGAAAGTGAGCAGCTCGCGGAATGCACAAAATACCAGCGATCCGACCTTCTTCGCGGTACCACGCTTAGATGCTGAGGTTGTCTTCTTAACGGGGATAGGTTTCTTGCCTGCCATCGTCTTTTTTGCAGGAACTGCCTTTGCCTTGGTGGAAGCTGCTGATTTCATTGCTGAAGACTTGGCGGCAGTTTGAGAGGCAGGTTTCTTAGCGGCAGCGGCCCTGACAGTTGGCGCGGTCTTCACTTTCACAGCTGGCTTCTTAGCCGTACTGGATTTTGCGGTTGTAGCCTTCGTAGTGGCAGTCTTGGCGGGACGTGCTTTAGTGGCAGTCTTAGCCGCCTTGGGTGCAGCCTTCGCGGGCTTGTTCTACTCTCACTATGTCAATCACCGCATCACGTGTTCAAGTCAGTAGGTGCACGGACCTCCTTTGAGGCTGAGGTGTCAGTGGCCCTTGAGGCCTTGGGAGGCAATTTCACCCGACCAGAAGGTCCTACGCAGTAGTCATCAGTACGGGACTGTGTGAGACCTACGCAATAATTTTCCTACCCTTGGGGAGGACAAAAGTCCCCTTGTCGGCGCCAGTGGCGATGGCCTTGCTCAAATGACTCAGTTGAGCGTTGTCCATGACGAGGTTGTATTTTTCCTCAACGAATCTACGTGATTATAAACATCCCTCGGTCTAGTAGGAATACCCAAACTCACTTCTTGATCTGGGGACGGGAGACGCCAGCGCGAGCGTCGTCAGGATTGGCAGTAATGCACTCCTATTTAGTAATGTATCATGTTAGGAAAGTTGTTCTGTGCCATCTAGCATGCTGCACGATGTGAAAATGTATGATACGAAGTCCCTGAAGTCATTGGGAGATGAAAAACGAATGTCACCCGCGGTTGCGTATGCTCCCCCTGGGGCCTGCCTTTTATAGTACCCCCTGGGTGCGGATGCCTCACCCTTTCTGTGATGCTCAAAATCGGACGAAGAAAAGGTATAGGAAGGAGGTGAGAACGCTAGAATATTGCCCGACTGACCTTGATCATATCTACCCAAGATGGGTGGGTGGGAGAGGCCCTGCTCTTCTTAGCAGCCGATTTCGTTGCACTGGATTTCTTTGCAGACATATTGCGAGCGATTGCAGTAAGTGCAGTAAGTGTTGTTCTTGCTGTCTGTGCTAATTGCGATGCTCAGAAGCGACCAGAGTAACTGGCGGAAACAGATGGATTGGAGATGGTAGTGGTTTGAGAGAGGGATGTGTTAAAACTCCGAGGGCGCGTTGAGCAGTCAACAAACTCAATTCGCGCGAGTCACGTGAGTCGATATTTGAGATAGGTTTATCGACCCTATCTACACTCCATAGAGAGTCCCGCTAGGTCGCTATTTTGTCTGATGAGTGAAATTGGGTACGGTAAGGGATGAGCCTTTGAAAAAAGCGGAAAATGCAACACACAAGCGTGCAATACATATTGATCCTTGAAAATGGCAGTTATGCTCAAGGGACTGCACATATATTCACTGCGTACGCGCTGGAGCACGCGCATTCAGCTGCTGCTTCCTACAGGACCTCAGTTTTTCATTTATTGGTCGGTTGGACGATTTATGGGGCAGGCAGGAAGAAGACATGTTTTCCTCATATGAGCCAGAACGCGACGCGTCCAAAAAAGGAGCGCGTCTTACGCCCTAATTGCTGCTCAGTCCCCTTTTGGAATGTGTGTTATTGATCGACGTCGGAATCTCCCGGTAGGTTGCCTTACATAAAAGTATCGAGTAGGTTTCCATCCAACCAATGTCTGTTACGCCAACCCTCAGAGCAGTTGCGCGCTCAGCGTACCGTGACTTGCTACGAGCTTCAGCTTCTACTTTCCATGGTCGGTCATCTTGTATTTTCTTTTATGGACTTATCTCACCCTGATTCGCAGGCGACGAGCCCATACAAAGAGGTTTGTACACATTCAATGGTAATAACTCCCATACTTAGGAATTTAATTCAGCATTCCGATACAGGATGCGGACAGAAGCATTGTATTTGGACAGCTCTGCGCAGTATGACGTGAAACTGGTCGAAGAGAAAATCCAACTCGCCCGTGACCTTGCGACCATGCTACGCAGAAATGTTGTGCAAGCTCGTAGAACACAAACCCAAGATGGAGATGATGCTTGGAGTGTGTGGTCTGCGATTGGATTCATTTGAAGTCACTAAATTGTTTTTTAGACCTTCGGTTCACGAAGGACACCGAACTCGGCGAAAACGAGAGTATCAAGAATCCGCCTCCCATGCCTTCCAGCAGACGAGCACGAAAATTAGAGAAGGGCGGGCAAAGGTTCATTTTATCGTCAAAAAGTGTGCAGTTGGTCACTAAGCTAACCTATAGTATAGAACCTGCTGCTCAGCATAGCGCCAATATGCCGCGCAACTTTTCCGCTCTCAAGAGGGCTCACAAAGATCGGGAGATTCCGGAGTTGCGTGAGGAGGATATCGAGGAATCATTCGTTAGAGGTAGGTGAAAGATCAAATGCGAACTGTTTTTAGTTAATTAGGATATTCACTGACCTACGACCAAGGCAGTGGTCCTGGCGGGCAGTCTATCAATAAGACCCAGAATAATGTTCAACTTCTTCATAAACCCACTGGTTTTCGTGTAGCATGTCAGGAAACTCGATCACTCCAAACAAATCGCATGCTCGCTAGGCGGTGGCTCCTGCAAAAGGCGTGTCTGAAAATCTTGTCACGCCTACATAGATAGGCTAACCAGTTCAAATTATTCCTATTGAACACCGGCACCTCCGGTTGGACTCATTTAGCTGGACAAATTACACAACCCTGGCCTATCAAAGGGCGAACTGCAACGTGCGAAGCAACAGGAAAGAGAACGTCAGCGACGGAAGAAGGCGAAGAAGAAGGCAAGCGCACGAGCGCAAGAGAAGAACTGCCTGGAAACACAGGCCAAGTAATGAACCCTAGGGCGCACCATATATACATGATGAGATGACTGCTAGTAGATCTGTCTAAGCATTCATTGAGTCCCCGGTACTAGGAACCAGAGTTATTAATTTAGTAGCTGCATGAAATGTTGTCACATCCTCTGATCAACAGATGGCGGCGCTGCGGAATACTCCGGTGTGGTGAAGTCGTGCAGCTTACAACACAGCCTTGAGCCCTCTCACTGAGTATATCTCTCACCATATTACGCATCCTACCTACACGTATCACCGTGTAAGGCCTCCCGAAGACTTTCTTGTTGCTGGAACTCACTAGTGTCGGGGGGATTGGATTTCTGTGGATATGTCATCCTCCGCTCAAGGGCTTTACTCACTAGCCACTCTCATCAAGCGGTGTGCATCATTAATATGTAGAAGCCAGTTCTATGGGAACTGACATTAATTTGTGGTTAGGCTTGAAGCAATCACATCGCGTCTCGAAGATGTAGAAGATTCCAGGAGTGCAGGACATCTGAAACGACAAAGTACCAGCACTGTCACTAGCGCAGCGGTTGTTGAAACACCATCGGCTTCAACATCCCCGCCGCCGCCACCTGCGATTGAGGTGCAAGCAGCAGTGCCACGGGCAGTCACCGCATACGATGAGATTGTTATAGAGGGGAAGCTTAAACCCTTTCTGGAGATCAATAAAGCCATCGCACCTCCTCCACTGAATGAGCAGGTCATATACTTCCGCGATTTTTTGTTATATCTCATGTTGAAGATATGCATCTCTCAGGTTGATCTATTTGCCAAAGTACTTGCTACCCTGCGGTCTGTACTTCACCAGGCCGCAGCATGCAGAAAGCCCGACCAGAAGGCGTTTGCCGAAATCCTTTCGCCACTCCGGGCAGGCATTGAATCCGTAACTCGTGCTAAAGAGGCTGCAAGAAAGGAGCGGGACTGGTTCAATCACCTTACTGTCATCGCAGACGGGTCTGCTTGCGTTGGATGGGTCACTGTGGTATGATCTTGACGTGCCAAAATACTTGTTGAATGACGACGGCCTGCAGGAACCCAAACCGGGACCACACGTGAATGAGATAAAGGAAAGTACCGCGTACTATACGAACAGGATACTCAAGGATTTCAAAGAAAAGTGCGACCGATATCTTATTGGAATGGTCTAAGTTGACGTTCAATCTAGGGACCCAAGGCACGCGGAGTGGATTCGGGCATTCAATGGGGTTCTTGATGCAATGAAGCGCTATGTTATGGAATTCCACACCACTGGTCTTGTTTGGAATGCCAGCGTGGGTATTCATTTGCCATTGAATTACAAACCATCATAGACCACTTCCTGCAGGGCATCCTGGTCTCAGAGTACAATTCATCCCGTTCACAGTCAGTCAGTGGGCCTCCGCCTCCGCTGCCGCCGCCGCCACCACCACCACCACCACCACCACCACCACCACCACCACCACCTCAGGCTGGATCAATATCCTCCCCGGCAGCACCTGCTGGTGGGGTTGCTGCTGTATTTGCGGACTTGAACCGCGGCGCGGACGTCACAAAGGGACTACGTAAAGTGGACAAAAGCGAGATGACACACAAGAACCCTGCCCTGCGAGCTGGAAGCGTCGTCCCTTCAAGTAGCGGGACGGGTGAGTTATCTTGCACTCCTCACATCATTTTTTCTTCATTATGCGGATAGCTGCTAAGAAACCTGTGAAACCAACCAAACCCCAAGCTTTGATGGGCAAGAAGCCTTCCAAATTTGCACTGGAGGGCAACAAGTGGATCATTGTAGGTATCTCGTTTCAAATAAGGTAACTTATCTGATAGTTATGCAGGAATATCAAGAAAATGAATCCGCTTTGGAGGTCGCTAATGCGGATATTACACAAGTGATCAACCTTTTTGCTTGCAAGAACACGACTGTCATTATCAAGGGGAAAGTCAACGCCGTCACCTTGGGTCAGTGTTTGCTGGTTTGGTCTTACAGTATCATTACTCAAAAGTCTATGACAGTTAATTGCACGAAAACCTCCGTGCTAGTCGAATCTGTGGTTTCTTCTGTCTCCATCACGAAGTCTCCATCGTTTGCCCTGCAAATTACAGGGGTGGCACCTACTATCCAAATTGACTCGACAGACTCGGGGCAAATTTACCTCTCGAAGCAGTGTCTTGGTGTTGAGATCACTACAGCAAAATGCAGCGCGATCAATGTCAGCTTGCCAGTCGAAGGGGAGGAAGATGGTGTCTTTGAAGAGCAGGCCATGCCCGAGATGCTGAAGACAGTGGTACAGAATGGCAAATTGATCACAACGATTGTGGAACACGCCGGCTAGCTGCTAGACAAATTACCCATATCTCAACTTAGCTATTTGTGCGTTTGCAATTAATTTCCGGGACTACTTAGTATACGGGTACATGCGTACGTTTTGACACCAAAGAGACTATAGTCAGAGTACTGTAAGTATCCAACAGGTCTCGGAGGTGGCATTACCTGCAATATGACGTTAGCCTAGCACTGCCCTGTATTTAAATCCATACGTCTAGGATTGGTACAACCACCCGCCACCAAACGACCCGACTCTCGCATATCATGGACACCGTGGGCTGGCATGCTCAGCGCAGAGCCCGTAAGGCGAGTAATAGTCTATGCTTCAGGTTGCCCTGGAAGCGATTTACACAAAAGTCTGACGTTACACAGGAAGCGCGTCAATTTTCTGAAGTTCAGAGAGGGCCAGACGGGAGATATCTACCCGTAGACGAGATTGATCCACTTCCTGATGGGAGTGTGCGCACTCAGGCTGGTAGTTTTGGTGTACCACGCTCGTCGTCCCCGACTCCTGGTACACTGCCTTCTGTTCCCCCAAAATATTTTACCGATAATCCTGCCCAAAATGTACCCGCTTCTGCTAGCCATTCTATTGAGTGGTTGGCGTCTGGTAGCTCCGGTGTCTCCTTGGAACAGATGCCTGCGGTGGAACGCTCTAGAGCACAGAGGCTTGCCAGAATGGAACCCCATCTTCAGTTTATGGTCGGGCCCCTTTTGCGATACGACACAGTTGACGAAAATGGTCTTTGGCGAGGCGCAGCACTCATCGTCAGTAAGTTTTCACTTGCGCTTGTGGCCGGCTGGTCAATCAAGCATTTTAACTACAACCTTTTTAGCCGCAGATTCAGGATCATCCTACGAGCCATTTCCAGTCTTGACTTATCAGTGGGACCCTGAAGAGATTGCCCGACCTTCTCCAAGCACACAGGGTTCTCATTCGGGTTATGACCTTGGCCCGCACCCCGCAGATCCTCACGCTACTGCAATGGCCGGACCATCAGCGCAGTTACCTGACACAAACGAGGCATACTTCAATGACTACAAGGGAAAAGGAAACATAAGGGATGATCAGACCCAGCACGTCACTGGTCAGGAAATTTACGTCTATTCAGGGAATGGCGGGTGAGTGCAACTGAGCAATACAGTAGAAAGAGATCTTTGAACGCTGAAACATATGTATGCAGCACCTTTACATTTTGGCGTTTCCCCATCCAGATACAATTGGGTGTCAATGAAATCTGCATCAAGTATCGTATCAATGGTGGCATACAATTGTCCTTCTTCGTGCCTGCTCGTCATCAGAACATGCGGTGGGCAGCCCACTCGGTAAGGTTAAAACAACCTGTTTGCTGCATATTTTCTCACTTCTTCTTAGTGTAATGGTTTCAGCGCTGGTGTGAATCCGGACGACTTCAGAGGACCAGGGTTCAAGAGTGGTTATGACCCCATGTGGATTGATCTCTTGCGGAAGCATGTCGAACGACCGTTTCATGTCCTTGTGGGAGGAGGCGATCAGTTATACTGCGACTCGTATGCGTCTATGCACCTCTGCCACCCTGAATAATTACGCTTCTCTGCTAGGTTGACTCGAGAGCCCGAAATACAAGAATGGATGTTGGCAAAGCCTTCCATCAAGAAAATTTTTCCTCTGACCGGTGAAATTGCCTCATGCATTGATCGTTTTTTCTTCAATCACTACTGCAGCTCCTTCAGGATGGGGGCATTCGCGAGGGCGAACAGCTCGATGTATGTGGGCTAGATAATCATAGATATGCCATGTTACTCATGACTAACTCCCTCTTTCTTTAAGTCCAATGTTGAATATGTGTGGTAAGATATTCGAATTGGATATAATTGATAACACACTCATGACATCTGCAGATGACCACGGTAAGCCCCTGATGTGTGTAACGGTAGCTTTTTGACCAATCTATGCACATGTGTAGATTTGGTGCATATGATTACGCTCCATTCTCTTGTCACTGACTAACCTCGCGTGTTTTAAGATAGATGGGTTCGGGAGTTGTACGTGACTTACAGCTTGTTGATCAATTTTTTATCATGACCCTGTTGTCCTACAGATCCTGAAGAGCTTCAACAGTCTCCCGTGTTCAAGCAGTGAGTAGCTTTCATATATTGGGAAATTCACTTGTTCATAACATCTTTAGTATCGGAGTGCGAGGCTACTTTTTCTATTTGCTTTTTCAATGCTTTATCAATCGTGTGTTGCGGTTTGCAACATCTCTCCCATAGACTAACATCATCGTTGTAGCTCTCCATGACAACCTGGACGATAGAACGGGGAAGCACATGTTCAAGTCACTCATTTTGGGGGCTCAAGGTCCCTATGTTGGTTTACCGTCACATTCGTTTTTGTCTTACCTGGGACCTGATGTGCATATTCTGATGCTGGACTGTCGGTAAGTAGTTACTACATCACACTGTCTGGAAGCATGTATGCTGATGTATGACCGCTGCAAGTGCGGAAAGAAAAAGGAACCAGGTCTGCAGTGAGTTCGAGTACCAAAAGGCTTTTGAACGAATCAGGTATCTGCCTCCGGACGTAAAACATCTCGTTGTACAACTTGGTGCGGCCTTCAATGAGATCACAGCATCAATTCTATTTCATATTTATCCACAGGCATCCCTATTGCGTATCCGCGAATGGTTTTCCTTGAAACTGCACTAGACTCCATGTTGAATCCTCTGATTGCCCTTGGACGCAGCGGAACCGCGGGATTCAGTAGTTTTGTGAACAAATTCAACGCGGACGCTGAGTTGCTAGATGATTTGGTGTGTCACTCTCTCATGACGCATTTTTAATGTAGCTGATGGTCTGGGCAGAATGATCACTGGACTGCGAAGTGTCACAAGGTTCGAAAACAATGTCATGTGTGGCTCCAACTGAACAAGGATATGTCTTGCAGAAAGAGCGTAACTGGTTCATTCAACAGATGCAAGGAATAGCAAGGATGAAAAGTTTGCGTATTTCGTTTCTTTCTGGTGACGTGCACTGCGCAGCCGTAGGGGTTCTTAAAACGCTGGTCCGCAGCAACGGAGGAAAGAACAACCGGACGATAGATGTTCCACCTGAAACCGATTATAGATATATGATCAACGTGGTGACAAGTATGTTCCTTCTACTCCCTCTTAAACTCTGAGATTTAGTTCTGTTTCAGGTGCAATCGTCAACACACCGTAAGTGAAGTCGCCATCTGTTGTGCGTGATCTTGCAGCATGTTGAGCCAATTGAAGGCCTCCGAATGGAGTGATCGCAATGGTATCCACTTTGGCGACCAAGACTCATAGAACGCTGCATCATGCAGAAACTGATGAAGTCATGGTATGTCTCGAATTCTAGAAATGATTTGCAGCAATTTCACGCGGAAATTCTTGTAGCTTCCTGTTTTTACGAAGGAGCCAAATGGAAACCATCGCGTCCAAAACAAGTATATAATGGGGCGACGGAATTGGTGTGCGGTTTCCTGCGATCCTGAGACACAAGAGTTGGAATTCGACATCCGTGTCGAGATGGAGAAAGGGGTCGGCGTCAGCTTTGGGTAAGCGTATAATCCGTTTTGGTTTGTGTTTGAAAGCTTCACTAGCGTGGCACCCCAGATATCCAGTCCGAAGTCCTCCACCCAAGTGGTTTCCTGGAACGTGACACTTGATGTTTCAAGATGAGATTTTCTTACCTATGACCCTAACCTGTATTTATTGTTTCTTACTACTGGACTGTATCACTAACGTATACTCTCCTCGTCTTACTCGAACTGTTTCCATAGTCTATTTTTAATTAAGTCGCGATATGATGCGCACAATATTTCCCCAGTGCCTGCGATTGCCAGTGCCCCCAAGTACGACCGAGACTCACTGCCGAGTAACTTTGAAGAACCGAAATTTCTGACGTGGCAGAACAGGGCATTCGAACTGAATGACAAACACTCCACTGGACGTGCATGTCTCCCAATCTCACCGGTTTCAAGTTACTGATGAAAAGACCAGCGGCAATTCCTAATTTATCCACACAAACCCTGAAAGTCTGAAACCCAGCCAAGCCTCATGAGGGCTCAGCACTCGACGTTGGCCCGCCGCTGATGGTGTATGATGATCCAATCATGGAGACCCCTTCATCACACCCGATCCTCTTAAAACCCCGTCTCAGGCTCCTCCACCAAACACCAGGTCTGAATCATAGCGCTCAGGAAAGTAACGATATTGACTTTACGCCAGTCGTCGCGAATCCGTCTTCTGTGATATTCTCCGACACTCCAGTAGCGCGCCTCCGCGCCTTACTCGCACATCCATCAAGTTCATCCAGCAGAAGATATTTTCTCACAAGACCGGGTAGAAACAATTCCGGCATGAGCGAGACGGACGTTACCCCCATTGCCGGCCGTGCAAGGGAACCGCACAAGGGCAAGATGAAAAGTCTCGGTGACGATGAAGATGATAAACTCAGTGTGTCAATTCCCTTCACTACCCCATGGTAGTCTTTAGCATCTCATTACAATACATATCAAAGCATCTCTACCATCCTCGCTATTACAAGAAAGCGGCTCACCTATTCAAATCAGAGCTCTTGCCTCAACTTCAGCTGCCTCGTTCCATTCTGTCCCAGACTCTCCATTAAAGTCTTCTGGGTCCGAGGACGAGGAGCAGACGATGCCACCCTCTTCCACTCATGGAACGCCACCGCTGACTAGTTCTGCCTCTCAGGACGGTCCTGAGGTAGAGGCACACGAAGTAGATGTCACTCCCGTGCGAGTGTATGAGGATAGTTTCGCTCATCTGAACTACACCGCGATGAAGACTCCAAGACCTTCCGGAGTGTGGACTGTTACGCCTGTTCCACTCAAGCACGCTCCGAGGGTGACATCGCCACCTCCAGTCTCCTCCTTTGAACTGACTCCGACTGCATCATTATCACCATCATGGACGCCTCTGTCTCGAGCTAACTCTGGACCCGAGCGGCGCTCAAAGCCTGAGACCCCAGCAGGGAATGGACTCTTCACGCCTGATGCGTCCTCTGTCGCGTACTAAATCGCTTCATGTGCGCACCCCAGCGCCCCCAGGCGCGTGGATGTCGACCACAACTCAGAATTGGTATGACGAGCAATCCAAGTTTGGTTCTAACAGAACGAAAAAGCACATTCTCAAAGTGCGCTTTGATGTGACGGAATCAGAGGCGTCAACTGCTGAAGTTGAACATCAAATGCCACCTATAACTGATATGCCCTCGTCTACGCCCGACTCTCTGCCTAATGGTCATGCACCACGATCGAGGAACGCCAACCAAACAAGAAACAACGGCTCCTCTCAAGGTGGTGCCGTAGACAAGCCAGTGTTAACTAGGCCCGTCACTCCTGGACGCCACATGACACCCGCTCCTCGTGCCAACGTACCACCATCACGTCCACAGAGAAAAGCCTTCGTCGTAAAGGTTGTTGATGCATTCGGTCGAGAAAGGGTTGACGAACTTCCTATACCAATTGCGAACGGGCGTGCGGACGCGGGAGACGCAATTCGTGCTTCGCCATTAGCTAAAACTTGTACTCCCCGTGTCTCAAGCAAGAGTGAAATTCGCATTATCAATGTAACGGGAAGAGAAGTTCAGGAAGATGTCCTTGAATGCTCATCAGTCCTACATGATAATCCACCTATTTGTCGCACTGCAGCCCTAGCTCAAATACGGCAAACGCTCCGGGAATGGGCTAGTGGGCTGAGTGATGAAGATAGGTAATGTTGTAAGCATATGGCTTCGCAAAAAAGGCTGATTGATAGGAATGTAGACCTCCTGATAATCTCGCATTGAACCCGAGCTACTCGGAAGAACTCGAAGAACGTTCGAGGGCAGCGCGGCGTTCTCGGAATCAATTAGCTCGAACCCTTCGTATCGAATCGGTGAAAGAGTGTAAGCGTAACTTAATGGACAAATATACCAAGGGAGCCGAAGACCGAAGCGGGCTTTTGGTAAGACAAAGGGTGCATCTGATATGATCGCATCTTATTATTCTCGCAACTAGCCGACTATCACTGGTGAAAATGGTTCTTTCAATCGTGATCTGGTTTGGGTGGGAGTTCTGTTACAGATCGTTTTCGTCCTCGCGATGTGGCGGTGGGTTTCTCCATTTCATATGGAAGTTTCCTCACTGATCTGATGAGTGTCTACATAGGTTTGCACATGTCCAAGCTCGCCATCTCTTTTGCGCCGTCTATTATGATCCACTATATCCAGACTTGAACCCCCGCATCGGTGGACATGCTTGGGAGAGGTGGGCTGAACGCCCTAACGCAGAGACATGGCCACCTATATGATCGTGTCATCAACACCACTAAGACTTACCTTTCGATGTGTGCAGCCCCTAGACATCAGAGTAGATTGCATTTGCGCCATGCAACACAATCTATTTGTAGAAAAAGGGTTAGTTCGAAATCTGCGAGTGCGTAGTATTGCTCTGAACGACTTTGCCAGCCACTGCAGTCCCCCGAGTCCCATGTCACTTTCCTAACTACAACCGGATAGTTGAATTATCTTGAAATTTTTCATGTGCGACAATCTGCCAAGGCTCCATGCCCTTCCATGCGGCTCAGTGACGACCCTTTCGGACCAGAATATACTGCGCTCTCGCGAGTCAAGAGGTCATTGCTTCTGTATATTTCATGTTTCTTATCGTCCTTCATCTGCATATCTGACTATACATGTGAGGTAATATACATTTATGTATTACAGTAGATCTTCTAGGTCAATGTCCATGAGAGAAGAACTATTGTTTTGCGTCCGTGATTTACGGTAGGGGCTTGCGGCTTCCCTAAACACTTCATCGTTATCGTCATCGTCGTCATCGTCATCGTGATGATCGACGTCTGCCGCGAATCCATCGTGTTGCTCTTCTTCTCCATCTCCCTCGATGATCTCAGAGTTATACCCACTCTCCGCTTCTGGGACGTGATTGAGATCACCACTTGACGCAACTGTTGGTGCAGGAGAGTGTATTTGATCCGCTCCACGCTCTGTCGCTTGCGATGTAAATGCGATAAAGACAGACAACCCAAGACGGTCGCCACTAGGAGCCGCAGGTTCCACTGTGGAGCCATGGGCACTCGTAACCGAAGATCCTCGTAGCTCTGCATGTTTCTTTGCCCTCTTCCGAGCTTCAGTCTGCTGTCTGCTTTTTTCCCTCTGCGCTTTCTTTTGTGCCTCGGTTTTCTCGACTTCGACTCTTTTGGCCGCGTCCAGTGCAGCCTCTTCTTCTTCTTGATCGTCCAGATCCCATTGCTCCTTCATAAATTCCGGGTACCGCTCGCAAATGGGACGCCAAGTCTGAGCTTGATTTACATTATGATCAGTGTTCTTGAGCACACTGTCTATGTCAGGGGGAGGCGGAAAGTCAAAATTTGGGCCTGGGTTTAAGCGCACGCGGGCATAGTTGAATAAGGAAATGAATGGGTAATACCCCAGCGTTCCGTCATCAAAAGGGTTTTCTTTATGTTCCTGAGGGGCCCCTTCACGCGCTCGTTTCTTGTCCTTTTCCTTCTTCCTCGATGTAGGCGTCGTGCGCAAAGGCAGGTAATCGAATAGGTCTTCAAACGCAATGCCTTGACATTCGCCATTGACGAAGAACGCGACGTGAGAACCTGACAAGGTTGGTAGAGGGCGGAGAACGGGAGCTTCTGGTACCTGTCCAGGACGTGCGCCTCGCTCTGGGAGGTTTTTTGTTGATGCAGCCTTCTTGTTTGAAGAGGCAGATGGGAGTGATGCCGTATTACTTGATTTATTGGAGAAGTCCATAAGAGCGGTCATCTCTTTGCTCTGAGGATACTCGAGACTTTCGAAATACTCCTGGCCCTTGAACTCGATAGGGATGCGTTCGCGTCGAATATGTGCGGGGTCATTATTGTCACGGGGATCAGGTTTGCATCGAGGTGGAAGGGATATGTACATGCCAATAACATCCCCACTACGGAAGGAACGACCGTAAGGGCGAGGGCGTGATAGATAGACCTTATCACCATTTTTGTCGCGATAGCCGTACGAATATGCGTCTAGGCCAACTGGACCATTCAAAGGCGCTTCTCGTCGCGCCCAGCCAAGTCGGACATGACTTCCCTGACGCATGCTGATATCTGGGGCATGAGTAGAGCGATCTCCTCCGCCATCCTCGACGCGAACCTCCATATACCACTTGCCCTCACGGACGGGTGCATTACATCGCGCACTCCTGAAACCTCTTTCACCAATTAACCCCAGGCCATCAGGAGTGACCTTGACAAAAGAGCTGCGATCCTCCCAGCTGACTCTGTAGCTCGTGGGTAAACTTTCGATTGTTCGACATGGGAGGGCAGAACCAGGGGGAGAAACGCCTGCTGGGACGTATCTGAAGGCCATACGGTTCATAACAAGTTGTTCTGTGGTATGATAGATTACAGAAGTATCCGTAAAGGTAGGGCACCGGGATATTGTAAGACGAGGCCGAGAGAAGAAGTCATTTCGGGTGGGCAGGGCAACATTGGCTGCTGTGCTTGGATTGTTTGGGTCGTTGGGTGCAGGAGATGCTTCAGGATTAGACGCGACCTTGCGTTTCCTTGAAGGAACTAACAAAGGCGTAGATGGCCTTGAACCGTTTGGCCCGTCTACTACGCTTGAGTCTGTAACAACTACCATTGCTTGCGATGACGGGCAAAAGTAGGTCGCAACAAAGCACGAACGCTCTTAGATTCACCTCAGGCTGTCTGGATTTGGTCGAGTTTGTCGTTATTTCCGTTTTGGTCAAGTCACAGTCATTCTACCTCCGAGTCGATATCACTGCTGGTCCACAACTTGGAAGACCCACGATGACTGCTCTTAGGTATGAATTGCCGAACCATTTATCGATTCAGGATCTTAATTGTTTACAGGCGAATCCAGAAGGTGCCCTCCTTCTCTTTCATGAGGATGCCACGAATTTGACCTTCCGACGCCCCTGGATGATGTCTAGGAGCTCCAAGATATCACGAACAGGCCCCTTGATGTATGTAACCCGTTGTATAGCAGATGTAACTCTATCTAACCAGCGGCCTTTAGGGAATGACAGCCGAACCAGAAGCAGATAACTTGCTCGTTTGGAAGTGTTCAGTAAAGGGTTCTGTAAGCATCACTAGGTGCATTTAATTCCCCCCTCTTTCATTCACATCACTGCGCACCAAGCCAGATAGCCCATATAAAAACGGAACATTTCACTTCAAGATCGAGCTCCCGATGAATTTCCCATTCAAGGCGCCGAGCGTGAGTTATCAACCTTTATTTTCGTTGCATATCTATCCACCCGAGTCGAACCCCGAAACGTTTCACTATGCCCATCAGTTCAATTGAGTTTCTAACCTTCATAGCTCTTACTTCGTTTTCGTGTCGTTTACGTGAGGGTTCATCCACGGCATCACTAGGTCACGTTCTTAACTAAGATTTACCATCCCGGCATCAACGAAGAGGGCCATATTTGCGTTCCTATTCTTCGCGATGAGGTGAGGCCAACGTTCTCTTCATCCGCAGGGATAGTATACTCAAACCCTTCCATCCATTCACCCCATCAAGTGGAAGCCATCAGTGACGCTGTCAACAGGTAAAACTTACCTCAGAAATATCCTCTGTAATTTGCTCTGGCTAACAGATCCTTGTTTTATTTGTAGTGCTGGCAGTCATTCAAGAGAAAGTGAATAATCCAAGCCCGGACGATCCGTTCGAACCTGAAATTGCTGCAGTGAGATTTTGGGTCTTGACCGTGATTGATATAGACCCCTAACCGATTTCATTTCCAGTTGTTGAAGAACGACAAAGCAAAGTTCTTAGCTACCGCAAAGGAGTACACGAAGAGGTAAGCGGCGTCTTACCCTGTTTCATAAAGGGCTCCTTATGAGGTATACTCATGATCATTTACTGGCGTCAGATACGCAATGTAGGCTCGGACGTTAGTAAACCGCAGCTCTGAGTTATCCTAATCTATAGGGAGTCAGCAGAAGATAAAGGGGTCATCATAAATGAATTTCGGTATCTTGCGGGCGTTACTGATCTGAAGCCCGTGTGTGTATTATTTACATATTTTGAGCTAGTTTGCGGCTTCACTTCATGTGGGCTGGGCGAAGGGAGTTAGATCTGTGTTCGCGAGGCCTGGAACGAAGACACTAGCCAGCAGAGCATCGGTCCAGAATCTTGAATCTCGAAAAGAGGGCTTGGCATGCAGGGTGCTACGGCTTTCGTTGGCATTAATGTGGAGGACATTCAACGATGATTTATTCTGGTGAAAAGCTGGACGAACTTCTTCGGAGGCGGGATGGACTTGTTAGTAAGATAATATTTACTTGAGCATATCATCACCGCCTAAAATTGTGGCAATTCCCTTGGACTCTCATGAGTCTCTTCAGAGTCAGAACGCTCAGTTCGCTGAGGGCTCGGAAGAGCGAAAGAATATAACTCACACCCTCCTTCTTTATTCCGCTCGCCGTTATCTTGCTTTACGTGTGGAGTTTAGGTCCATTAGGATCTTTTGACGGGTCCTATTCAAAGCAGTTTGAAAGAAGAATATTTTCCGTAAAGACACCAACTCGTGTTCACCACGTTGCACACTCATTTCCCAGAAAAGTCTCGAGATCCAATAATCCAAGCGCCCTGCCTCGTGTACTAAACGAGGGCTCCTGCCAGCAAAAACCATGCATCGTTTCCGGTAAGCTTGGCTGCTGCTCCTCTACCCTTTCAATTACGAGCCTAATTCGCGTATCATATATCTCGTCACCTCACCGCTGCGTTTAAACGGCTTCTTCGCTTTAACTTTTATTGTTGACGTGCCTTAGCAAAAGGTCCGACCCTAGCAGGAACCGCCCTTTTGACGAAGACTGGTTCACACCGACATCTGAGCACAAGCAATTACCAGCACTCCCACCTGCTAGTGACTTTCGGACATCACTCATACTACCAGAGTACGTCACAGACTTGTCTTGTCAGCCTTACAGCTCTCTCACAATACAGGTACCCAGTCTTACTCGCCGTTTCACGCTTCTCCGCTCCCCCTCCGGCGATCCTCTTACACTTGACGATCTTAGGTCCAAGTTTGCGGAACAAAGAGCCCGTGGTGTTCCAAACCAGATATCAGAGGAGGAAGAGGACATGATCCTTGAGACGCTAGGGCGGATGCGTACCAAAAATGCTGCGCCCAGTACCACTTTGAGCAGCAAACTTGAGGGTGGCTCTGGCGCTAATGCCACCGACTTGGGAACGGAATCCGACTACACTCATGAGCGTACCTCTCATATATCCACCACAACCTCTTCGACCACATACCCAGCTTCATCTATTACTTCATCCCCGTCGCCGAGTTCGCGTTCAACAAAGAGGTACAGCAATAATCTTTTTGCATCTGGACGGTTCCGCGAGTACAGCTATCTCCGCTCTGTGTCGCAAAGAAGCGGCAGCAGCCGTGGCGCAGCTTCTTCAACACCATCAGACTCCGATCATAGTCTTAGAGAGAAACCCTCGTCAAACTACTCCGAGAGTTTGAGACCTGCAACGCCCGAAGGCAGTGGTCCTGTATCTTCAGTACCTTCCAGCCCCAACGACAAGACTCCCTTGGCTCGTTCCACGTCATTAATATCATCTATCGAAGATTTTCCTTCGCAGGCGCTTGCGGACAATAACAAAAGTACCACACATCCATCAAGTAACAGTTCCGTTAGCGTTCAGCGCGTTGAACTTGCTCTGGAGTGTGTTATACGGGACTTTGAAGAGGAGGCTGAGGATGAGATACTCATGCCTAGAACGGCACATCCTGCTCCGCGGTCGAGTGACGTAGAACAGTCGAGTGCTTCATCTCCAGCTAGTGATTCGACGTCAGGAGCTTCGGTGGGGAAATTGATTTCTTCATGCATTACATACTGAACTATGTTGTCAGACTCAATCACCCAATGACTATGAAGGCGGAACCGCAATATCATCAGATAAACAGTTGAATATCGACAACGAGAGGCAACGTTTTTCTCCGACCCCGTTAGGTCGTGCGGGTACCATCTCACCCACCCCTCGTCTTCCGGGTTACATTCCTGGAATGCCCCGTCCTATGACGCCCCGTGATCCCTCATTTGACTCTGATGATGCGCGGGCGCATTCCGCAACTCCACGTGCAATGTCACCTACACTTCCGAACGTGAATGGAGCGTCACTCATCACCACTACCTTCACTTCAAGCTTACTCCGGCGAGGTTCAGACGCATCTCGTAGCACCCCACGACCCATCTCGCCGTCCGTGGCCCCACCTGCAAGTTCGTTTTTGTCACGTAGTGCTGGCGGTCAATGCTCGTCGGACAGTCAACGCGAGAGCGCGAGCGGTACTGACCAGGAAGCTTCTGTGTCATCCGCCTTCAGGAGGAAACCCGTATCTCCATTGACGGGCTCCGCCTTCCGACCTATGGTCGTATCTTCTCGACCGGGTACTCCATCGAACATCACTTGGAATGTCAACTCACCCTCTAGTACACCTTCCAACTCCAACCGCACTCACAACAGGCGGGGTAGTTCTTCTAGTCACAGTCACAGTAGAAATGGCAGTCTGAGCACGGACACCGATCTTCAATCTAATGCGGATAAATCTAAATCTCCAAACCGGCCAGTTCGAGTGCCTGCACCTCCTGAGAGTCCTGTTTACCCTCAAGCTCCCAATGCTGGATCATGGAATCGTTCGACTAGTCCTGCTCCTGCAGATCATCGTTCCCCATCCAGCCTTTCGGGTGTCGTCAACTATGGGTCCTCACTTTCGTTTTCGAGCCGCAGTATACGGTCCCCCACTCCCACTCAGTCTCGGTCCACTACCGCTTCTCCCGCATTTTCTTCAAACGACTCTCCGGGTTTCTCCAATCATGCCACCGTCCGTTCATCAAGACATCATCACAAGTCATCCTCGCATTTCTCTCTTGGACTTTCTCAGCCTGTTGCCTTTTCAGCATTGGCTAACTCATCTCAGTCTTCGCTGGAGTCCACTGGATCCAGTTATCACTCATGGTCTGCTGAGCAGAAGAAAGATGTAACTGTCGACCTCTTTAGCGATGTCGAACAACAATCCAGGTGGCATGATCTGGACAAATCGAGCTCCGCAACTCCAGGTAGCTTGCAGGATGATGAAGACTTTGAAGACATCATACGGCGGTATACAGGTCTGACCAAATCTGATTTCGTGGTCATTCAAGACAAGCTGGTGAGCGCCGCGCGCGCAAAGGAAAATAATACAGAGCCTCGAGAGCGGACCAACTCGCTGCGGAGACGGAGGCCATCGACCTCGCAGTCGAACTACTCACAGAACGGCCGCGATAACAGGGTTCGTCCTCTTCTCTCACTCCAATTTTACTTACGATTCACGAGCAGTCACAGGTTGCAAGCCCGCCGCCGACACAACCGGTTGCTTCACAGGCGACCGCCACCGGACGGCGCTCCCCAGCGCCTGATCAAGCTGCCAAGGCTCATGCATTGCTTGATTCCGTCGTGGGGAGCATCCCCCGCACATCTTCGATTGGCGTCGTGACCGATAACAAGGTGGAATTGGAGGATCCCTCAGAGATCAAGACGTCCCCTACTACCACGCGTCGCAATAGGGATTTAGCTCGCGCCCTTGGCTTCGGAGACGAGCAAGGAACTGTGAATTCACCACAGAATAACAGTCCACCTGTAGAAGACGTACCGCAGTCCAATAATCCATCGCAGATCCAGGTACCACCAGCAACAACTCAGCCAGTCGCGTCGCATACTCAGGATGATATTCAGCTGTCGTCCAATGCGTCACCGTATAACCTCCCATTGCGCTCGGATTCGGTACGAAGCCCTCGAGATGAGACCGAACTCGTCAACGAAGTTCGGCGGAAAGCAGAAGCGGCTACTGCTGCTTTGATGAAGACGTCTTCCGGCCAGAAATTTACTGATGCCAATGCCTCAAGCATATCTGTGACACGGAAGAAAATCACCCCCAGCCAAATATCTGCACCCCATTTAGTATCAGCACCAACCAGTGTAGAAACTATCCCTCTTCCACAACAGGCAAAGACTCATACTCCTACTCCTCTCACCCATCAGCCCTCTCTGAACATCACCCAGAGGATGAGGCGTCTCCGTAATACGCTGAGAGTCAAACAGCCAGTTCCGAGCGGTGAAGAAGTTACTCCCTTCCCTCTCGGCCTCCAGCCCAGCGCTGCACCGCCCCCTTCGGCTTCTCTGAATCGCAGGCCGACATTACCTCTTGCCAAGGGTTATCCCTATGGAAGCTCGACAGATTTAGGCAAGGCTAAGTCACCGACATCAATATCCAGTCCTCCGGCCTCAGCTACCCCTGGCCTGAGAGGCTTCATGTCCCGCTTCCGAAAGCGTGTAGTAGATGCTCAAACTGAAAATGGCAATGGGCTTTCGCGAGCTTCTCCAACCACTCCTTCTCCGACGACTTCGTCCAGCCATGGTCAAGGCCTAGTTGGTTCTCCTGTTAATACCGTTTCACTCGCATCGGCACCCGTCCCTGCTTCTGCTTCCGTGCCTATAGTAGGTGGCGTTCGGTCAAGCATTGATGGACCGCCAGCGATGAGCAACGATTCTGCTGCCGTCAAACAGTTGTTTGAGGCAGCTACCAATCTTGGTCTTGATCAAGCCGCATTAAATGATCTGTTAGCACGGTCCGCCTCGGTATCATCACGTACAGCGGGTTGGTCTCTGTCAAAGAGTACGTCAAACGCCGCGGCAGGCTCATCAATCGCACGAGGTGACCTCTCAGCTATGCGATCTCGATCACCTCTCCCAGAACCACAATTCAGCGATGATGGCGGCATCAGCAGCGGAGGAGATGATAGGACTGTGAGAAAACTCTCCATTCGCAAGACGGGGGAATCCAGTCACAACCACCAAGGCATTCCTGAGAATCCTACTATTGTTAGGAGAACGCTTATCTTTCCCTCGGACTTTCGTGCATCTAAAACCGACTTGAGCCAGATGGCGCGTAAGCCTTCGGTTAAGCGTCATCGTCGGCCGGGTAGCGCCACGTCTGCACAGTCTGGTCGTTCAGTGCATGACCGCGCGCCTACTCCACCGCCACCGAAGTCGAACGGAGGAAAGCGATTCTCGACTGATCGGTCACCTCCTTTACCCACATCAATGGCCGCTCAAGCTGAGGCCCTTTTACATCCTTCAACGTCAGGTGCACCTGTCGAGAAGCCGAACTCTGCGTATGATTCTCTGTGGGTAATTATTTTGGCTGTTTTTCCGTGTCTAATTTTTACCATCAGATACGACATGTACGCTGGTGAGAGCAAAAATCCAAATGCACCCGCTGACGATGCGGTGGACATTGGAGGCTCTCATGAAGAAGGTCATCCCGACGGTGCTGCCCTTGAACTGATTGAGATGGCAAATGGCGAAACAATCTGGTTTGTACTGCTCTCTGGGAGTATCAAGGCCACCCCACCCACTAGACAACTGACTTTTTTTAGGTCAATAGTGAACGGCTTGCGCGACGATGACCTTGAATCAGTTTATGCTAGCAGAACCAGTCTTGCATCCGAATATTCCTTGCGCGATAACACTGAAGGTCTGCAAGTATTTGTCAAGGAACACGGCAGATCGACGTCAAAAGGCAGTGGTTCGTCGTTCCTTTCCCGTAAAAAGCCATCACAGAGCAAGAACCGACCTGAAACCAAGGTGAATAATTTTCCATCATCATCAAACGTCATTAACGCTGTAGCAGGTTTTTTATAGGTCAGTTCTTGCGCTCGGTACGCAGAAGTTCGGTACTAATTGTCTAACTCCAAGCTCCTCCACTCATATTGGTCGTTTGATCGAGTCACTTTCCCAGGGAATGGACGCTGGTTCATTCAATTTTGGTAGCATACCCCCTGACCGCTCTACCCCATCATCATTCCACTCTGACACCGATATGCATTGGACGGTTGAAGAAAAACTGGAACACATGTTAGGATCGATGAGAAATCCTTGATTGCTGGAGTTAATAATCTTTTATGCTATATTGATCTTTTCTCGTCAGCTTGGTCTTGCTTGCATGGAGAATTTGTGTCTACATTGGGCGTGGTGATATCGATATTCGTACAGAGGCAGTAATACATGCATACATATTCCTTGTTCTTCTGACCAACACCTCACCCGGTCCAATCTAGCCACCTATTAAGATTCAAAGTGACCAAGGCTTCGAGCAATAGAAGGTCGTGACTAAAGCTATATTGTAGTATTCCATGTGAAGGACCAATCGGCGTGGCTTGGGAGAGCTTCTGGAACTTGGCGATTCTTGTATTGGGTCCGGAGAACAGCTTTTTAGAGATTCAACATGTAGCGGATGGTATTTGAAAATATTAGGGTGAACTTGCCTCATACGACCTGGGGTCAGCGTGACACTTTCGCCATTCATAATGGCGGCCATCCGCAGAAGGAAACCTACGAGCGCTGAAACCCGACTTAATATTAAGGCATCATTGGGACAGTACTAATACCGACTTACGACGTACTCGATCCCTGTTGGACCAGGTGTGTCATTGGAATTTCACGATCACCAATAGTTGCAACACCGAGGCCACCGTTTAACCAATGCAAAGCTGCAACGGGATTGCGATTGCTAGATATCTGTAATAGAAGTTCGCAAGTTAGGCGTTGCCCGCCCAAGTCTGGAAGATGACACTGACAGTGGTACGTGCTGAGGAAGGTGACAAGTACTGCGTCTCGAACTCGAAAAATACTGGCTTGGTGTCCTCGCCGATGACGATGCAGCCATTGCGAGGATCATCCCGTCCAGTGAAGAAAATCTCGAAGGAGTGGGCCATTGGAATGTGGATTGGTTGTTTTTCATAATGGTGGTGGATTGCAGGCTTTATATGCCCGGGGCATGTCGAGCAAGCCCCAGGTTGATGCAACTCGTGATACTCAGTCACGGAAATTGGATATTATCATATGATTTGGATCATGGTGCACTTCGAGGAGGAAGAAGACACGTATAGATAGAGCGATGCAAGGCGATGCATCGTTCATCTAAAAGCCGCGAAAAGTTCCGGTATTGGTGATTCAGCGAATCGGCGTCATCACTTTCGGGATTGAGGTGGACAATTTGTGATTCATCCGGAATGTCAAACAGCGTTCTGGTACTTCTCGGAACCTGTTTTTTACTATATGGGGCGACCACTTACAATAAACCGGAATCTGATGCACTGTGCGTGGATACGTTCACGCAGAACGCGGGATAACTTGGAACAAAGGGTTTGTGGGGGGAGGTGGAGGCGGGTTTCTGGGCGGTGTTTTTGTGTCACCAGGTTGATTACGCTGTCAAACAACGAGTTTTGAAGACTGAAACTTGAAGTACTGAAGATCTGGGTCGTTGAACCAGTCCATGTTCATTCAATCAATGCTCATCGAAAAAGTGTTGGAAGCTGTAAAAGGTAAGTAATTATTCACAAGTTCCGGAGTGTTCTGGGCAGCTAAAAGGCTAATATTAACCACACTGCCAAGATAATTGCCTATCAGGTATACACGATCGACATCGTAAATCGAATCAGCCTATTTGTAGGTTTTTACTGGAAAGTAACACTGAGCATTGGCGCGCGAGCAGTAATCTGGCGATAGTCAACGAGGAGCAAAAATAGGTCAACTAGGATGGCAGGAGTAAAAGTCACGTAATACGACTTTCCAACAAGATTCGGTTTCATGAGTTGACCTTCCATAGGGGCCGCTTTCGAATCTTTCGAGTGACGTGAACGGCGCTTCCCCCAGGATGCCCTCCGCCGAATGCTAAAACAACCGTTTCTTCTGCTCCGTGCCCTCGTGCGATTCCCCTCTTCCTCACCTCTATAACATCCTTCGCAAACTTAAAACGGGCTTGATCAGATCCTGTGAATATGAAGATAAATGTTCGGTACAATGTTGATAGCCGATAGCAGCATTTACCAATTTCAAACGCGCGTGATTCGACCGCCGATTTAAACATGTCGAAGGGCACAAGGGAAAATACACGCAACAGGGTGTCACGACCAGTTTGGCCTTGTGATGGGTCGGACTCGGATGAATTAATTTCCAAGGCATTTGGGAGTGTCACCACGAGGAAGTGAAAAACATCATCTCGCAACCTTTGGGCAAAGTGGCCAAAGACAGACGTAAGCGATAGCTCAGGGGTGAGAGATCCATCTGGTGATGAAGGGATCGTGTCGATGAACTCGAGCCATTCATTGATTGTCTCCACATTGATCGACTGTCTGCATGCATCATAAGCATAACCGCATAATTCATCCATGCCTCCAAGTAGACAACCGGCTGCGAGCACTCCTCGTGCATTGTCGGGCCGGATGAGACTTAGCGAAACCGACGAATATAGATATCCTAGCGCTGAAAATGTTCCCGGAAATGAACACCAGGTAAAGACGTGACCAAGGACACGATTATGCATACCTATGGCAAAGCCCTGCAGGGGTAATAATAATTCTGTCAGCTCTTGTAGTCTCCAGATGAGAAATTCCGCTCAGCACGGGCTCCGAGGACGGTGGTTGTACGCGATAAGAAAGTAATATTCGAGTCAAATGTGACCTTCGTATCTCTCCCCCGCGCACGGTGGCCGGAAATGAACGGAGTAATAAGGAAAATGGCACACGTACTTCTTGTGTAACCTCTGGCTCATGTTCAAGCTGTACATATATCACACGCTGAGCTCCAGACTGAGGTGAGGTTGACATAAGATGCGCTAGCAACGGCGATCTTGAAAGAACGATGGCGTGAAGGCGGTAGGTATTTTGATGCACATGCTAAATGGAAAATATGTATTAGGTACAATAATCTGATGCAATGAAAATTGGCCTACGAGTATGGTGTCGGCATAATTCTAGAAGGGTGATAATTAGGTTTCGTCTCCTAGAAGAATCCTGTACATACGCCAGTCTGAAAACCCGCATGATAGAGGTGATGTACAATCTCCTCGTTGTGCATTTGGTACGGAGGACTGCGTAGGTTGAGTAATTTCACAATTGCCACGCGTTCGAGTGGTAGACCCAAATGTCAGAAAGTCTCACGCAAGGAATAGACATCAAATCAGCCAACTCACTGCGAGAAACCATTCTGAGCTACCACAGCAAAATTTGTCGGCTCACGGTGACTGTCATTGAACGAGCATTCTGACTGTCCGGTAGGAGGTGTAGCCCCGTTACTCGAAAGGCCATTAGCTACTATGGACGTCGATGATGTTGCATTCATCGCAACGAAAGAGAACAATAAGTGAGTAAAGGTTACTACTTGTGTGTGCAGTGCCACGAGAACGTTGGTACTGAGGAACCAAGTCACGCTGCGGGTCACATGTCACGGCAATACACTACGACTCTACAAGTTTATGATCACACTTCTGAGCAACCAGCTAACGAACGCCTCTCGATCCGTCACTGTCCCGTATCCTTTAGATGTCGACTCCATTGAAACAAAATGTGTCATGAGGTTGTTGGCGAAACCGTGCGCAGCAGTCAGGGGTCCACAAATAACAGGGTAAGGAGGCGGGGGAGAAATATACTCGATCGATGAGTCGGTCGCGGGAAATAACTGAGATTCAGAGACTCATCATTACAGGTCGCACGCAAAGCGGAGGTTCTTATTCCCCACCATATGAGATCTGTCCGATGCAAAATAATGCAAGTACTCTTCTCCAGATACAACCCTGAAAAGACTAATGAATATTAGAGATTTGATGCCGAGCAACTTGACAGGAGCAGACATGCAAGCTTACCACCGATACTGTGGTGGTATGTTTGAATCTGGTGGGAAAGTCTTCTCAACATACTCTTGACAAGATCCGGAATTAAATTATCCATGACGCCTGTGCATTTTATATCTGCATACCTTCCCAACGACTAGGCATCTCTAAGATAGAATCGAAATCGTAGATCCAAGTTTCCTCTTCGATGCTCGGCGTCATGTTGAGCAACCGACAATGAGACCCCATTCGGCTGCGCAGAACCAAGATGGCATGATAATCCCAAATTACTGCTGTGTTTGCAGCAGGTGCCTTGAGTTGACTCCAAAGCGCAACCTACACTCCGTGACATAAGTTCGCAGATTCGGCTGTGCACGATTTACCGTCTTGGTCACATTCGATATAATGACAGCAAAAATATCCCATGTAGTTTTCACCTGCGCTTGTTCCAGAAACCGACGCACAAGGAAATATATGTTTTCCTCGCAATAGCATGAGGTATATGGACTGTCGAGAGGTTTAGGAAGCATTGCTAATTTGAACTCCGACAAGCACGAACTTGAGGAACTCTCGGTTGGAACTTGGCTCTCGGTCCCGTATCCTCGTGTTAGTTGGAACGCTCCACACTGGACAGGCTTGGTCAAGCTTGGGATTCCCGTCCGAGGTGACCCAGTTTATGATTGATGTTATTCGTCCTTGATCATCATACTAATCAGCACACACCGATATTACAAAACTTGGTTTCAGTCAGACACGCTGTGCTTTGACAAATTGAACTTTCAAAGAAAGCCTATGGTTTTGGCGCTGGACGCTCGTTTGGACATAGTACGCACAGCCTTATCTTTTCACATCTTTACTCCCAATGGCCTTTGTTACCACCACCCTCGCTTTCTCTCTCTGTACCTTCGCTTCGGCCGGACCGCCACGCCTTTCACGTTTCCGCCAGTACGTCTGCTCACACCCGTATATATAGCTCATCGTGGATCATATCATCAAAGATTACAAGACTTGAACGTTCTCGCACGAAACGCTCATCGTCTCTGTTTTGCAATGCCTTTTCACGACTCTTTTCATCGTCTGTATTCCCCATCGAACTCTGACACAGCCTTACAGACACTCGGGCTAGCTTCATATCACAGTAATGGCCGGTGCAGATGGGAAATGCCGAGGAGGCAATGCAGGATATTATTGTTCATGAATAATGGGGGACACGAGGGCGTACGGATCCAAGACTTGCGTTATCGTTGTCAGCATGATGCCATGGTGTTATATATTCAAAATATAAAAGCATTCATGTGAGGCAATCGGAACTTTCGACTTGAAGTCGTATCCCACCGCTAATCTTCGCCCAAGGCACAGTGCCGAAGAAGCCCTAAGTTAGTCATGAGCACGGTCACAGGGGAAGTGCTATCATACAGCCTTGGCATGCTCAGCGGTTGTGCAAATCCATTGGGTCGGGCATTGATCTTGTCCCGATCAGATCATGATCGATCAATAAGCTTTTGATCGAGTTTCTGAGTCCGGGGTGCCTTAAAGTACCTTAGTCTCACTGTAAATTAAGATTCTCCCAGCGTCCAATCAAACAGGTTGGTTACCTCCACCACCGTGACCTGTATAGTTTGAAGGGGGTTAGTGTGTAAAGCGCAATGGGCCTTCAATTCCTCCTGTCAGTAGAAAGCTTGCCGCGCAAGCACCTTACCTCGCGCTTGTTTGTGAGATTGCCGTTGGCGTGGTCTGCCCGGCAAGGGTCTAGGAACCTTGCGAACGAATGATGGTCATCTAAAACGTCGTGTCTTTAAGGCCGACGGTCAATAAATTTGGCCCACATGCAGTAGAACGATTCTGTAAATTGTAAGCGGTATCGACGGATAAGCATCTAAATTTCACACAACACAAAAATGTATTATCATCTGTCTGGAGAGCTCTTGTAGGACAGTGAGAATATTTAGCGCTCGAATCGCACAAGTGAACTGCCTACAGACCTAGCTCGGCGATGATAGGCGGCATAGATCGGCATGCCAATGAAAAATTCAGATGTTCTCGCGGGGATGAGATCGATATTTTGAGAAAGTGCAAGAAGTCAAGACAGGCGTCTGGACACGTCACGGAGCCAGCCAAAGTGACCAAGGCGGTGGCGACTAAATTGGACAGGGTAATTTTCCGCACGAACAGTACGGACGATCCACGGCCGATATGGATATACCTGGAGAAATTATGATCAATTAGGAGGTGGATATTTATTTCTATTATCTAGAAGCTATTGGTAAGCAGACAGGCAGCACTCCCTAACTGTCTGCGGGTATCGTGGAAATCGACGTCGTGAGCTGTAAAATGATCTATAATCAGTACCGCCTTGAGTGCATGACGGGGAGGCAGTTGCAGAAGGAACGCCTCCTCAGGATAGCAATGCCAAACTCACAGTCCTCAACCTCTCCCCATCTTTGAATTTGACTCGAGACTTCGACTTGTGCAGCCACAGCTGCTTCTTCAACAGTGAGATGCCTCTTTACAAGGGCAAGCGCGATCAAGAAAGACTTCGTCACATATGTCGCACGTTCCATGGCTAGAATGGTCAATGTGGTCCCTTTGGCTTCAATGACAGCTTCATGACACTCACCAGCCAACTCCCATGGATTCATCTTGGTCAAGATGATGTCAAGCTTAGCTCGCGTTTCTGCCGGTTGTGAATGGAGTAAAATTGAGGTAAAGACTTGTATGTCAACGTCAAAAGTAGATTTTGCCCATTCAATCAATGGATCCCAGTACTTGTGTTGGAGTTCTACCAACGGAGGTGGGTCATCGTGATGGAAACTATAGAGCTATGATCAGATCGGTCGGTCTTGTGGAAATAAATACACACCAGATTGTATCAGTATCCAAGTAATTAAGAAGAGATTCTCGCACTTCTGAGCACGTTTTTTCATCATGGAAGGCATCGATGGCCCGTGAGGCTATGGAAGTCTGCGCTAGGTCAATGGCAGGAGTTAGGTCATTATTGAGCAATCATACCATGGGAAGAGCATGAGGTTTCAACAGAGTTTCCTGGTTTTCCCATTCACTTGCAATGAGTGTTGCAACTAGACGCTTGTTCCTGGGTAACAGCAGAGTATTGCCAGACGGTGTTTTCAACGCTCGCATGTCAAGCGTCACAGTGAGTCCATCATCTCTCTTTGAAATTCCTACTGTCTCCCAGAAACGCTTCAAAGTGGCTTCAGCACCTAAAAGTACATAAATAGATAATCACAACAGCCAGTCTTGTAGTGCTCACGATTTGTCTCCGACACCACTGTACCATCGGGAGGCAATGAAGCAGTAGCGAATGACCTAGAGAAAGAGTGTACGCTCGAGTCACACGAGAACCTTAAACGAGCCGTTGACCGTGAAAATAGTCCGCGGTACATGGACGAAGCAAGGGATGGACAACAAGAAAATAACAAATCCAACTTAAGTTGAAGCAAACCTGTTGAAGTTGAACATTGAACTTTGGAAGAAAGTTAAATCACTGCAAACACGTGACGTAACAACACTAGTCCATCGTCGTGACGCGACCTCACTCAGAGTCTTTGACGCGACCAGGATGCCGGAAAGACAGTCTGCCAGTAGACAAACCCAACCCCAGATATCTTCATTTTTCGTCCAGAGCTCCGCGACGAAGAAGCGTTCACTCCTTTCCTCGCACTCCCCCATAGACTTGACTATAGATGATTCTGACAGTGACGTCGAAAGGCAACCCCCTATAAAGAAACTGAAGTCGAAACATCCTGAGTCCCCTACTAGTCAATGGCGTTTTGACGCCTCCTCCAGAGGGGAGCATTCTGGCACTGCGAGCGTAAGATCATAAATCGCGCTCACGAGTAGATTTGGAACGCATTCTACTCGGAACGGGCCCACAGTCGGGACATGCTAAAGACAGAGAGAACTCGAGTGTGGACGATGATAGTTCTCAGGATGGAAATGATTCAGACCCTGCGTTCACTGAACTCCGAGCAATGTTCTCTCTCGTACCCATCAAAGGCAGGAAGAAATCGCGTGTGAAGCCTATGGCTAGGAAGACAAAAGCTGCCGCAGAGGTCGGGCCTGGTGGCGAGACTTATACACCCTACGAGGCTCAGGTATTCTGTGCTGAATTACATCGACCTTCTTGCTCGCTTATTTATTTCATTAATGCAGGCTTTATCATTCATTAAAGATCATCCCGGGACGATCCTAATGATTGAGAAGGGTTACAAGTTTTATTTCCACGAGGAAAGTGCAAAAGTAAGTGAATTTAGTAGACGTGGAATCCTCGCGCGTTGCCAAACTCAGGCACCATAGATTGCCAGCGGAGAACTCGGAATTGTTGCTTATATGAAGCGGAACCTTCTCACTGCCTCTATTCCCGTTCATAGGAAAGAAGTACATATGAAGAAGTAAGTCTCAACCTTAATTATTGCCTGAAACTTATATGACCCTGAGTTAGGCTCCTCTCCAAAGGTCACAAAGTTGGTATTATCGAGCAAACAGAGACAGCCGCCCTCAAGAAAGCGAGCGAGAACAAGAACACACTTTTTGAGCGCAAACTTACTCAATTGTCCACGGCGGCAACGTAAGGACAGACCTTATTGCACACCGAACCGATCAACTTACATTGATATAGTTATGTTGACGAGGTCGGTTCTGTCGATGACCTCGATAAATACTCTGCACCGCCCCTCTTGTGTCTTCTCGAGAGTCATAAACCCGACTCTGCTGAAGGCGAAATCAGCATTGGTATGATTGCGATTACGCCAAGTACCGGCGACGTTATTTGGGACGAATTTCATGGTATGGACAATCGAGTAACCACCCGAAATTATTAACAAACAAAACATCCAGATACCGTCATGCGCGTCGAGCTCGAGGTAGGTCTAACATAATCCTAATTTAAACGCTGTAGCATCACTATTTAGACGAGACTTGTCCACACAAGGCCTGCAGAATTATTAGTTCCCGGAGAAGATCTTACCAAAATGACTCAAAAGGTTTTGGCGCATTTCGCGAAGTAAGCGCGGTCTTATTTCTCAGGTAGAGAACTTGTGCTGACGACATTTTTACAATCTCCAGCGCTTCTCATGACCAACGAATAAGGACGGAAAATTTCAACTCTACACTGAGCGGCTCGGAGGCTTTTGATTTTATCACAAACTTTTACACAACCAAAGCCACTGCTAGCACTGAAGAGCTTAGCTCAGGTCAGATATAATGTTGCAACTACGTATTGTGAATGTTCATGAGGTCGTTGCAGACAAACTTCTGGCTCTTGTCGCTGGCCTTCCGCAACTAGTTGTCATATCTTTAGCCCACTCCATCAAATACCTCTCAACATTCAGCATTGCAGACTCGCTTCTAAGCGTGAAGTTTTTTACAAAGTTCACCGAGAGAAGTCATATGCTTCTCAACGGCAATACCATGACTAACCTGTTCGTATGGATCAGTGTTATCCGATAACAATGTCCCTGACGTGTACAACTGCAGTGAAATATACCAGAACCAGACTGATTTCACTACGCATGGTACATTGATGTCGATTTTGGATCACACATCCACGAAATTTGGGGCGCGGCTGTTAAAGAATTGGATTGGTAAGCCGTTGACAAACAAGCTGTAAGTACTTCCCGGGACATCGCAATTGCAACGTTTACCGTTATTTGACCAGGATCCTGAACCAGAGAATAGATGCTGTGGAGGAAATTAAGTCCAGCAAGTCACCACAACTAGTGGAGCTTTGCCGTGTCTTGAAAAGACTCCCTGACCTTGCCAAGGGTCTGTGCCGTATCCAATACGGGAAGGTAGGAGATCCATGTTTTAGGCATATTGATTATAATCGTGCTCCAGTGCACATGTCAAGAACTCGCTTCCCTTCTTTCGGCTTTCGGAACTGTTGCCAGTGCATTCCCGGAACATTCAGAGGAGTTTCATTCAAAGTTCTTGAATGATATTTTTTCTGCCCTCCCGAAATTGAAGGCACCGATAAAAGCTTTATTAGGTGAAATTGACACCAAGAAAGCCAGCAGTGGCAGAAAAGATGAGTTGTGGACAGATCCAGAGCAATTTCCTGCCTTGAACGAGTACAAGTTGGTCTGTATGTCCCTTACCCTTTCTCTCATGCTATTAATCCTTAGATTTAAAGCTAATCGAAACTGTCAAGTCAGAACTTGATGAGGAGTTGAAGTCTAGTAACAAGTTTCATCCACAAGTAAGGATGTTGCCTAACTTGCATGTTTAGTCCGTAAACTCCTCCGTAAACCGTCCCTCGCGTGGACGACTATCGCGGGTATTGAGGTGCGTCAAACATAACTGCAATGAACGTTGTGCTGAGCATTCAATATAGTACTTGGTTGAAATCAAGAAGTCGGAGGATCGAACGGTGCCCACCAATTGGGTGGTGATGTCTGCGTAAGTGTTTTAGTGGGCGAGACGTTCTACACTTATGACCAACAGAACCAAGTCCCTGAGGCGTTATCACACCCCTGAGGCTAAGAGGCTCATTGATGAGTTATCTCGGTATAAAGAAGCTCTAAATGCGGAAGCTAACAAAGCTTTTGCATCGTTCCTCAGTTCCATCGCTTCAGACCACTATTCAGTAATGCGAGATGTGGTCAATAAGTTAGGCATAGCGGATTGCCTACTGAGTCTGGCACATGTGGCCCACCAAGAAGGGTACGTTCGACCAGAGTTCACCGAAGAGGATTCCCTGGAAATAGTAGAAGGACGACATCCGATGATCGAGGCATTGCGAACGGATCCCTTCGTTCCCAATACGTTGTGCATTGGAGGTGATTATCCTAGGAGCAGCGTAATTACGGGACCCAACATGGGTGGAAAAAGTTCTGCTGTGCGCATGGTTGCTCTCATCGCAATTATGGCCCAGATTGGATCCTATGTACCTGCTAAAGCTGTCAGGCTTGGCCTGTTAGATGAGGTTTTCAGCAGGATGGGAGGTGCGTCAACTGTTTTCTAGTTTTCACTGTCACTGATTTCGATGCTCGTGAAGCGTCCGATGAACTCGCTCGCGGACGATCGACTTTCATGGTAGAGATGGCACAGACGAGCGACATACTACAAAAGGCAACTCACAAAAGTCTAGTAATTCTTGACGAGTTAGGAAGGGGTACATCCACTGCTGATGGGGTGGGTTCGCAATTTTGATTTCATCAGATTTTTATGTGACAGCATTCATGCAGATGGCCATTGCGAACGCCGTCCTTCATCATCTAGTGGAACGCGTGAAGTGCAAGACATTGTTCATCACACATTATCCGCTAGTAGCCACAGAGTTGGAAAGAAAATTTCCGAGGAAGTGCAAAATTTGCACATGAGCTATACAACGGAAATGCGAATAAATGGAACTCGGGATGTGACATTTTTGTATCAACTCACCCCTGGCATTGCTTTGGAGTCGTTTGGAGTCGAGTGTGGTCGCCTTGCAGGTCTTCCGGACGATATTCTTCGTATTGCATCAGAGCGCTCTGAGCTTTGCAAGACTGTCACTGAACAGCGCACACGACGCTCCAGGTCGGTGCATGCTTATCATTCACCCCCTTTTAGCTTAACACTTTTACAGGACACGCAAACTTATGGGTGCCATCGCTCGTGCTCTTTCAACGCAAGATGCAATGAGACTGGAAGAGCTCCGAACTACAGTACGGCAGTTTACGATTGACTTAGCTAGTGGGGACACTCTTCTTTTTCTTCCGCTTAGCATCGGATGGGACACCTTCAGCTTCTACTTCCTCAGCCTTCCTTTTTGATGCCATCAAATTATGTTGTCCGCCGTGTTGGGCTTGTAAAGCCGATTCCACTTGAGAGCACAGTTTGAGAATAGCTGTCGACGAACCGAACCGCTTCGAAGCGATAAGCCGTCCATGCAGGGTGCGCCAAGCCCCTGAGTCCCACACGTTTTGATTGTTGCTATCGACCTTGCTTGCTTGACGAACGCCAAGCATGGCTAGTTTGAAAAGGTCTTTGATTTGTGCGGCCGAGAGAGAGACTTGATCATCGCATGCTGAATCGATAAAGTGGAGAACACTTGTGTGGAGTTTCAGAATGAAAGATAAGACATCCTGTGAGTCACCCTAATAATGATAGTAGGCTCATCAGTCCGTTTTGAATGTAACAGTAAATTAAGGCTCTCACCGCCGAGGTCGATAGAGTAAGAATTGTGTTAAGCAGCTGGAAAGCCTGGCATTTCCTATATGCATTGATGGCTTTTGGAGACGTATCCAGTACGTCATCGCGGAGGCGCCATCCTAATGCCGGATAACGAGTGATGAAATCTTTGAAAAATGTAATATTCAACGAGGAAGCCTTGCGGGTCATGAAGTCTGCTATCGACTCCCTGTACAACCGAAGAACAGATGTCTCGCAGCCGACGTTCGTTAATACCCTGCAAATGAAAAGACTGCAGTGACTGAGGGTCACGAGCGCATCTGATGAATGCGCCTTACGAGCTTTGATATGCAGCTCATCCAGTATAGTCTCTGCATATTCTCGATCTACCTCCTGGAGTGGATCTTTGAGCTTTGCGAGCCTGTTGTTGAGGATGCCACGAGCTTTGTCAGATAGCTGGCGCTCGTCATTACCGCTCTTAGTAGTGAGTTCGATCAACGGCAACACTAGACGCAGGTTATGAGGACTCTGGGGCATCTTCCTCGTAAAAATGTCGACCAAGTCCAAGACTCTATTCTTGAAGTGAGTAGCTTCTCGCTGTGCATTGACATCTGTGGGAGTCTAAGCTTATGCGATCGTCGATGATGATGATTTGCCATACTTTTATTTTGTTTGTTGTCACTAGATCTGGAGCGGAAGACTTCTGCGAGGTGTTCATCAATGGCCATCATTTGCTCGTCATCTACTAGTTCCTCCTCAGACTCCTCATCGGTATCCCCAATGGCAGCCTCGGCGCCATTTGCTTTGAGTGCGTCCTCAATTTTCATCCGCAGTTCGAGAGCAGCTTCGTTACCATCATCGAAATCGGACTCATTGTCTTCGTCGGAACATTCAGCATCCTCCTCCTCGTCTTCACTTGTTGTGCTCTCTGTCTCGTCTTCTTCATCAGCGACCAGATCGGCTGGGTTGCGGCGCTCCAATTGCTGTACACAAACAAAGTCAGAAGATGTACAACCGATAAGCAAGCAATGATTACTGACGGCAACGATGAGATCTATTGTAGTTTCTGTGGCTGCGCTAGCGATACATAAGAAGGTCTTGTTGGCCATTGCACGGAGGTAAGACGTAGACTTTTCAAGAAAACCAATGAGTACATCAACCAGCATGTCTATCGGTTTGGGAAAGTCGGAGTCTGGTTGTGAAATGGTATGCGATTTTCTGCGATTTTTGGATTTGTTGTCAGTAGAAAACATGGTTGCGGCAGCAGCAATACAAGTCTGAATCGCGACGACTATCAGGCTAATTCTGCACAATGTAGAAGAAATACTCGCCTCAAGTATCCCCGCATCAACCTCATCATCGTCTAAGTTGGCGCAGCGACGATGAAGCAAAGAGGCTGACAGGAGAAGCTCTACTCCTCTAGCTGCCACTCTCACGTCACCATCAACCTGATTTGAAGCAATAAATATAATAAAACGCAAGTTTGGAGCGACGAACCTGCTTGAGATGATCTATTGTCTTATGAGCTTGTTGAAGTAGCAGTTGCTCCTCCTGACTTGGCTCCGATAGAGACGTGACGTGCTTGCTGTCCTTGTCCAGATGATTGACCACAGTGAAAACTTTCGATATCCAGGATTCATCATCAATTGCCCCCTCCTTTGGCGCCTTGTCACCTGATCAGATTGAGTCAGAGCCATCAAGTAACTGCCAATCTTATCTCAGACCTTTCTGCGATACGGTGGATGGAGTTAAATCAGCGAGGCAACCAAGAAGTTTGCCGCGACAAATCCGCCGGAAATCCTCAGAAGCAAGACTAGAGGGGGTGACATGGAGCTGCGATGGTGTCAACCCTGATGGTCTCGTAGGTCGGAAAACCAATACATACCGCAGCAAGGAGCCCCTTGGTAGACTTTCTCTTGACCAAGTATAACCCCTGCACAGTAAACCAATTGAGAATGAGCTGAATCCAGTCTTCACGTTTTGGGATGGCACCGTTGCGAACGAGGGCCGTGAACTGGTCTGCGATCCAATTTTTTTTAGCTTCTTCTGCAATAGCGTCACTGTACTTGTGTTATGAGAAGCCTTAGGAGACTACGAAATTGCACATACTTGTTAGACTCATCTATTTGTTCGAGTAAACTTTGGATGTACTTCATGATGCCATCGCTGTCCATCCTCGACAATATTGATTCTATGGTCTTCGTTCTAGTCAGTTTATCAAACTGTTGGCTCCCATGAATCCCAGTTAGCTGCAGAATCAACGTGTAACCAAGCTCAGGATTCTGCTGGACGAGGTTTTGGATGTCTTTGACCTATTGTAGTATTAGCAATGTGCGAATGAGTAAAAAGACGAGAGCTGGCGCACCACATCCAGGGAAATTTTGTGAAGGTGACGGTCTTTGTGAGAAAGATGATTGATCCAAGACCGCATGAAATTTTTGGTGAAAAGCATAGGAAGATCGGTACTATCCACACGGCGTAAAGCTTTTTTGAAGACAAGGAACCCCCAGAACTTCCGTTCAGGAGAAGATGACACCCCGAACAATGTCTCTGTATAGGGCATCGATTGAAATTCAAGAAATCGTGATGGAAAACATACCGTCGACCACCACTCGGAAGAACTCTTGAAATAATGCATTACGGCGACATCCTGGCTCGCTCTCAGGGAGAAAGTTGTCGAAAATGATATTCCATACGTAATGCAACTGAGCTTTCCATGTCCCCGTATTACTCTGTTGCCACTCATCCTCGCCAGGAGTTTCCTAAGCAGACGGGAAATATCAATAAATCCTTCTCACGTTAGACATGTAACTTCAAACCTTCAATATATGCCCAAGGGACGAAAAGTTAGCGGGAGCCAAAATGGCCGAATCTTTGAATGTCGGCGTTAGAGTGCTTTTCCAGTCATGCTTGGGCATTGCAGGCTGTAATTTTAACGTTATGGCGACCGTTTCTGGTGTCCAAATGTCCTTTTCACGCTCGTACACAACTTCGAGCGTAGAAGCTAGAGCTTCCTCTTTCCAAGAAACGGAAGACTTTATGACAGCATCAATAGCCTCCCCGATGGTCCACCAAGCACATTCTCGTAGCCAGGACTTCTTCTCAGCGAGAACAAGAAGATGGCTGACAAGCTCCTTGTAACTCTCAAGACTCGACGAATTTGTGGCAGACGAAGGAGATGTCGACAACGGGGTCTGCCGTACAAGGAGCCCAGAGTGAATGACAGTGGCAAGTCCAAAGAGGCGAGCAAATAAGACATCACGTTCTTCTTGACCAGTCATAGACCCTTGAATTTTCGATCCATCAACGATCATTGAGATGATTTGAGCAGATGTGACAGTGTCCAGCCGAGAAAGTAACTAATAGATGTGAAGTCGCAATATAGTTCTCGAAGGTGGAGACTCATACCTCGGTGAGCGCAACGCTGAAGCCGAGCCGACTACTTTCCCGAGGACTCGCAAGTCCTCGTATAAGCCGCCGTATGGAGTACGCGACATCATGCGCATTCAAGACATCTAGGCCATCCGTTGGACCAACGTTTTCCTCATCATCCTCGGAGCCTGGCGAAACCTCAGGTTTGGGAGTGTGTTGTCCCTGAAACTTCTCAAGGGAATTAACAAGCTTGACTGTTGCATTGATACGTTCTTTTTTCGATGCTGATGACAAATTCCAGAATAGGGAAAGAGTAGTGGCCATCGTCGTACAGGGATTCCATTCCAAAATTTCCAAAACCAAAAACTGAAGTGACAGATTAGGTTGTTATGACATGTTTAAATCCAACGGCTTCGGTAAACAAAGCAAAACACTATGATTTTGGGCCCTCGTCCAGGATCCTGAAGACCAAGACAACATGAATGTGATGTAGGCTGCACAAGTTAGCTATCACCTGTAAAGTATTATAGTTCTAAGATTAAGTAAGGTTGCTACTCCAATGTCTAGTCGAAATGCATCCAGTGCCCCTTTTCGCCCGTTCTGCATTTCAGGCAGTCTGCACGTGGCCCCATCGTAAAGCGCTGCTTTCTCCCTGAGGTTGACTTAGGTCCTGGAGATTGGCTGATCGGAAGTGGCGGTGGAATTGGTATTTCAGATGATGTAGTCTGGAAAAAGTCATGGCTTTGAGTTGGGACCGACTGTAATTCCTGCTGGTTTGATGATCCGTCCGACGATATACCAGGTTGCACGTATACCGAAGAAGGCTGTTGCTGATGTGTCATGATTAAGCTTGGTGTTAATGGCTGCCCATCTGCCAGTCCGACGACGATTTGAGATGGGCGCTGAGGAGGACCAATGTACGCTTGTGATGCGTTTAATTGCGTGTTTGTAGGGTGTGCCCGTGATGGCTGTAGTAGCCGTGGTGGCGAAAAGACAAGCACCGAGGAGCAAGACTTTAGATGTTCATCTGGGTCGAGTGCCTGGGATGTAGTTAGCAATCGGACAACTAAAGAAACACATTGACGAGCAATACGAAGTTCAAACATCACTTACCATGTTCTCATCCTGTACATCACCAGTCACACTTGGCAAAGGAACAGGATCGACACTATTCGGGCGTCCGATAGAGAGGTCGCTAGCTTGCCTCACCCAATCATCTGGGCTTGGTTGATGATGATTGCTCGAGTTTTGGTTGGTAGAAAATACACTGGAAGATGCTCGTCGACTCAGATACGTATCCTGTAAAGCAAGTGATGAACGTTTCTGTTCATACAACAAACCACTTGTGAGCTATTCTATCTTGTAGCAGTTGAAGTTACCCACTGGCTGGCGTTCTTGGCTTGGGGAGCCAGGAGAGCGGGACCTCTTCAGTGAATAGTTGAAGGAGCGTGTCATCCTTGTGGATGGCGAGTGAGTGTCGACTTCCATCATCTTCGAGCTATTAATCAAGGGGCTGCAGCCAACAAAATATTCGTGAATAAGAAAGACAACAACGAGCTACAACGAAATCCGCTTTTATAGAATCAGCATTTGTCAAAAAACAAAGCAGAGTTTACCAGAGTCGCCACAACTCGGAGTTACTGCCGAACGTTGTGGTTACAGTTGCTAATGGTACTTTTCTGTACTTTGTTCAACTGATAAGAGTTCAACGAATTGCAACAAGGACTACATGTACAGTACAGGGTAACAGTTTATGAGATATACATAGCATCTACTAGCCACAATAGCTAGGATCTAGAAACAACTACAAGATGAGTCTTCACAATTTCGTAAAAGCAAGCGAGTGATCCATTTGATTCTAGTGTCCTCAACCTTGCATGTTCAGCCCGCCACGAGGCAGTCTAGGTTCACCCTCAACGTAAGGCTCCCCAGTCTCCTCTCTCAACATGTCGTTGAGCCAAGCGCCATGAGGCTGGATCTTCACACCGCGATTGTACATTACGGCGAGGTACAGCCAAGCAGCGGCGTTTCCGACAGTGCCAACTTCGTCAGAGACGTGTGTACGAGCGTACTCGCTCATCTCCGAGTACAACTTCTCGTCGGTATACAAGTTGAAGAGGTATTTGGCAACGTCATTGTTATCGCCAACCTCTGTGAGGTAGCCCGACTTGCCATGCACGATTTGAAGAGGAATACCACCAGTGCGGGAAGCCACGACAGGTATACCGGCATGCAGTGCTTCGGAAACTTTGACTTCAAAGCCCTCACGAAGGGAAAGCTGAAGGGCAATCTTGGCGTTAGCCATCAGAGCGTCGAGAACTGCGTGCATGATGAAAATTAGTTCCTAAGCAACTTCGAACACTCGATGATCACGCACGTTGGTCACTCGGGGGCAACCTCATCACAACGATGTCTGACTGGTATACCTTGTAGTCAGGCGAGCTGACGAGGTTCATGACTTGGTCGTAGATGATGCTGGCATCAGGGTCATCGACAGCACCGTGGCCACAAATCAATAGCTGGGGCACCTCGGCTTCGGTAACCCTTCCGGACTCCTTGAGCATGACGCGGAAGCGAGCATAAGAGTCGATGACATTTGGAATACCCTTCGATGGGTCGAAGCGGGCAACTTGGACGACATAGTCGCGCTGAGGCCATTTGAGCTCGGCCATCTTCTCCTTTACACAGAGGTTCCGGAATTCGCCCATGTAAAACTGGCTATCCCATGGGTGGAGGTCCTTGTTCAACCCGTCAAGCCTTGCAAACAAACACATCAACGAATGAAGCAATAAACTTGAGCCTGGCTTACCAGTCAGTGGCGGCACCCAGCAATGCGAGCTTCTCGATAGGGACATCGCTAGGGACGAACTTGCTGACTGGATGACTGATGAAGAGATCTGCCAGTTGAATGTTGTTCCAGAGATATTTCCAGACTTCTTCCTGAGGAGATCCCTTCACATGCACAAGATCGCTGCGGATCTCAATGTGCGACCGATAGACAATGGGAAGCTCCGGTCTGACTTTTTTAATGAGCGGAATAAGACCAGGCATCTGAGGGTCGTCTGAATGGTACAGTGATGAGGGCTCGATACCTGAGAATGAGGACTAAGGACTCACCGATGAAAGCAATGTCAACGCCGCCAGGGGCCAGGGGACCACCCTCTGCAGTCCATCTAAGTCCATTTTTCAGGATCCATGCGTCGAATTGATCTTTCGCCGCCTGGGTGAGGCGAAGGTCTGGAGCAGCAACACCTTGCAGGATGTTGTGGTTGTTTTTCGTGGTGCGGAATACGCTTGGCGATGGATTCGGCACGTACCTAGCAGTCGTCGCCGAACATCAGCACCCAGGTACGACAAAAATAGAATCATGAGGGTGCGGAGATTGTTACGTACCATGCAACGTCAACATCCAGGGCAGTGAGGAACCTGATGAGAGCATGTCGCATCTGTCGTAAGCGTGAGTAAAACTATACCGGGACCCATGAAAAATACGCACCAAAGCTACTCCACCTACAAGCGCCAGGAAAAACCACGGGATTATGATCAGATATATGTTGGTTGACGATAAGCTACTCACCTCCCTGAGGTGTAGAAGAGAAGAAACCGATCTTGACCTTTTTCTCTCGCAATTCGTCCGCGAGTTTGTTGACGGCATTCCAAGTACCTGGTCCAACAGTTTTCCTGTAAACGTCGAGATCGTCTATCAGATGGATCTTGCCAGCCGCATCGACGGTGACTTGATTACGGGGACCGATGGTGAGGCGAGGGTTATTGTTAGGGCCGAAATACATGATACATTTTCGGGCAGCAGAATCAGCTTGCTCATCGAGAGTACGGGGGATCGGAAGTTTCGTGGCGACACCTGACTGGAGGTTGTTGTTCTGATCCAAAAGTGGGGATGGATCAACAAAGACTGTGGGGGTCTCAGCACCAGAGGGAACATATGAACCAGTGGTCGAGGAAATGCGATGCTTGACGTTTGGGCGCGTCAGAGAATCAGTGTGGAATGGCTTGATATTGAAGACGATTGGGACGACATCAGTCTCAAGCCAGAGATGAGTGCAGAGATTGGGACACTGGACGAATATGTAAGGATCGATCGCAAACGAGATAGAGTGGATACTCGCCTCTTTCAAAAGACCGAGGGTAACACCGGCACCAAGGAACTTGCACAAGTGCTCTTGAGAGAACTTTTTGATGGTCTGAAGAACGTGGTTCGCAATCTCAGATGCGGACTTGGTGGGATCGCTGGAGGTGTAAGGCACGATGACCGATGCAAAATCGGTGTTGTAGACGGAGTCATGTATGGAAATTGCGATTTCAAAGCCTTGTCCACCATTCACAACAGCACCAGCAATACCTGCCCACATAGGCTTATAACACGCAATCAGCATCAACATGATGCACTGAGAGGAAATGATCGATCAAACTTACAGTGAGGGAGGAGTAGGCATGAACAGCAGGTTTCCCCGCGGCGCCAACGCTGGAAAGCCTGCGCTTGGCGTGACTGGAGCCTTTGGATTCAAAGTCAGTAGTAGGAGGGGACATGGTAGCCTAAGTTGAAGTTAACAGAAAGGGCAGCGCGCTATTTAAGTGAATCAGGAATCAGATTGGCGCTGGTAGTGGGGAAGGGACTAATCTTTAATTGGTTGAGGAGTTTGTGCACCAGAAGCATAAGAAACTCACACTGCATATAGAGTTAGGCAGAGACCCTGATCACATCTGAGTGACAAGCAAGGACAACGCGACCTAAACTGGATCTGTTTGAGGGGGAAATAGGAGTTAATGAGGGTCTTAATCGGTTGAACCTTACGAACATGTCCTGCACAGTGGAGTTGAAGTTGACAAACGGAGTTGATCTAATCAAAGAACCACCATCGATACCCCTGGAAGTACAGAGTTTTCGGGGTCTTACCAACCTTGTAGCATCACACGGTTGTCCTTAGTCAAAGTATACATACATGCATGACCTGCCCCGACTGTGGGGGAACTTTTGTCTGGGACGACGACGTCTGCTCTTCCATCTGCACAAAATGTGGTACCTTGTCTAATTCTGCTCAGTATGTCCTTGCTTCCCATACAGAATCCCATGACTCTTCCGTGCGCCAGTTTCAACCTACTTCATGGCTTTCCTCCTCTGCGGCTCCTCTCAAAAATATTCACAAGCAGGGATGGAATCTTGCTGGGCAGCACAAAGAGGCGCGTGACAGAGGGAACGCTGTGGGTTTATTTTTTTATTTCTTTTCTTTTCTTGGACACTATTTACTCACTCCCGCACGCCGTGTCAGATCGCCATGAGCATTTTCATCACATCCGTCCTGACCAAGTTGAAAAATCCCGGTCTGTCCCCACGTGCGGAAGCCATCTTCACACAAGCTATGACAAAGGGCAAATACAGGTGGGGACGCAAGGCAAAGCTAGCTGCCGGTGCATCCATGGCCATCGCCCTACGTGAGGCACACAAGTCGGATTCCCTCCGCGACATTGCCTTTTTCCTTGATGACTCACCATTGTCTCTGTCGCGCGCATTTGTAGCCGTGGTATCTCTTCTGGATTTTGACCTAAGTTCATCAGACCCAGTTGTTCATCTTCCCATCCTCCTGTCTCATCTTCAGTCCTTATTACATCCTGAAGCTTCCACTTCTCATCTACCTCCAGATCTCGTTGCCATCCTCACACCATTGTCGCCTCATGCGGTATTGCGTACTGCTACGTCCCTATCGGGTATTATCAGCCGAGAGGCTTGCGCTATACCCGTACTGCAGTCTCCCACCCCTCCTATTGCCTGTGCAATGCTCATTCTTGCACTTGAAGCGGAAACGCGCAGCCCCCTGCCTCACCTAAGTGAGCTGGCTAACGCGCTCGCGTCGCGCTTTGGCTTTGCGCGTGGTGTAGTTACATCGCGTTACAAAGCATCCTATGATCTAATTGAGGAATGGATTCGAGAAGTCCCTTGGCTCGATCAGTTCGTGTACAAGGGAAAGGGTCGTGGTCCCTCTGCTCGGTCGAAAGTTCCGAAACGCTCTATTGTTGCGAAGGGGATCATAGATGTCATTCAATTTCAAGAGGAGATATGGACGAAGAAAATGTCCGCTCTTGGAAAGGCTAGTATCGTAATTGAGGCGGATCCGGCAGACGACGACGGCAAGAAGGATGAGGAGGCATTTTTCTCGGAGACATTTCCAATCAGCGAGCCTCCTGAGCTTCGCCATCACCAGCCCCGCAAGAAACGAAAGACAAAGGATCATAGCGTCGAGAATGCGTATCATTTTCTGCTTAATCCTTTGTCCGCGAAATCTTATACTCTGTCGAATCCTATGGTATCCGAGGACTCGGGCGCTTCGACAGCACGTTCTGATTCTTCCTCGCCTATCTTAACACCGCCAACTGTTCCATTTACGACGCATCTCCTCAGTACTTTGTCGTACGATTTGAAGCATTCTCCTTCTCGTCTCCAGCTACTGGCTCTTAGCCGAGGTGGCGGGTCTGCGGAACACATTCGAGACGACGAGTTATTTGTAGACGGTGAACTAGAAGAGCTTCTTCGAAATAGTGAGGAACAAGAGGCCTTGAAGCCACTATTCCGACTGCAGTGGCAAGAAGAAGATGACACAGTCGCATACCACGCAGATCGCGGACCACAAACCGCCAGAATGGAGGTGAGTCGTGGCTCGGGACGCGTCGATATGGCAGCCCTGGCACGTATTCTAGGCGGGAAGGAGGAGGAGGAGGTTGATGACGAGGAGTGTGAGGTCGAAAGCGGATTATCGGCGCCGGCGACGCCAAGACACGTTCAATCTGATGCTGCCGAGGAGGTAAGCGCTTGGCGGCCCCTCTCGCCCGGGAATGCTTTTTCGAAGCATTGCACTAGTATGGATAGGTACGAAGAGGAGTACTGATGGTTGGACCCGAGGCACCCCCGCAGTCGGTGCAGATGCTCTTATTTTTTCATGCTACAGCACTTCTGTCATGTAAGTATCCATGTGGATATCTCGCGCTTAGAATGGTTATTGAACTTGCCTTTTGTTTGAAAGCTGGAGCACAAGGTAATTTTTCATTTGGTTCATATCTAGCCTACGCGATATGGCAAATATCGCGCCGCCCTGGTTTGTGTAGGCTTACTGCAATCTGGATAATCGGGTCCGATATTGGAGGTAGTACAAAGATCCATGGATCGATTTGAAAAGAGCTAATTGTAAACCTGAAAGCAATTTGGAATACATCGTCCTCGTGGCCTGTCAAAGTAAAAGGCGTTCTCCACTCTATCCATAATCAGCTATGGGTAATTAACGAACATTAAATAAGTGGAATTATACAGTAGTTTAACGACACTAAAAATATCATTAATTCTCCACTTGTAGGCCAGGATCGAACCCCTTTGGAAAAACCTGTCGGACATTGATATTAATCCGAGTTGTCCGCATGTATAATTCATATGATGTCCAACTAGAGAATCCTTCGCCATCCGATTTCAGGGAGAAGTGATCAGGCAGAGTGTCCTCCAAGATACGGGGAACGCCTGGCAGATTTGGATCAGATCTCATGTCAACAGACGATGGGCTCGGACAAACCGTGATAGGCCCGTCTACAAGCAGGTCCGGACATTATCACAACATCACCCGAGCGAAGAAGAATCGCCGTTGGCTCCACATCTCTAGTAAGACCACCGATGAGGAAGATAGCGGCGTTGCCCAGCCTGTCGCGAAATCGCCACATCAACATTATTAATGATCAACGAAGATAAGCCTTGATAACTGACGATATCGAAACCAGAGGTGACGTAGCACAGACTTCCGAGCGATCTACGTGTGCCATGAGAGTGTCCTGCAGGAATTATTAAGACACTCCTCGATTATTTCGGGCATATGTCATACCTTGATTTGATAGTAATTAACGATGCCAGCATCAGGTTCTACAAGCGCCGCAGTTAGTCAGGCGAAGTTGAGAAATCGAGAATTCATACCATATGTCTCATGCCAACTTCTCCAATGTTCATCAACCCATCCTTCCTCGTCCGATTGTCCAAATACTTCTTTCCAATTAACAGCGGAGACAGCCCGCTTGCATATGGCTCCGATTTCATTGTCGACACGACCTTTGCCCTTGGTGAAGTCATATTGCTTACTACCCCAATGATATGACCATCCGATATTTGCCCAGCGCAACCTTGAGATAAGTGCAGTGGGTGAGAGCTGGCGAAACAGTCGGAGACGGCGCAGGCGGAGGCTTCGGTGAATGCAACATCGACTGAAAATTGGCGGGATCAGCTGGTGTATTAGAGACCAATTGCCTTGATCCAGAGTTTCCGTATTTTGCATCCTGACAACTCTGGGTATGCTCGTGTTCTGATCAAAGGCGCATCTGAATTAAGATGTGCATTCCATAACCCTTCGTTGGGCAGGATATAATGAGCATCAAGGTTTGTTTCATTGGGATGCCGTGCATGGTCACGAAGAGCCCATTGCACTAGTCGTCGCTGATCCTGAGGGGAAACAAACGATGGAAGTATAACAAGACCTGGTTAATGGGTTATTGATTTCATCTACATGGTATGCCCTCCTGCGTACCTGGGACGTGGGGGACTGCAAATGCTTTACCGACGCCAGAAGACGTCGATTCATTCGTATCAAGAAATTTGATCTCAACCCCGTTGCAATAAAAACTCTGACCACTGGCTAGTGTCACAGCATCACAGGTGGCTGATGATAAATCTAGGACGTGGCTGAGATCAGGAGGGGGGAAACGTGCTTTATATCTTTTCTCCGCTGCTCGGAATGGGGTCCATTCTGCATCTAAATCTTTAGTTCTACTCTTTGTCGTCTTCAAGTACTGTCGCCTGGCCTTTTTATAAGCTGCACTGGAGGGGTCATAGATGTCCATGATCAAGATTTAGATCCTACTACAAACAAGAACAAAGAATGCGCTCTGAAGCCTTTTTCAATCTGCCGAACGACATACGTCGGTGTCATTCCGCGAATTTTATGGTCGACCAGTAATCCAGCTAGAACTCTTCAAATTTGCTCTTAACGTCCATGTCGGTATGGCTACCGCGCTCCCAGCAAACTGCTTTTGCGCGGTGTTATAGCCGTCAACTCGTCGAAGCACGAACCACTCGTTACATTTCTCTTGGTCCACACACCCACCTTGTGTCGCCGCGTTCTGCTACTTATGCTCTCATCTCTCACCGCGCCCAGAGCACATCAACTTCTTCATCTGCTCCCGCAAGCCGTGATGCTACGAGTAAAATTGTTACCAATGATTCTTCCACTCTTGAACCAAAGGCTGCACCCCCTGCACCTAAGGATCCTACCTCTGACGCACCGCTCATGACTCGGGCTTGGAAAAAAGTGAAACACGAAGCAGCGCACTATTGGCATGGCTCGAAGCTACTTGTTTCAGAAGTCAGGATCTCCGCCAGACTGCAGTGGAAGATTCTTCATGGAGAGAGTTTGACCCGAAGAGAACGGCGACAGGCGAGCATATTATCTCTGATACTGCTGACGGCCAAGTTTATGATAATTGGTATCTAGCTAAAGCGTACGACCCAGGACTTGCTTCGACTCGTACCCTTTGCTGTTTTCGTCATTGTGCCTTTCATGGAGCTCCTACTTCCTGTCGCTTTGAAACTATTTCCCAATATGCTTCCCTCGACTTTTGAAGACAAATTTGCTGCTGTAAGGGGTTGTCGCATATTTTCACCTTTCGCTTGACTAATGTACGAGTAGGAAGAGAAACAGCGAAAGCTCCTTCGAGTGAGACTCGAAATGGCAAAGTTCCTTCAGGAAACGTTGCGAGAGTCTGGCTTGAAGGCAAATGCCCACATAGTAGGCTCGGACGCCTTCGAGGAGTTTTTCAGGAGGGTCCGTTCCACTGGAGAGTCACCCTCTGCGACGGATATTATCAATGTTGCTAAACTCTTTGACGATGACCTTACTCTTGATAACTTGTCTCGACCGCAACTCGTTTCAATGTGTCGGTACATGGGCGTTAATGCATTCGGCACGGACAATTTCCTTCGGGGTGCTATTCGCTCCCGTCTCATGAACCTTCGCCGAGATGATCAAGTCATTTACTCTGAAGGTGTCGAAGAATTATCGACCTCGGAGTTGCAGGCTGCATGTCAATCGCGTGGTATCCGTACCACTGGCGTTTCTCCTGCGCGACTTCGGGACGAGTTGACTACATGGATTCAGCTACATCTTCATAATCGTGTTTCTGGTGTACTGTTGATTCTCGGACGAGCCTTTCATTTCGATCGCAAGCCAGGTGAAGATGAAGATGGAAAAACAACTGTAATTAAGAGCCTTGAAAGTGTCCTTAGCGGATTGCCAGATAACTTGGTTCGTACTTTCTTTTCACTCTCCTCCCTATCATTGACGCCGACCACTTCCAGCTAAATGAGGCTGAACTAGGAGGTTGACTCGGACAGTGCTAGCTACAAACAGAAACTCGAAGTTCTACAACAACAAGAGGAGCTCATTGAAGATGAAGAAGAGCAAGAGCAAAAGGAAGAAGATGCGCGCCGTGCCAAGCGTGAGGCTGACGAGTCAGAAGCACGCACCGCACAGTCTCTTCTACCTGACACTGAGGTGACTTTGACCTGCTACCCTAGCTTCTATGTTTTAACTTGCTTGGTGCAGCTTCACCCGGAACGGTTTGAAGAGGAGAACGCTCGCATGACCACTGAACAACTGAAGAGCTTGGCGAAGCGTTGTCGATTTTGTCAGCACAGTCTAGTGTTCTTAAAGAACGTGATGAGCTTCGTGCCCTTATGGAAGAGAACCTTCAGGCGGAAGAGGTAGTGTTTTGAATTTTGTTGCAATTTCCATACTAATTATTTCACTCAGGACCCCAAGTCACCTTCAGGGGCGCTGACAAAACGTATCCGGACAATGCTCACAAAAATCGACACTCAATTGCAAGAATACGATTCACGTGTTGGTAATTCCTTGCAGATGTTCTCTGCGGATGCACAGGGACGCATACCTGTGAAGGACCTAGAGAAGGCACTCGCTGTGATCAAGCACAAGCCCGACGACGTGGTCGGACAAGCAGTGATCCAGAAGCTAGATGTCGACAAAGATGGGTTTGTGGAGCTGGAGCACGTGCTTGGTCTTGTAAGGGAAGAGGGTCTTGGTGAGTAACCCGGTCATCTAATGGGGACGTGATCTGATCATGAGGCTAGGTATCGAGATTGATGATGAGGCCCAAACGTTAATTGGTCAGGGCAAAGAAATCAAGGACTCGAGACCAAGGAAGGAGGACATTGTTCAGGAGTAAGGCCTATTCAGACATTTTACACATAGACTAGAGCACAACTCTATTATCCCTACGTACCGTAAGAACTTCATACTGAGGCTTCGGCCAGCAAAGGCGACTAGATCGTATGGATTGTCCTGGAATCTCCAAACTGTCATCATTCAAGTCTTTGCGATCGTCGTGTATATAAAATACAATAACTAATGACTTGTAAATAGTACTCGTGCAATGTGCAATGGAAGCATTGTTGCTGCACAAAGAGGTGAGGACCCGGGAACCAATATATGCGATTTGTGATGATCGTGAAGGGTATTAGATGGTGCTATGACTATCCAACAGTGGACTGAAACTCGAGCACGCACAAGTGCTAAAGATATGGATAACTGGGAAGCAGCCCTGCATGGAAATAATGGGCGAAAGGGTGGCTTTCATCATGCGGTTGCTGCGAGGGGAGTTGTTGACTTTTTTTCCTCTCCAACGTCACCGTCAACTTTTTCAGAGAGGTAGCCTTCCTCATCATCACCATCAGCTAGTTCAGCCCACCACCGACCAGCCTGAAGTATCAGGACACCTGTCAGCGCTACGCTGCAAACGAGGTGGTTTGACGCCAGGTCGAGAGTAGGTGTTCTCAGTAAACGTGGAAAAGCGTCCTTTATGTGGTGGGGTGGAATTGTCGTGAATTTATCCATGAGATCTGGAATGAACTTCCTTAGTATTGCTACCCATGGTTTTATAATTCGACTGACTGGGAATGACGGAGTACGCGTACATGATGACAGCGACACCGTAGAGGACTAGAGAGTAGAGCATATGATGAACGTTTTGATGAAGAACTTGAGAGGGATACATACAGATGCTCCCTCCGTCAAACATCAAGTTGCCCGCTTCCAAATCATTGAAACTCCAAAAAATGGTCGTTCCGCCAAGTATAATGATGCCAAAGAGTACATATAAAATTTGTACTGGGTCCTTTGGTCAGTATCGAGTAGTAAAGGGCTGCGGTCCACAAATGCTCGTCAGTTACCGGTGACTTCCACAGAGTCAGAGAGTCTGCGATCCAATGAGTGAAGAGCGAACCTGAACGTAGATGTTAGCCTGACACATCGACGCCGAGGAGGTCATGAAAAAATAAACCGACCGAGTAAGAAGGAGGTTATGCAAACGACAACACCAGCTCGTACACCCATTACTGCGCGTTTGTCCAGCGATATCTGAAAGCAACTGGTCGTATTGGACTTTGTCAAAGGACCGTTTAAGCTATGCACGGGGTCACTGGTAACAGGCTATGATCTGGACGGAAGGGCACCATATTTGGTATGCATGTGGACGGCCTGCGTCGGAAGCAATTAAACGTCATCGATCCGCGTTGTCTTGTGACTTGGTTTTCTCCGCACTAGCATTGACTTTCAGGCTTATATGTGCTCGCGCTCACTACTCACCGAGTCGGGGCCATTCTCTCTCCATCCAGACGCCGATCTGGAATCGGTTATACACATATGTAGCCCTCTGTGTCGACTTGAATGACACGGTGAGTGGTCTCATCGCGAGTCTCACAGTCTGCCCACGCCTTTCGTAGATGGTCTCCGCATGTGTTCCTAAACTCGTCATGTTTACTACGCGGTCTCGTTTACAGATGTGACGAGCGACAAGACCTTGATTTCCCGACGCTATGGTCTTGTTGACATTGATGCAACAGTCTTAACGTTCGATTTTTCAGGAAGTTTGATATATATATATTCCATTAATACCGTGACCACTCCTGCGTCAAGTTATCTTGTCACCCTAATTTATATCGTCTCTAGTCGAGTAAGCGACTCGCCCTTACTAATTTCCAGTCCAACCTCTTGACAGAGCTTCCGCCATTAACTGCTTCTAGATCTTAGAACCTCTCTTGATAAGACGTGGTGCTGACACTACACAGGGCGTACCGGTATGATTCTTATTGTTCGAAGACTCCACCTGCCAATGCAGGGAAGAATAAATGATGTCATTAATGAGCCTCCTCAGTGGCCGGTGAATTGGTATTCCCTATCATAGTTGCTTGGTCACTCCGCTGATACTCATTGTGTACTAGTATCCAATAGATGACGCAGACATCTATTTTATCCCACTCAGCCTCGCGGAAGTGCAGGCTGTGAGTTTACCCAACAAAATTATTTCTGGAGGAGATGATTGGATCGGCTGTGGGAGATAGTGGAGCGCTGATTGGAGGCGCTTATCGGGCCATGGCCCTCAGCCGCTCTCAAAATTACCAATGTACCATCCCTCGGACCTTCTTCGCCTTGTACTGTTACGGACATGTTGAAAGCATCCGTCCTATCATCAAGCAAGCTTCCGCCACTATCACTGATATTTGCATGTGCTCATCCTGGAGGTCCTTCGCAAACTCTGACGTGGTCAATTCACGCTCTAGCCCCCGCCGCCCCACAAACTCCAAAAGCACGAGACTATTCGGGACCGCACAAATGGTTCCAAATTCTGCGAAATAAACGTGCGAGCCGTCGCAGTCAGCCTGCACAGGCGTTTTGAACCACCAGCGGTAAGTAAGTTCAGTGAAACCAATAATTTCAGAATAATCTTAAGATCAGTTGATGTAGCATAGGAACTCCTTTCTTCAGAGTGGATACCAACCCTGTCAGCTTACGAAGTGCTCAGTCATCAGTGAACCCAATCACAAAGCACGATATGGAAGTTGTTTCGCTATATTGATGTTGATCTCGATAAACTGAAGCGGTACATCAACGAAGGAAGAAAAACACGCATATATGCACTTTCAATGGGTGTTTTTCGATTTTTTCACTTGTTGACCCATGACCAGACTCCTTTAACTCCTTTTCATGGCATGAACAAAAGTTGTCAACACAAGCATCAAGCTCGATTAGTTGAAGGAACACGGAGGCCCAGGATGTCGAAAATGCTCGAGAATAGATACTACGAGCGGTGCATCTTTTTCGCGCATTACAGGATTTTTGGTGTCCAGGTGACCTCATTTTGTACGTCCATCAAAGTTAGCCAGGCCCAGACCTGATTGGAACCATCTGCATGTTTGGTATCGCAGCGGGAGCTCAACAGCGATTGCTTCTCGGTCTTTGTGTGCTGGATACGAACCTCAATGTAACTCGAGTCAGCATCTACTACTATTATTAGCACTATTCCTCCCGGCTCCCACCAATGACCACCATCGTCTCCGAACTCATGATGGCACTAACTGGCACCGCGGAGGAACGCATTCACAAGGAACTCAAACAGGATAGGAAAGATGCTGAGTGCGAGTTTTCTCGTTACGAAGGTGCAGATCTACTACTCGAAACGGCTGACCGCCGCGGTATACCAGATGTAGTTAGTTTCTGGGAGGTATGTCAGTAATGTCATACAATCCCTTCGTTAATTTCATAGGATTAACAAATGTCATGCTAGCAAAAAGAACAGACATTCCTGCTTCTATTTTGTGTCGGTTTGGATGTGTTCCGAGTCCCTGCTCAAGCTTCGTTTGTGCCTTACGAGCGCATGTTTTCATCCAGCAAAGAGACCTGCACTCTACGGCGCAGTAATCTATCTCCGACCACGCTTGAAGCACTACAAGTTCTGAAGTTCGTTTACAAGTAAGACCGCCTCAATTTCACAGTGGACCTGGTGGCTAACGAACGGGACTACACAATATGTGGACCTGTGACTCCAAGAGCAGCTGACGAGCCGATAGCTGCTGGGAATCTTCGAGAGCTCGTGAATGCAAGGTAGATTGATTGTAATTAGTTTATTACAGTTCTGTCTATTCATTGTGTAGCTACAAATAATTGTAAGCATCTCTAGCGGTCCGTAGGGCCGTATCGCTCCCGAACTCATTGCGAGGTTACAACTTGTAAGTGCCTAGCTGGGTCGAATTACCACCTCGATTCGACTCGATTCACCTCGTGGAAACACTAACTTAACTCACTATCGATATCACGGTGAAACGTCACGGTAGCAAGCTACATGCCGAAATGTCTTGACCTCTCTAGACTACCCAAAGCCCCAGGCCTCCGTTCAATCAACGTGCGTCCTCTCTCTTTCATGTCGCATTCTCTCATTATTTTTCCTCAAAGCGTCGCAATGTAACGCCTGGCTCCCCTCTCCCATTACTTTTCCCTGGTACTGCATCGTACAACCCCGCCCGCGCCGTTGACCCAACGCACCCCGCCACCCGGTGGAAAGCCCACGGGTTTCCGCATTTCTCCTGCCCTGCATTCATGCTACGCGCTGTACCCAAGGGTGCGCTCCTGCGCCCTGAATTCGACAAGCGCTTGTCTCGGGTGGAGCGCTCTGCCATGGTGCCGCGGGGGGAACGGAAGGACGGTTCCAAGAGACTAGATATGAGCATATTCTTCATGATTTCGAAAAAGAATACGAATAAAAGGGCAGTGGTGCGCAACAGGATCGCGATGCGCATCAGGTCTGCCTTTGAGCTCATTGTTACCCGAGGCGCTGATGCTGAGCCGAAAGACAACGTCGAAGGTAGACAAGTGGGCAAGGAGCGTGGACCTGAAGAATCCTCGAGTGTTGTCAGAAAGCCCAAGAAAAAAATTAATCGTTCGGGTCGCGAGTTAAAACTTGCCAGTTTGGCATCGTCGATCACCCCGTCTAATCTTGGGCTGGTATTGAATCCTGCGCCTACCAAGCATCTGATCCTCCAAGGTACGTTTTGAAAATAATGTTCCTTTGCCTCCTCTCTTACATGGATAAAGACTGGACATATGTTATGTCGCCTTCTCTCCTGAGTTACCGCATGCCTCTCCCCGATCTCATACAACACCTCCGTGTAGGCCTCGAGAGCATTCGAGCGCAGTCGATGAAGCTCGATGGGCAGTGGGCATTAGACAAGAAACCAACGATCAACCCACCGTTTGCGCACATCACAAGCGAAGAACCTGAGAAGGACTGGCGGCACATTGCAACTGACGAAGACGATCTTCCCGTGCTATTTGACCTCGATAAGCCGGAGCGTGGCCTCAACAAGGCGAGAAAATCCTTCAATCCTCAGAAACGGCCTATCAAGCTGTTTTTCCCAACATCTCCATCGTCTGGAGAGTCGCCTTCTGCCTTGATTGGAGACGATCAGCTTGTCACTTCTCCCAGTTCCGTTGATACGCCTATTCGGCCGGCCTTAACAGCAAATGGGCCAAGTCATCGGTCCTCCGCTTCCGATTCTTTGAAAACCACCCTACCTGCTCCTTCCACCTTTAGATTGGGTGCAATGGAACGTCTTGCGGCTATAAAGAACCAACCCCTGGCTGTACCGGGTCGTAAAGTAGAACGACGACCTTCATAGAATGGAGTGACGCAGAAATTGCGGATATCGACAACATGGATTAACCAGATTGATACTGCCGCATGTACACCATATAAATCGCAGTCAACTTACTACGAATAACACAACGGTGCCGAACAGACTTTGATGACCCTTTCCTTTCCGCAAAAACATCCCCCGCCTCAGGGTGTTACCCGGCATACCCACATTACCGTCTACACCTCACAAACCGTACCATAATACCCCCGTCGCAAGTTTTATGCCATCAGCAACATATCACACGCCTCTAGGAGCACCATGTCAAAGTCGAACACCAGCACGCCCTGCAATCCATATGACCGCTCGTTCTGACTCCGAGCCCGCAGAGTTCATTTTACCTGACCTCCTCAGCGATTGCTACTAGCCAATCCTCATTATGACGCGGTCTTTCGCGTTTCTGAACAATGGCTGTTTGACGAAGGACGGCTTGTAGAACCTGAAATTTGTGGGTTACCTCACTGCAGCTTGCTACCCAGATGCGGATGCTTTTCATCTCCGAGTCTGTTCAGGCTTCATGGACTGGTGGAAAATAGATGAATTTGATGTTGACAGTGCATTGGGTATGCGTGAATGCTGTATTTCTGCATTCCGGGACCATCAACTGCCAAATGGACAAACTGCTGGAAAGATGTGTAAATTGTACGTCGTTTTTTTTCCATCACACACACTCCTCGTCGTGTTTATGTCCTTCAGTAGCTTCAAGGAGAATACAGACATTTCTATCAGAATCATGACGAGGGCGTCACCCAGTTGGCGACAGTACTCTCAGTGCACGCGTGGCACTCACCTTAGCCGTGGTTCCTCTGCGACCTACTCAACGATGCCTCGCTTGCTGCTACAGTTTGATTTGGCTAAATTCATCCGATAAGACCAATAGATGAACTCTTTGCAACTCCAGAGAAGGAACCTTTCTACTCGTTGTAACACGAAAAACGCGTCACATCATGTCAGGAAAGCACGATTGCTCTCTCTTAAGTATGTCCGATTGAATCATGTCATCTAGTAGTCGCTGTCAGTGTGAAGCTTCATTTATGCTGTTGAGATCGCACAAAGCATCGACGGCAACACAATGTTACCAAGCTGTCCCGAAAGTGATATCGAATAATCTGATAATCCATTGGAATCACTGTCTGAACTTGAAGTATTCCCGTCAAAGTTGAATATTAATTTACGGTACTTGATAGCTGCTAAGCTAGTTTGAACGGGAGCTGCGAGGCAGAATATGACAGTAGTGTTCGTTTAGTACAAGACGTAGCCCCTATCGTTGCCTTTTGCCTTTGATAACGTAAGCGATGTTGCTGCCGGGGGCAGTCACAGTTCAAGTTTCACTAACTTGGTCTTGTTGTTCTTCATTGTCCTCGAGCTCCGAGTATTCTAATGTTTCATTGACTGCGAACGCCGTCCTGAGGCTCATACTATGGAATGAAACTCGACAGCACCTCAATGCCCTTGACGGTGCATCGAGGTGGAGCTCTCTTCAGAAGGGTCTATGGGACCCTACTACTTCCCCAGGCCTTCAGGCCTGAACGTAACACCGGTGCGGGCCACTCATTTCCACATTGAGAAGGTAGCCATAAATTACCTTACAAGGCAAAAAATGAAAAGTGTTGAGACGCAATCGAACCCTCCTCCAATTCTTTCGCCTTCCCCGCTAACCGAGTGGCTCGTCCCTTATGCTCAGACCATCGCACACGATTGCTTCGCGCTTTTTGCCTTTAAAGGCAGAAATGAGCGCCGCAGAAAAGCAATCATACTCGATGTCCATAGCACGCTTGGTGCTTTAAAAGAAGCGCGCAAGATGTGTGGATTTGCCACAACGCACTCGCTATTCATTCACTTCAAGGATTTAATTCCACTCCATAGATCATTCATAACTCCTTCTATCCTATTAAACATTATCACAATATGCCTGCTGCAGGACGTAACATGGTACGCTTCCAGCCTACCTCACATCCCGCGCCTTGTACTTATGACATTTTATCTTCAGACACCTGTTGATTGCCCTGTCTGCCAGAAGGCTATAAGCCGCAAGGCAGATCTTCCTAGACACATGCGTACTCACGATGAACACAAGGAGGCTCTGTACGTGCTCGTACCTTATCACTATCTCAGCTGGTTCCTGATTTGTTTGCTATCTTGATCAGTATGCATGCATGCCCATTCCCTAACTGCGGTTACAAGACCCTTCAGAAGTCTAATCTGCAGACGCACATGAGGACACACACTCGTGAACGCTCGAAGACGTGCCCTCACCCTGGGTGCGCGTTTGCCACCACCGATCCAGGTAGCTTGACGCGTCATCGCAAGCAACTACACGGCTACGAACCCAAAGCGCGTCGCAACACCGGTGACAAAGCTGCCCGACGGTCCGCCGCGGCGCCTTACCCCTCTACTCAGTTTATGAAGCCGGAGATAGAGATTCCTGCATCGCTGGATCTCAATGACCTAACATTTCCCGAGCTCGCAGGCCTCGTCCCTTGCGATGTGCTCTCACCCGCTGAGTCCAGCGACTCCGGTATCCCCCAATTCTCAGGGGAGCTCACTGAACTTCCCTGGGAGCGACTCTTCCCCGATCTCCTTACCGAGAGCTTCGCCTCTGTCTACGAACAGCCCTCTCAGCTCCCCATCCCCACCTCCCACTACCTCCGGCCCCCAACTGTCCCCGCTGATCTCTCCACTCTCCACATGCCGCAGTTCGACCAAGAGCTATTCTCTGATGTCAACTTTCAGTTCCAGCCCGTCTCCAGAAACGATCTGAACAACTCCCTACCAGCCGAGCTGGACGAGTTTTTGCAGAAATACGGCTCGGGGTACTTTGAAGGCCGCTGTGGGTACCAAGACAATGCGACGTATTCAGTGGCCCAGCCCTCGTTTACGAACGAATACAACATCTATTGAAATCTTCACTTTCATCTCTCATCTTGTTCTCATATTACCTTTGAATCATCATCATCATCATCATCGGCATCACAATTTCATTTGGAACTCGGTATTATCATTATTGGTCATTTATACCACACTACTTGCATCTTTTATACATATCTTCATCCACACTTTTAGCATTGCGACCTTCAACTTGTAAACTGCACTATTCATATTGGCAAAGGAATATTATGACTATGGATTGATCACTTCGTTCGCCGGCCAGCGGACATACTCGACGTGCGCCAGTCAGTTCAGCTCAATATTGCAGCAATGCCAATTTCCACGATCGTCATATAATCGAACTCCGACACAGATCCGTGAACACTTGTCAGTACGTGACATAGTTAGTCACATATTGCGAGCATGCAAACTCTTCGGTGCATTCATCGTGCGGTTGCAGGCCCAGGTCCATCGCGTATTGGATTCACTTCCAGGAGCATCACTGGGGCAACACCTCCTTCCACTACCATGGTTCATTGATACTGAAGGTCCAGTCCAATCAATAACTAGGCATACTCCTCCTCACCTTGCTCCGAAAACCCATGAGCTTCCCGAAAACATCTCCGCCGGGATAAGGCAATTGTTTTTGCAACTCAGTAAATCGCCTTTGCTAGAGCCGTCGACTTTGTAGTGTCGAACGACCTGTCACCGCTCTTCCTGGTCCTCCATTACATCGAACATTACCCAAGGGCCGCCGGAAACGCGGGCGCACATACTCTGGTGAAGGTCTTGTTGAAGAGCCTGGAGGTATATGGGACTGGGTAGTCACTGCGCAAGTGTGTATCCTACTGGTGTCCTCTTTGTCTTCTTGCTAACCACCCTTTCGTAAGGTGAAAGAAGGCACCGAAAATCGAGGATCGATAGAAGCTGTCGTACGTCAAGTGCGAAAAACTGTGTGTCTACTCAGCCCTTCTTACCTCGCAATAACTGAAAATTGTTCAGCTGTTGTCTATGGACCCACCGCTGCCTCTTCCACCCAATTCTAAGCGGAGGATGCTCAATGGGTGGGCTATGATTGATGCAGGCAAATTTGCAGTCCATATACTAAGCCGCGATGCGCGGCGGAAATATTTTGAAAGATCAACTGCCGAGTGGTAGTTTAGCGATACGCTAGCCATTGTTCAATCTGCCCTTCTAATGTTACAGAATTTCAATGCATGGCGCAACGACTTATATCCACTGCATTCACCATACTGTAGAGCTACAATCATAACTTTGCACCCTTTTGGGTGTGACCGATTGTCAGGATTCCTTAAGTTAAGTATCAGCATCATATCATCAGGGCAAGTTCAAATATTTTAATAAACCAAACATCAACCAACTACGCCAATCCAATAGCTAAGCAATTGGAACATCCAAGTCATGCTGGGAGAAAGCAGCTTCCGAAAAGTATCTTGCCCTCACAGCCCTCCCTCCAAAGTACCTGCCATCCAACTCCCTGACGGTCTTCCACGCACCAGAGGGGCCAGCAAACAATACAAATATGCGGACAGATTCCTCTGGGTCCGCCGGCGGAGGTTGAGTCAGATGTACAATAACTCGCTCGACGGTTCCATTCTTCGAACACTCCTCACCTGAAAAAATTCAATCGAAATCTGACAAATGAAACGTCTGAGACTGACCAATTTCATCTCTCAAATCGCCATCGTCCACATCTTCCGGTCCAACCATATTGGTTAGTACCACCACACGACTGGACTCCCCAAACCTTAAACGGTCTTCACGACCCTTCGCATCCTCGTTGTCATTGATGATCCGACCCATCTTTGAGCCCATAGCTAGTTTGACTTTGCCTTGACCCTGCGTTTGATTTTGACCCTTCTTGCCTTTGCCTTGGGTAGCGACTTGCTCGACCGTGAGAGCATTTACAATACCGCTCCCATCGGCACCCAAACCTTGACCTTCCTTGTGCCCCCACTTAGCCATCAAACGAGCTGCAAAACCCTCTGGGTCAGTACTGATGAAATTGTCAGACATATTCGATGGTAATTGTACTCGAGCATACCGTGTTTGAGCGTCTTCTTGCGGTGGTGGGCCAGGTAGACTTGATCCTTGTCCTGCAGTCGCGGCAAGCGCACTAAGGCGTGCTGCGATACTTGCAGCAGCCTTGACCTTGTCTTCAAGCGCAACTGGTATTTGAGATGATGGGGGAGGTGGTGGCGGTGGAATATTCGTCGGCGGTGCAAAGGGGTTGTATGCCAACGGAGGGGGAGAACGCGTTGGAGGCACGGGGATCACCAGTTGTGCTGGCTGCATTACGGGAGCGAGTGGTCGGCTTGATGGCTCGAAAGGCGAAGCTGTAGGACGGAGCTTCGATGACATTGCTAGCCGGCGTAGATATGCCTCTTCCCCTGTTTCGTCACGGTTCTGGGAAACAGACGGCGGAGTATTCGATGACAGTCCAGGGATACTTTCCTCATCGTCGGCGCCGCCCGGTGACGGTTGATGAGGAGGGGAAGCAGATGCAGAGAACGCGGGCGTGCGGTTACCCCCCGAGGCCATGGCAAGGCGGCGCTGATAGGCCTCCTCACCTGATAAGCTATGATCGACAGGCACAGGAGTCGGTGACGGTACTCGAGCGGCAGCACCAGCAGACATCGCAAGTCGCCGCTGAAAGGCCTCTTCTCCTGACATATTGCGATCCACATGAACTGCGGGAGTATCGGAGGCACCAAGCCCACGGGGACGTTCGTCATCCGCACGAGACCATTTGTCGAAAGACCCATTGTCAAATCTCCCTGAAACCAGAAGTTAAACCTCCCCACATATCCAGAGTTAGTTTGCACACCACTCTTTTTTGGGCGTTCGCTTTCACTGTCGCTACCTGTGTGATCACTTCCTCTGTCGAGAGCCTCACGAGCACGCTTCCTTTCAGCCGCACGTTCAGATGCCCGCTCGACGCGGTCACGTTGCTTCCATATTTTATATTCGTTGTAGTCATTTGGCTTGAGAGTGTCGTAAGGCTCCAACGGATCCCATATCGCCACAACTGGGGCATTCTTATTCTACATATCAAGAATTAATGAAGACACCAAGTTGGGTAAAGAAATACATACCTTCTTCCCCTTCCTCCCACCGCCTCCACCACCAGCCCTGCGTTTGTGCTGAGCCTTGAAGCCATTGATATCTTCATCAAGTATCATGGATGGAGGTTTGACTTTCTTGCCCCAGCCTTCCTTTTTGCGCCAAGTGGAGTCCTTCTGGGCGGTGTTGTCTTTGACTTCTTCTTGTTGATCCGTAGTTACCAGTTCCGGCGGAGCGAAGACGACGGCTGTTGCGGAGAGGCCCGAAGCTGGCGTGGCAGCGGAAATTGTAGTTGTTGCAGGAGTGGGCAGGGCCTTGGCACCCATGGGAAGGCGAGTTAAAGCGGGCTTGGGTTTTGCTGGTGCACGACGGACGGGGGCAAACGCAAGCGCAGCGGACCACCCTGTGCGAGTTCGGAGGAGTAGCATGATGATTGCAACGGTCAATATTTTGCTTCTAGACTCGATGTGCAGAGGAGGGGGAGATACCGGCTGAAAGCTTTCCTACAGACCCAGACTCTGTTCCTCCAATACTTCCATCCTCTGCCTTGGTTCCATCATTGCCTGTATTACTTGATGCTGGTGCTGAAATAGCCTCTGGAGCTGCGGGAGTTTCGACTTTCTCTACTTTGATTGCAGGTGTTGGTGTTGCAGGCGAAGCAGATGTAGATGATGAAGAAAGGCTAAAGGTTGCGCCAGTAGAGAATTGGATACCACCGTACAGGCCACCTGCTCTGCTCGACATGGTGGTCAGACAACAACCATGGGAACTTCACGGGAACTTGATATATAGATATTTTTGCCATTTTTGTCAAAATACATGAATTTATTTTTCGTGCATACAGTGGACGGCAATTTTGACCCGTTAAGAAGATATAATCTATCTAGAATTAGACAACCCTACTCAGTATGTCCGCTTGAATGGCGGGACTGCCTTGCATTCATTTTCATCGAGAGTCTCGCCAATGACACTTCGGTACTTGAGAGTGACATTAGGCGAGTTGATATCGGGTTGCATTGTGAGGGTGTGCTTCATCCAGTGGTCGTCGTCACGCTACAAATAGGTTAGATAGATTCATAAGGTGTGGTGTAGATACCAACCTCAGGGTAGTCCTCGCGAGCATGAGCACCTCGAGACTCCTTGCGAGCAGCGGCGGCCGTGATAGTTTGGACGGCACACTGTAGGAGGTTGCGTAGCTCAAGGGTCTCAACGAGATCACTAAGGTGAGCGCGTGAGCGAGAAATCAACATCATATAAACACAAGGCCGTACGAGTTCCAGATCATGCTCCTATCCTTGATGCCAACATTGTTAAACGATTTGTATATCTGATGAATCTTCTGAACACCTTCGTCGAGAGTCTGTTGTGTGCTGCGAGGATCGTCAGTATCCCTTTTCGTTCGGACGAAGTTGGTAGAACACACCGGAAGACAGCGGCATCGGTTTGCATGGCTTTTTGCATGTCCAGCCTTATATCGGCAGTAGGTTTGGGGCCATCTGCATTTCTGATTTGGTCCAAGAACTCCACGCTTTCAAGGCCGGACTCCTCAGGAATAGCCTTGTGAGCCTTTCCGGGAGTCAAGGTCTCCGCGATATGATGAGCACACGCGCGACCGAAGACGACGAGATCCAAGAGGGAGTTTGCACCAAGACGGTTCGCGCCGTGAACGGACACGCATGCAGCCTCACCAGCTGCATACAGACCAGGGACAATCTTGTCCTTGCCATTCTGACCACGGCTTATGAGCGGAATGCGACGAATACAACTACCGCAAGCTCACCTCGTCAACAGTCAGCACCTCGCCAGTGTACCTGGTGGGAATACCACCCACTATCGGAAGGTCAGCCACAGTCCAGAAGACAGTATAGTAGATATACTAACTGTTATAATGGACAGTAGGTAGCACTGGAATAGGCTCCTTAGTGACATCGACTCCAGAGAAAATAGCAGCAGTCTCGGAGATACCAGGCAACCTCTCGTGGAGAACTTCAGGGGGCAAATGGCTGAGCTGAAGGTATAAGTGGTCCTTGTCAGGCCCAACACCACGGCCCTCACGGATCTCGATCGTCATTGAACGAGACACGACATCACGGGAAGCAAGATCCTTGGCCGTGGGTGCATAACGCTCCATGAAACGCTCACCCTGAGAGTTTAGGAGGTAGCCTCCCTCACCACGAGAACCTAATGCACAGTCAGCCACAATGCAGATACCTTACAGAAAGACAGTCACCCTCAGTGATAAGGCACCCGGCGCCATAGATACCGGTTGGGTGGAACTGAACGAACTCCAGATCCTGCAAAGGAAGGCCAGCACGAGCAACCATCGCATTACCATCACCTGAACAAGTGTGCGCACTCGTGCAGCTGAAATAGGCACGTCCGTAACCACCGGTTGCGAGGACTGTCTTATGTGCCCTAAAGCGGTGGAGCGTACCGTCCTCCATATTGAGCGCAATGACTCCAACACACTCGCCATCCTGCATGATCAAGTCCAGAGCAAAGTATTCGATGAAGAAATTCGTGTTGTGTCGCAGCGACTGGCCGTAAAGGGTGTGGAGGAGGGCGTGACCAGTACGATCGGCAGCCGCAGCACAACGGTATGCTTGGCCGCCTTTGCCATACTTCAAAGACTGACCACCAAAGGCACGTTGGTAAATCTTTCCATCCTTGGTACGGGAGAATGGAACACCATAATGTTCAAGCTGGAAAAAGTAATAAGCCAAAGAAACAAGCACGTAAGATTTAAGCTGACCTCGTAGACGGATCTGGGAGCCTCGCGACACATATAATGAATTGCATCCTGGTCACCGAGCCAATCAGAGCCTTTAACCTGTCGAAATTCAGCTTAACTAAACGACTCGGGAGCGTAACATATCAAAGGACACGCACCGTATCGTACATGTGCCATCGCCAGTCGTCTTCCGTCATGTTCTACAAGCTACTCATCAGTGAAAAGAGCAAAACTCCTCAAGGTAAACTTACACCGAGAGCAGCATTGATACCGCCCTTGAAAGTGTGATATGAGTGTGTCAGATACTGCTGAACATGACGCAACATACCTGTGCTGCAACAGTGTGACTTCGGGTTGGGAACAACTTAGTTATACAAGCCGTGTTAAAGCCAGCTTCTGCAAGACCGAAGGCAGCGCGAAGACCTGCGCCACCAGCACCACTAAAGGGTCGCATACTCAACTTTGATAATTCTTTGATGGTCCGGAGCGCTACTCACACGACAATAGCATCGTATTCGTGCTCGATGAGAGGGTATTTGCCTGAAGACCAGGACTTAAAAACTGTCAGAATAGCAGGGAAAGCGACATGGGAGCTGAGAGATATACCTTGACTTCTTCTGCTTTGACTGGATTAGACGCGACGACTCTCCTGACGGGGAGTGAAGTGGAAAAAGCGCGCTGAGAACAAAGTAGAGCCCGAGAAGGCACCGCCTTGGACACCGACTTCCTGAACATATATGCTGTCGTCGTCGACGGCGAAAAAGAAAAATAAATGAGGGACTCCGATGAGCTACGGGAAAGTTGTTGACACCCGGAGGCCTTGCAATGGGAAATCACGCGCGAGTCGCCCAATGGCCTTCCCACCATTGGTCGCCCAATCAAATTCCGTACAACCTCCGCAATGACCTTCTACTAGTACATACCATAATCTAAATATATTAATCCATGCACAGATATCTATTAGCGCGATCGTCATCTCTTGTAACCACTACAAGCAAATAATCTATTTGAGAACTCCCAGCGGGTCGTGCTGCTGCACTTCACTTCGGACCTTCGGACTTTGATCGCTCTTGACGGGCGCAGGCGGAATCCCACCCGCGTCAGGTGTGCGTTGGAAGGGATTATTAGATGATAGGCGAAGAGGTGTCCGCTGCATCGTAATCGGCTTGACGGAGAACACCCCAGTCGATGACTGAGAGCGATTATGAGTCGACAATGCCATAGGAATCGTCTTTGAGGCCATCGAAGAAGAGTGTGATGGAGCAGATGTCGTTGACCGAGGAAACACAGGAGTTCCGGACGTGAAATTTCGAACTTCCCGCTGTAATGGCGGCGGTGGATGTTCGTTTGTAGGGGTTGTTATTGAACGTTGTCTTGGTTGGGACACAGACGCCTCCCTAGACTCTTGCTTGCTCTGACCTTCCAAACGCTTATTGTACTCTTCCGCCCCCCACAGACGGCGCTCGTCAATCTCCTTAACCCCCCCACCTAGGATATCCCTCACATAAGCTAGTGACTCGAGAGCTTCCTTTTGCTGCACCGAAACTCCCGCAGCATCCTCATCCTTAGCTTCCGATGATTCCTTGGACTGCAAAACGCTCAGTATCCAAGTAATCGATTCACCAAGGCATTTATTCTGCGCTTTCAGCTCTATTGCAGCACGTTCCGTTTCCATGCGGCGTTCGTTCTCCAAAACGTACCTGTCGTCTGTTATCTGCTCGTCGAGCAAGGGATATGCTGCATAGGGCGCCGATGCCGTGGATGGCGTGCGAACCAGAGACGCGGCCAATTCGGGGAGGTTGCGCTACGATGCCACAAATCAGGAAAAGCACACACTCGATATTGCCTAGGCTTACCCTCAGTTCGGATACCGCATTCATTACAGTCTTGTTAATCCCAAGGCTCTCCCCGCGATCCATGAGCCCCCGAGCAATCAATTCTGGCAGCCCAATCTGGAATGAGGGAGATTGACGCATATGCTCTCCTTGCCCAGAGGAAGTTCCATGGAAATCTGATGAGGAGGTTGGAGGACGCGCCCTCCGCTTCATTTGGACAGGTGAATCCGGTACTTCCAGGGGAATGTTTAGAAGGTTGCGGTTCTCAGTCATCACAATCGCACCCGCGGAGGGTGTACGGGACATTTGTAGCAACGACGCTTGACGAAGTAGTAGGATTGCGTGATGCGGGGCTCCATCTTCCGCCTGAGAGGGAGGGTAACGTAATAGGTAAGTTAGCTGCATGCTATAGTCCGATGGGATAACTGCATATCATTACTATCTGAATACAACCCGAGAGAATATCGAGAACTCACGCTTAGTTCGTATCCGTATAAGCATAGCCACGCATATCCACTGAGCGAGCTCAGAAATTGGGATCGGGCTCGTGAACAGCCCATCCCATAAAATCATCGCATCGTCCATAGAAAGTTCACGCGTGAACAACAGGCGAAGCCATCGTCTGACGATGTGATCGATCACATTAGCCTGAGAGGGCTCAAAAAACATGAAGCCACCCACAATCCATAGATCTGCGGCTCGATGCCCGAGTTCTGCAACACCCCGTGAAGAATAGGATCGACGGATTTTAGAAGATCATTTTGAATGTGGTTGCAGGCTAGAGTAATCGGCGACATATATGGCTTAAAATTGACTTGACCACGAGCAGAGGACGTTTCGACAGATGACGGTTCGCGCCACTCATACCACTTGGAGATGCCGTTCATGATCGCGCAAAAAAGGGCCCATGAATCAGCTGCAATCCACGTCCGCGAGCAAACCTCCCGAAAGACAGATTCGTCCGACGGTGAAGTAGCGTCATCGGCAGTGGAGTCATAATCTATAGCCAAAGATATTTATTCTTCAGCTTTGAAAACAGTTATATGAGCGGACCAAGCAGACGAGACGTAGACTGCGGACACATGGAAGATATAACAGCGGTTGGATCACATACCTACAGCATAGTATACGGGTGCAAGTAGCTCATGCATGCCTTGCCGGTATTCAATATCGGGATGCATGACAGCGTATAGGAACAGGATATTGGTGAGTTGCTGCTGTACATCATCGTCGCGAAAGTAGCCTATATCAGGAAAACTGCAGGAGGAAGATGTACTACGGACTGTAAATCTTTAGGAAGGGAACTCACGTCCGTTCAACATCTTGCTGGATTGTCTTCCTGAGATCCACAGCTGCAAACCATTCCCTCCAAGGATTCTTCAATGCGCATCATTAACACGATGGTTGAGTACATGCAAAAGCGTTGCGTACCTCATCATGCAAACTGAGAGGGTTGTTCGTCTCCAAATCTGTCGGCGGCTTGGCGTTCCTCCTTGGGATGGTAAGTCCTGGCACGACAAAAGTCTCATCATAAGATCCATCTGGAGCACGCATTTTCTCCAGTAGCAGCTCAGAGTACTGCTTTCGATGGGCACGTAAAGCCTCCAGCGGAGGCACTGGTATTTCGTTAGGCGGAAGTTCCAGTGGCACATTCTTCAAGAGGAACAGCTAAAAGGAGTCGGTATGAGCATACAGTCTGATTTACTGCGTTCGCCTTGCCTTCCATGCTAGACTTCTCCCTGGTACACCGACACCGCCATCTGAAGCCTGGAGAAGACGGCCTGCTGCGATCGCATCTCTTAGCTTGGAGAGACTTGACCCTTGATGAAAGAGTTGGTCGTAGATATTCCTAAGGACTAGTTTTGTGCTGATTTTTCCTGATAAGTTTCGATATAACGAACCTTGTCATCTGTTGAGGGGGTCTTGTTCTTGAGCGTGGTTGTGCCATCGCGAACGCTCAGCGTTCCAGATGTAGGAGCTTGCTTTACGCACGCAAGACTAAAAATGACATACTGAGACAGGACTCATTAATACATCATCTATACTTATCTGATTCAAGGAACGTTTGCACCACAAATATATGCGAAGATGAGAGAAATTCATTCTAGGAAATGCGGTAATGTAGCATACAAAGTTGTAGTAGGGACATTATTTGCTCATGACACACTCGTACCGTGCAATGCGATGAAGATATGACGTAAAATGCGTAGTCAAACAAGAGAACAGGCAGCTGCTTTAGTCGACCTCCTCCACTGAAGGACCGTCCTCGCCAGCGCCAGGGAAACCACCTGGTGCACCACCGGGGAAGCCGCCAGCACCACCAGGGAAACCACCAGGAGCACCACCTGCAGCGCCGTACAGCTTCTGCATGATAGGGTTGGCAATGCTCTCCAACTCCTTCTGCTTCCCTTCGTACTCCTCTTTCGAGGCTTCCTGTGATGCATCTAGCCACGAGATGGTATCATTGACAGAGCTCTCGAGCTTCGCCTTGTCAGCGGGCTCGAATTTGTCAGCAAGCTTCTCGTCACTGATGGAATTCCGGAGGTTGTATGCGTATGACTCAAGGCCGTTCTTGGCCTGAATGCGAGCAGCTGCAGCCTCATCCTCAGCTGTAAGATAACAAAGTCAATTTATGTATGCAAATAACATAGAAGATCATAAGCCTACCCTTGTACTTCTCAGCCTCATTAACCATGCGCTCGATCTCCTCTGCAGACAAGCGACCCTTGTCGTTCGTGATCGTGATGCGATTTGACTTGCCGGTAGTTTTGTCAGATGCGGAGACGTTCAAGATACCGTTGGCGTCAATGTCGAAGGTGACCTCGATCTGAGGAACACCACGAGGTGCGGGAGGAATACCTGACAGCTCAAACTTGCCGAGCAAGTTGTTGTCCTTAGTGCGTGCACGTTCACCCTCGTACACTTGGATCAAGACACCAGGTTGGTTGTCTGAGTATGTCGAGAAGGTCTCCGACTTCTTGGTAGGGACAGTGGTGTTACGCTTGATGAGGGCGGTCATGACACCACCGGCCGTCTCAATACCGAGCGATAGAGGAGCGACATCGAGAAGCAGGAGATCCTGGGTCTTCTCGGAAGTGTCGCCGGAAAGAATGGCGGCCTGAACAGCAGCACCGTATGCAACGGCCTCGTCAGGGTTGATGCTCTTGTTGGGCTCCTTGCCGTTGAAGAAATCAGACACGAGCTTCACGATACGGGGGATACGCGTGGAACCGCCGACAAGGACGATTTCGTGAACGTTCGCCTTATCGATCTTGGAGTCCCGGAGGACCTTCTCGACGGGCTCGAGCGTGCTGCGGAACAGGTCCGCGCACAGCTCCTCAAAACGGGCACGAGTGAGGGAAGTGTAGAAGTCAATACCCTCAAAGAGGGAGTCGATCTCGATGGAAGTTTGTGTGGCTGACGACAGCGTACGCTTGGCACGCTCACAAGCGGTCCGTAGACGACGGAGCGCACGGGGGTTCGAAGAGAGATCTGTTACGTTATTAGCATTGGAATTGAAAAATAAGAAAACTACTTACCCTTCTTGTGCTTGCGCTTAAATTCTTGCGCAAAGTGGTTAACAAGACGGTTGTCGAAGTCCTCACCACCCAAGTGAGTGTCACCGGCAGTGGCCTTCACCTCGAAGATACCCTCCTCGATGGTCAAGAGGGACACATCGAAGGTTCCTCCTCCAAGATCGAAAATAAGGACGTTGCGCTCACCGACGACTTTCTTGTCGAGACCGTAAGCGATAGCAGCAGCAGTGGGCTCGTTAATGATACGAAGAACGTTCATTCCAGAGATGGTGCCAGCGTCTTTCGTAGCCTGTCTCTGAGAGTCGTTGAAGTAGGCAGGGACGGTGACGACAGCGTCCGAGACGTTGTAACCCAAGTAGGACTCAGCGGTCTCCTTCATCTTAAGGAGAACCATCGACGAGATTTCTTCGGGAGAAAACTCCTTTTGCTCCCCCTTGTACTCCACTCGGATGTAGGGTTTACCACCCTTGTTGAAAACAATGAAGGGGAAGTGCTTAATGTCCGACTGGACCTCGGCATCATCGAATTTACGACCGATGAGACGCTTGGCGTCGAAAACACTACCAAGACGCGTTAGCACGAGAAAAAGGGGAAAAAATACAAAAATATAAAACTTACGTGTGGTGGGGGTTCATGGCGACCTGGTTCTTGGCAGCGTCACCAATCAACCGCTCGTTGTCTGAAAAGGAGACATACGAGGGGGTAGTACGGTTACCCTGGTCGTTGGCGATGATCTCAACACGATCATTTTGCCAAACGCCGACACAACTAGATAATGATAATTTCATGAGTATGACGATCCATGATGCTCCCTAAACCAAACTCACGAGTAGGTGGTGCCCAAGTCGATACCAATAGCTTTGGCCGGCATTTTAAGAGATTAGGATTCTTGAGAGGATTAAGGATGTGTTTAGAGGAAGTCTAAGCTCTGCGAGCTCACCTATACGGGACTGAGGAAAAAGATAACAGTGAAGGAAAACCAACGCGAACTGACACCTTTTATATGAAAGATATTCTTCGTCATTCCAGGACGTTCCTTCAGCATTCTAGAGGGTTCTTTCCTGACGTAGATCGATTACATAAACACGGCATACTCCTTATGGCACCGCCTATATGAACCCTTGAGACAAATGACATTGGTATGTTGTTGGTCACGATAATGTCCAAAATACTTCTATAAAGGATATGTATCGTACGGTAGTGGTAAAACGAAATTTCAGAAGCATATAACGAAATGCTGTAAACGCTCCAGGCTTGCTCATCAGAACATAAAATGACATACCGCGTACGAAGTAAGATAGCCCCGATAGTCGGTCGAGAAATATAACACAGGCAGGTAGCGCAGAATTGAATTGAAAATGTCGTCAGTCATGTGGGTCTGATAGTATCTTGTCAATTCGCAGTCATGATCATATACGCAGTCGGCAGTTATGCTCCATTTGTATGATGCCCCCCGATTCCAAGAGTATCATCCAAGCTCCGATGAGCTTGTAGGTCGCGGATGACAGACGGATCCACTGAACACGAGGTATAAGCTTAAACTGCGGTTTAATAATACGAAAAGGCACGCACCAGGAAGAACGCTCTTTCGTCGAACATGAGGGCTCTGAGAAACAGGCGAATGATCACCTCCAATATGGGGAAACTCACGCTGAAACCACATGGTAAACAGGTGCACCAAGATTGTAGATGGTCGATACGCCACTCACATCCAATCCAGGGTCAGCCATGGGCACTCGTTCGATACCTGATTCGTCAAGGTCACCCGGAAGATCGCCATCAAGTGACACTGCATTCAGCTCCATCGATAAGTCCAGAATATCCGAATCATCGCTAGGCGATGGAGGCGGTGGGGGTAAACGTTCGACCTCTTGAAATCCTGTGGGCAACTTCCCGCCAGCATTCTGTATTGCCTTCTCGCGGACTCTCTGCCATTGCTCATATCGCTCAACAGCATGTTGTTGCTGCCTGTCATCTTATGTTCATCTTAAACCAACATGGAATGTCAGCGAACTTACTCGATCTTCCGTTGCTTGTAGTGTTGCATCGTATCGTCAAACAACTCCGGATTGATCTCCATAAACAACTTCAGTGCATTATACACCATCCCATGAATAGTCCTAACGAGACGTGAGTAGTAGTCTATTATTAGAAACGGCAGACGCACCGGTTCCAGTGGCTCTTGGAATTTGTATACAACGCGGGAAAGACGATTGGGAGGAGAACAGCTAAATTATCACTCATGAGATTGACTACATATTCGTTGTTCCAGTATAGCAAGGCTCGCTCGGCGACCTGGAAGTGCTGGCTGTTGATGCATCGCGCAAGTTGCTGGAACAGTGGGACCTGGATCTTCTGGAATTCCAAGGGATCGGTGACATCAAGTACTTCCTCGACTTCATTCAGGAACATGACCTCTTTCGGGGAGTTGACCTTGGGCCAGTATTTCAGTAGTCCGAGCATAACATCCTCTGCTAGGGCTGGATCCTTCTCCAGGAACTGCACGACACAGTATGCAAGCTGCGGGTGATAAAGCGAAAGACTCTTGACTTTATGTAGAGGAAGGAGCACCCGGGTTAAGAATGTCTTGTGCTCATCCTTTAGAGGTAGGGCAAAGCCGTTGATGATTGAGCCCAAGATTTCAAGGAGCTCTGCGATGCCATTATGTCTCTCGGATTCGTAAATGAAATGATAAAAGACGTTGTTTATCGACCGACGGATAAAGGCCCGAAGGTTGAGGAATTTACCGTAAATGCGGTGTAGGGTAGTCTTGAGAAAGTCGCGTTCCCGAGGATCTTCAGAGTCAAAGAGCTCGAGGAGATTTAGCACGAAGGGTTGGTCGATGTATCGTTTGGCGAGATTGGTGTTGAAATCTGGGCTTTCGACGAAGCGGAGGAAAAATTCGTACACAATCTGGAGATGAGGCCAGGCGAGTTCCAAGACAGGCTCATCTTCTTCAGGGTCAAAAGCATCTCCGGTGGGGTTGACGGGCGGGGGTATTGATCGGAAGAGGTTGACAGCAAACTAGTTTGAGAGGTGAGTGTAAGATGGATGTTGGGTGATGAGAGACTAACCATGTTGACAACCTCGGGGTATATGTTTTCAGTGATGACGTTCCTCTGAGTAGTGATATACTCGAGCATTTCGTGCAAGGTCTGTGCCTTTATTTGTTTACCTTTAAGCTCTGCACTCGCATCATTGAAGTCAAACAACACGCGGCACTGATTGAGCTTCTTGATAAATAAAATGGAACGCTCAGTGAGGGGAGTATCTGGATAAATGGGTCAATTAGTAACGCGACACGGGTCTAGACGGAACGCGTAATTACCTGAGAAAGGAGGCAATTTTTCAATGTCAACCTTTTCGGTGACAACGAAGCGACTGCTACGCTGCTTGCGTGGAGGTTTTCCGACGATAGGGATTGTATCGCGTGGACCAGAGCGTAGACGATTGAGGGTGTTGGCGCGTGGAGGGGTGGAACTACCATCTAAACCAATTGTACTGCGCTCTGGAGAACTATATGGACCTGAGCGGGGTGCTAGGTCAGGTGTCGGGTCTGAGCTAACAACGACGATTGGAGGAATTGGGGTTGGGTTGACTGTGGAAGGGTACCTGCGATCTGGTGGAGCAGGAGCGATTGAAGTAGAAGAAGCGGAACGACCAGAGGAAGATTGTGCTTGTGAAGTGAGAGAGTGATTACTAGAATTGTTAACTGATGCGCCTGGCAGACCAGTTGAAACAGGTTGAGGAAGTGGCTTTCCAGTGTTTGGTGGGGGTGGTGGAGGAGCTACTGCCGAAGGAGATATAGATTTTTGATCTTTGGACTTGGATGAGGAAGAATCTTGAGAACTCTTCCTGTTGAGCTGTTCATGAAAAGGTAAGATAGATACCGGGTAGTGATGAATAAATCAACTAACGAAAGATTTCTTGAGCCCTTCATAATGATAGCAGAACAAAAGTCTGCGATAGACTATATCGTTTGCACTTGACCAGAATTAAAGCTAAAGTCGTTGCTGTTGCGTACTAGGGCTGACTGCCACTGACAGGATCGATGAAGGAAACACTCCGTGACTCAACATCACATTTCCGTCACAAGTCACAATTTTTTAAACATATGCCTATAACAATAAAACTGTCCACAATCCACATTAGAGCGAGTCTACTGTATTAGAGTAGATGAACGTTGACCAGCCGGTCACCCAGGGAGCTAGCACTGAGTATAATAATTTTTGAAATAAAAAAAGTGAATTAATTACTGAAAGGTATGATATTCCTTTTCTGGAAGGAACATCATGGTAACGAGTGCCAGCCTTGCTTAACATTGCACCTCATCCTTCTCATCATCCTCAGTATGGCTGGTACGTTTCAATTATTCTTAAATTCATATCGCTGATTTTCAGTGATCTAGCCATTTACGCCGTATATACCTCTCCTACACATCCGCCTATTCCAAACCATCTTCCTACTCTCATAGTAACTCCTCATGGCAAGCTTCCTCCTCTTATACTCCAATTGCTCATTAATTAATGAAACAACAGGTCAACCGTCTAACATTCTCTACTCTTACCTTCATACAAACTTTGTATGTTATAATTACTTATATTAAATCCCTTCTAATCTCTCCTTATTAGAATTCAGAGAATTACCTTTTGACTCCCTCTCCCCAAGGTGACCTCTGTGTCGCAAAGCTTTTCCCCCCACGCCAGAATCCTGGTAAAGCTACTGCATCCGACCCTGGTCATTCAAACCCTCCCGCTGCCCGCTCCGTTCGATGCGAAGCTTCCCGTAATCTAAAGTGGTCAATTGCAAATACAGGTGTCATATCACCTATCTACAAGCTCTCCCTGCCATCCCCTGACTCCCCCGATCTACCCCTCTTTCAAATATCCAAACCAAATCCTAATGCTGCTTTCTGGAGCATGTTCTACTTTGCTTATGCCGGTCACAATATACCCCCAAAGCGCATCGAATTTGGAAAGGTACAGAAGAACCCCCCAGGTCCAAACGGTGGCGGAACTAGAATTAGCATCACTGGAAAATCTCCCGAGGAAAAAGCAGTCTGGCAGACTTTGGGAGAGGGAAACGAGGACTGTGTCGAATGGGTCGTTCTCTGCGCAGTACTGAACCTTCTCGAGTATGTCAATCATTACTTTATCACATGTCTATCCCACGCTGACGTGAAACAGTGATGAGATCATGAAGGCCGCCGAGAAGAACCCACCTCCACCTGCCGCACCCGGTCCCATGCCCAACAGTCCTCCTGGACCTGGTGGTCGACCGGCGCCTGTTGCGCTTCATGACCCCGGTCCAACATCCGCACCCCCTCCCCAAAGTCAACCACGCCCTGGCCCATCGCAGCAGCAGCACCCACCCCGTGGTCCACCCCCTCCTCATCTCCAAGGAGGAGGGCCAGGACCTGCCCCGGGCGGTCGTCCTCCACAAGGGTTCCCCCCTCCACGAGGATTCGCACCTGGACAAGGACCCCCTCCAGGGTCCATGCCACCTCCAGGGTCCATCCCCCCTGGTCCTGCTCAAGGCGGTTATCCTCAAGGGTTCGCTCCTGGACGTCACCCCCAGCCTCAGCAGCACCGCATGCCGGGTCCCCCCAGTGGCCCTCCATCTGCTATGCTCCCTGGCCGTGCGCCACCCCCACAACAGCCATACCCACAACAAATACCCCATCCTCAACAGCAACCAACGTCAAGACGCTTCTGATACTCTGGTATACCTGGACAGCTCATTATGAGACAGTCTACTTTACCCCTTTTACCCTCTCCTTGTCATTTTTTGGTACCCGATACCTTCATAGGCGTCATGAACTCGCTGACTCTGGACTAGTCTCTCTTTCGTCTTTTAGTGATCGATCTAGTTTGACCTTCTTGATGATATTGTCACTCTTTCGAATCCCTCCAGTGTACGTTACCATGTGCTGCGGTTTTATTGTCTTTCCATATTTTGCGGGATATAAATGTGGTTCCAACGAAAATAATACCAGATGCCCACACAAAATCAGGGAGGCAACCCATGAGAGAGATCCCAGCGTCTATGGTAATGTCTATTTAGTTCTTGATAAGCTTCTGAAGGGCGTCCATTGAATACGCTGAATAAAAACACCGATCAGCACTATCACTTGTTCCATTTTCATCAGATACACACATTTAGGTCGCTCGAGAGGCAGTCCCAGAGCTATATCCATCACATACATCAGAACCTTCACACTATTGGAAACCATCATCAATACTGACCTCGTGCCCACACCAATTGGGTCAAAGCTCCCAAAGCTAGATTGCGGCACATCAGTGATATGAGAAAGTTAGTGAGCGGTATCTTACCTCTGGAAACACCAAAGATAACGGTGTAGTACTTGAACTCAGTCAGACCGTAATGGTACAACACGCAACCTTTAATAAAGATTCTCAGGATCCAGGACTATGCCATGTGAAGAAGGACTTGCCTGAAGTTGCATCGACATTCGGGTAAGGGTTTTTCGTCTTAAGAATAGCGTCAGTAGGATTATGCCACTCGCACACGAGCACACACACCTTTCCATGCTCCTTGAGAACATCGGGGGCAATCTCGGCCGTCTAAGCGGATAGATAAGTATGATTTAGGAGATGACGGTAATAGAAATCTTGACCTGTTGCACGAGCTGAATGATGGGACTTGCTTGTAGCTCTGGGCGAGTCTTGCAGAATTCCTGGAGAGCAACGAATCGGGGATCAGGGTTACGCAGGACCCCGTGCCCATATCTAAACATCAGATTAGGGCATGCCCTGTCAGACTCAGCACACACGGGACATACCCGGGGACGACTTGGCCGCTCTTCAACGTCTTCCAAAGGTAGTCCCTGATGTTCTCATGAGTTATGTTGTCACCAATCTCCTTCTGCATGGCCATCTGCCATCTCAGTACTTCCTGGTTTGCTAGACTGAAGGAGTATGATAAAGTTTAAACTACAAGTGCAATGACTGAAAACGTACCCATGAAGAGGTCCAGCGAGTGCAAAGAGAGCGGCGGAGTACGAGATATACGGGTCAGAGAGCGTTGATCCGACGAGGTCTGATCGTTCTCATGAAAAATGGACAAAGCATCGACACAAAGGAGAACTCACGAGCAGTGTGAGCCGAAGCATTACCGCCTTCATGGTCACCGTGCAACGCGATGTACAAACGGAGATACTCCGTCAAGTGCTCGTTTTGGCCAAACCCGAGCATGTTGGAGTAGTTGCCTGTACGTACACTAAGCATACCTTTGCATATGATACTAGCCAGATACTAACCAACAAGATCCAAGTTCTTGTCAACAGATTCTAGAGGCCTCTCGGGGTGGTAAACATTGCGGTAAATACGGGCCGCCAGAGCAGGAAGTTTCGCGATGAGGTTCAAGCAGTCTTCAAGAGTGTACGTCCAATACTCCGGTTTCTTGATTCCACGCTCATAGGCTGCCTGGAACTCGGAATCGTGGTTCAAAGCTGCAACACCCATGCCCAACTGAGTCATGGGGTGGAGGGTCTTTGGTAAGCTAATAACAAAATTAAATTAACAGACGATGGACGCAATAGCAAGGACATACGAGTCTATAAGCTGTGTGACGAAAGATGGGAGTTCTCCCTTCTCTGCGAGCTCGGCGGACAGCTGACGGCTTTGCTCCGGAGTGGGAACTTTGCCAGTCAGAAGAAGCCAGAGCATGCTCTCAGCTGTCATTTCCTTGCCACCGGGTGCTGGGGGGAGCACCTTTTGGCAATCTGGGATAGTCAATCCGTGAAAACGGATGCCCTGGATAATGCTTTAGCGTCGGGTCACCTGTAGTTCGGGAATTTTCGCGAACCTCGTTCGGGTCCAGGACTGAAGCTTCCCAAAGCATGGCTTTGAGACCACGCATGCCACCAAGGATGTTCTCCACCTATATGACGCGTTAATAAGCTTTAATGGTCGTGAGGCGTTGTTCAGACCTTAACTTCCCCCACTACAGCTTGACTATGCTCGGCTTTCTATTGACTAATGTTAGGCTATTATATTTGGAAGAAGCGTGACTGACCAGTTTCTTAAGTTGTTCTTGTTTCGCCGGGATCACTTCTTGAAGTGTCTCTTTAAGAGACTTGAGAGCTTTTTCTGAGCAAGGACGATGTCGAATAAAGTAGTGATATTAAGTACCTTGGTGGAAGCCAGACGCCTGAAGCCATTAGTAGAGATATTTCTCGCGACAGACTTTGTCAGAAAAGAAGAACGACCAATCATAGTGAAAACAGTGAGTTGGGTGGAAGCAGTAAGCAGAGGATGTATCTTATAAGTGCTCCGATCAAGCGCAAGTACATAAGACGTCCGCTCACATGCATGTGAAGTTCGGTACTGAAGAAACCGGGGCGAGCAAGGTTGCCAAATTTGACAGCTCCGCCGGCATGGATACAAATATGGACAAAGCTGCCGCGTGGCGCTTAATGTCACGGTCAATCTTGCAAGTCCACGTCTCCAGCTGCCATCATGGCTTCAGTCCTAGTCCCCGTTCTATACGTCGGAATAGTTGTTTCAAGTTTATTACTCTTCAGTCATTTTTACAGAAAACGCAGTGCAGGTGAGAACTACCAGTAGTTTCATCATCGTGCATACTGACGTGTAACGTGTAACAGGCAAGCTATACGAACCATACTTTTCTTCACATCCAGAACGCGATGTCTACGTTTCTTTACTGCAGAAGACAGACCCTCCAGCTCATGAAGCCCTTCTTAAAGCTGCTCTTGTTCGCCGTGCAATGACAGACGTTTCTCGCGTGGTTAGACTCCGTGAAGACAAGCCCGCTCTACAAAATCTTCTGCAGAAAGGCTCAATTGGCGACGACCTCTGGAACAGTCTCCTACAAGCAGAGAAAGAGCTGGAAGCAGAAATAATGGAGGTCGTCGCAGAAGCTAATACCTTTGTTGAGGGATGGGGAACCATAATATTCCAGTCAGCCGGTGAGATGATCGCGAATGAGAAGATGCGTACTGTCTACGAAGAGACTCCAGCATCTAGAGAATTGAAAGGTATTTTGCTTCACCTGTAATATCCGAACAACTTTCTAAACTTCTTTCCTTTCAGAACAAAAGTATGGAAAAGTAGGAGCCAAGATCGACCTCCCCCTACCCCAGCCAGTCCTCATGCCCGGGCCACCGCCACCTGGTCACCCTGCTCATGCTGCTGCGCTCGCGGCAGCTGCAGCTGGAGGTGCTCCAAATTCTGCTCCTGGAACTCCTGTTAAGCCTTCAAATAATCTTATGCTACCTCGCGCTACTAGTACAAAGGCAGAGAGCGTGGTGTCAAGCGATGGTGAGAGCCACGATACCCCATCTTCAAAATCCGTAAGTACCACTTCCAAACCACTCTCAAACAACTCAAGCCACATTACCCACAGTCCAAGAAGAAGGGTAAGAAACGGAAGTAGTCCCTAGCACACGTTCATACATACCTTGTCTATTTCATGCAATACACATGTCTTGCTGAAAGTCGATTGTCGATACTGCGTAAAATTGAGACAAAAAAGTACAATGTGCTTAAGATAAAGGACGCCGCACAGAACACAATCCGAGTCCAAACCGTACATATCAGCTTCATATCAACCTCTGATGACGATGGCCTTCTCTCCTGCTGTTCTTGCCTTGCCCGACCTGTCTATGTGATCCAGTCCAAGGACATCTTCTGGCGCGAATTTGTGGTCGTATATGGTGTCCTCTGTGTCGTTGTCAGAAAACAGTAATATTGCGCAATAAAGTTAAGCGCTCACCATCTTCAATGTATGACGGCTGCTTGAAAGTAGCCACTTGGATCAAGGCAAACCGATACTTGGCAAAGTCCTTGTCTGATGCACCTATTCGTACCTGCAGACGCTTCTTTGTGTCCGCGAATTTTTCACCCTTGAATCACTCGTCAAAATCAAGCCATGGTAAAACGACAAAGATACTGACAGCTTTTACAACGAATCGGAAAGGCACACCATGTGTTCGTGCAACTTCCCTATTGAAGTGGAAGACACTGATAGTCTTGCTAGTTTCGTCCGCTTCAAGTTCGTCTCGAGGTATTTCCTGTTTTACGTTTAAATCGCTGATAAAAAGAGACAACCAGCAATAGCTTGCATACCTCCGCATAAAGCTCAACAGGTTCAGGGATGTTCCCAATCATTTCTGAGCCCGTAAACTCCTTCTGGAACTTCCCATCCTTCGATACCTCAAAGACACGAATCTTAGCGGTCCCTCCAGGGCTCAGCGTTACTTGCTTCGCCAGGTGATCAGCAAGATCATGGACCGAGCTAGTCTTCGGCAGCAGGAACGGGTATGAAGCCTCTTCTTTATTATGGATCCCCGTCCACATAATCTTGAGGCTTCGTTTCGTCTCCAGCTCCACGATGCTTACATCCAACTTCTCATACAGAATGACAGTCGTCGTTGGATTGATATAACTCGGTACCATGATTTCCTGGATGCTCTGGTTTAGAGATCGCTTGAGGACTGATTTGGGTGATCCGTTCGTTGCGTGAGTCGTTGTGAATCGGAGCTTGATCGGATCGTGTCTCAAGAACTCGCCAGCTTTCGTCGACATCTGGGCGAGTCATCAGCTACTCAAGCCACTAACACGTAGAGATGAGCACCAACCATGTCATAGTTGTGCTTCTTGCTGAGGATTAGACTGAACTCTGGGTGATCGTGGTCTGGGTCCTCGAACTTCGGTCGGAAGATGATCATGACGCGGTTCTGGAGGAAGTCGTAAAAGTGTATCGGGTTAGAATACATACCCTGGGCATCGAGGTCGTGGATCCTAACAAAAACTGAGCATAGATCGCTAAGAGTAAGGATTGCATACTCACTCTTTCTCGGAGTGGTCGACCTGGAAACAAATGACATCACCATCCTGAATCTCACTCTGAGCAAAAGTGAGCTTTTGCTTCATCAGCTCTATCATGCCAGGCTTGATTTCCTACAACCAGTCAAGGATAAGAACTTCACCCAAACGGCAATTCTGCTAGCGCACCTCAAACAATTTCAGAGGAGTGCCAGGTGCCCACCGCATCCGTTCATTAATCAGAGGGTGCAGATCCTGGACTTTGCTGTTCCTCGACATATACACCTTACCGATACCGAACAGAGTCTGCTTCGCCATGTCAAAGTGCTTGAGGAAAATCATGATGGATCCCGCTGGTGGCTCAGGCTGTAACAACGCGTCGATGAACTTCCTGCAGCACAGAATAACGACATACCTTGCTTGGATCGGGTATTATATCAAGATACAAACGAAGATCATTCTGCCTTGCTGCCATATTATTGCGAATCACCTCGACGGCTTCAGCAACCATTAGGGATCAATAGCCGTGAAAAGACGAGAGCCTACTCAGCGTCGGTTCATTCTCAGGAATATGAGTATCAGGGCGAACAGTCTTGTTCTGACGGTTGACCAAAACCCAAAGGCGTATTTTGTTCTCCGGAAGGTTGAAGTGGCTCGCAACACGCGATTTGAAAGTACTGTATGTTTCTTGCTTCAAAACACGGAAGCTCGGTAGATCCGACGGTGGCCAGTTCTTTTCGTCAAAGGTAGCAAGATCAAAGCCTTCATGATGAGCAAATGTATCATCGGTGATGACCTAAGCTGACGTGAGTAGGAGGACAGGTAAATGACACGAGACCATCACGAACCTTGGCCGTGAGGAAAAGATGCTGCTCCTCGCGTTCCCGCTTCTTAGCTTCGATCTGCAGTCTCTCGTCCTCAAGTCGACGTTCTGTGATTATAGTCAGCAACACGTGTTTTTAAGTTAAAAAAGTGACCCACTGAGATGTGCCGGGGTGTCTTCGTCCTTCCAAGCCGAAAGGATTTCATCGGTGGCCGATTCACGGATGTAGACCAACATATACGCATTGGTGAACCTTTTCATAGCTCGTACTTGATTGCGTTGCAGTGGAGGAGTGATGCCATTCAAAGGTTCGCCACCGTAGTTTTCCTCTAATACCTCGCGATCAGTGACTGGGGTGACCTTATCATCATCAAATTTGAGCCATCTCGTCTCCCGATCGGGTTTGATGAGTGCAAAGTAGTGTCCGCCATATCGATCCCCTGAATGTACCAACACGCCATGCAACTTGTAGTTCCATGACTGCGAACGATCAGCGTCCTCATCCAGAAACTCCGCGAGGTCGATTTCAAATGGGAATTCATGACGATCGTTGATCTACAGGAGATTGATCAATGAGAATTACAGTAAGATTTGTGCCACGAACCTTCGCCATCGCGTCACGTTGGATATCATACTCGAAACGCTTCAGTTGCAGATGGAGCACAGGAGGGAACGATTGGAAGAGTATTCCCTTCTTCGCGTCTTGGAGACCAAACCCTTCAGCTTGATACTTGTTCTCGCCCTCCATCATCTCAACAGCGACGTAGTCCTTGAATGACTCGTACAGGTTCTTCATTCCCTTGACGTTGAGAGAGATGTCTGGATAACATAACGCGTTAGATAGTGCTGGATGGGACAAAATCTATATTACCGTTGAAGTCCTCAAATACAGATGATTCAAATTCGACGTTCACGCATTTGATGTAACTCTTCATCTTTCCAACGAAGAGCTTGGAGATTGCACCTTCGGCCTTCGTACCCTAGACGGGATGAGACACTGCAGGGCATGTGATCCGAACTCTGATACCTTCATCTTGGTCTCCAACTTGTCTTGGAGCACGCGGTTAAATTCTTGAACGTCATGTTGTTGATCAGAGTCAAATGATTTCCACCCAAATGATTTTGTCAATTCCGTAGTTCCTGGGGGATTACGTTTTGGGAAGGATCACGGAGTGAATTGACGTGATACATACCAACGGGCTGATCTGATGTCTGAAGATGATAAAATACTCGTTGCAAAGCGAGGGGTACGCTTTCGGTAGGGTGCTCGTCCTCGGTTGGTATTTGGTACACAGCCTAAACGCCACGTTAGCTGAATAATAAATGTCAACGCCACGCTTACCTTTCGGAAGTAACGCGTGCAGAAAAGAGATTGGAGAAGGGAATTCATGTAACACGTCGCGCCTTGGTTCTTCAAGCCAACGTAGCCAGTTTCCTTCTTGGAGTCATAGCTGAACGGAATCGATAAGAATGCCCAAGATCGGCAGGGTGAGTACGCACTTGACAAAATTGTGCCACAAGACACCGGTGGGATCCTCGAGTACGCGAACATAGACAGTAACATCGGCTGACTCATCCTCGATAGTTGGACGCGAGTGGCCTTCTTGAATATTGAAGAGTTTGCGCAGCTCACTGAAGCGGGTGAAACCCCAGTCACATTCCTCGGCGATAAAGCGATGGTGAGCATCTATGAAGTAGTGGCATCGCGGAGTAATGAAATGAAATGATAGAACTTACGGCTAACTGTGAAAATGGTGGGGTCATGGGGATTGGAAATGACGAGTGCGAACTGGGCACATGCGTGCCAACCCTCTGGGGACTTCTTTGGATCAGCGTAATCAAGGTAGACGGAGACAGTGTCATTAGGTGGTGCATTTGAATTCCCGAAGGGAAATAATAGTATGCGCCTGTTGAGAAATGTGAGGGTGAGGAGAAGAGCGCCCTGTGGTAGACTGACCATTTGTGACCGCCGCATTCAAAGTCAGGACTTGTGAGCCTCTTTTCCAATTTCTTCCAATTGTTTATCCGCCAAGTAAAGACCTGAAAATCTTTGACATCATGCCCTAGGTCTGGCATGTGCTTCGATGCAAAAGCTTCGTCTACATAAGATGATATGAAGGGGTAAGTTGATGATGCAGAGGAAATAGAGCTTACGATCGCGAACGGAGACGACTTCATCAATGATCTCCATGGAGGGACCGCCGTTGACTTTTTCGTCCAGATGATCCATGGTATCACTCTTGTATGGCTGAAATGTGAATTTGGCGTTTCCAAGATATGATATGACATACCATGAAAGTCTGCAAATGAGCAGTTCAGAGGATGAAATTAGGACTGTAGCGTATTGAAATAAGCTGATGGTACGGCGAAGAGAGTATTATCCGTGACAATAATGCTCCAAGTGACGCTTGTGAGTGAAGTGACGAAGGTCGGTGGGAATCGGTCATAGACCGCATCGCTCTCGTAAGCAACCCCCCCACAGCACACATAAAAATTCGACCCCTCCAATTAGAAACTTTGAAGCTTGTTCTTTTTTTTTATGATGATGATCAACCAAACGACGTCGACGACGCTCTCGATTATTTTATGTTCCTACACACGATCCTTAAATTGTCTCGACAGGGTTGACCTCAGTGTCACCACCAGCCTTTCCGCTGTCTCACTGTCGGTAATGAGTCAAAATCGTGTAAAAGCAAGTCGGACGGACTTTTGGACTCTTCCCAGTTTCGTTTTGAGACTGGGAGTAATCCTCCAAAACTCTCTGACGATGCCATGATCACTTTGTTTCGATGATGTTCAATTGATATCGTCGCTCCTGGTCAATGGTGGACATCATTAGTTGTATTATATATTTACTCTTGCAATGAAATCTTATCCGGCCGCCATTATCTGCCCTTGACCCATGCATGAACTATGGCTATGCTTATCGAGCCTGAGCCATGCGTATATGGTGCTGCTACCCTCGACGCCGCTCATGTACCGTTCAATTTGATGAGCACCAAGTCAGAATGAACTGACTATAGTAACTCGCATCACTATTTGCAAAGTTTGGTTCCCACAAATTGTCGTTACCAGCGCTCAAGCATCCTCAAGAACGTAAGTCACTACTAAGCAAGGAAGTTTCATACTACCGGACGTCCAATTGCCTCATGTCGACGGGTCGGCACCTGTCAATTCTCTCTTTCTTATTCTTCTATTCGTTCCATTTTCAAGAACTGGATCCTCTGCTTAAGCTTCGTTCTGGCTTTTTTACTCAATGGCCACTCGAAGACGAGAAGACCGTCTTCACGACGATCGTTACAAACTTTGGGTTCCAGAGAACCCTGCTGACCGTGACTATGAACAACGCCGTCATCGTGAATCTAAATCTCGTGCTCATCCCCAGTACTCTTCTGCTGCACCTTCAGCCAGTAGAACACGTTCTTCTTCTGCCCAATACCCATCTACAGGTTATCATTCAGCCACACCTTACCAGAACCCCGCACCCCTCCAATCATCTAACACCAAGGGTTATCCTCCATCGGCATCTTCACGCCGCGCCCAACCAGAACCCATTGACTCCAGATCTCATCGACGACCTGCCCCAACCCCCAAATCATCATATGAACAAGTCTCCGGTGCCGAAGACGTTGGAAGATCTTCCAGGCAAACTTATTCTTCGCGTCCTATCCAGCCACAGACTACCGCAAACTCAACCACACCATCCACTAATTGGCCTTCATCTGCTCAAGATATCTACTCTAAACGATCGAAAGATCGTGACCAGGAACGTGATAGACATCGAGAAATGGAGAAAGAACGCGACAGAGAAAGGGCTAGTGCTGAAATCGATAGGCATCGTGAAAGACACAGATCTGAACAGCATCGAGAGAAGGAAAAGGCCGACAGGCAGAGGGAACAAACCAGGCACAGACGCGAGAAAAGGATCGAGTCAGATTCTGAAGGCCTCGTGTATTCAGACAAAGCTTCCATCTCTGGCAGGGAAGCATACCAACCCTCCATTCGCGAGTCTATCACTAGTCACAGGCGACATCGTACAGAAGACGGAGTCTCATCGGTATGTCGAACTGATTTTATATATGAGGACATAATGTTAATACTGCGCCAAAGGCCCGCCGACCTCATCCTGACCCTTCCCACAACCAAACTTCTGCTGTGCACATGCAGCCTACAGGCCCCCAGCAAGAGGCTGTGACTCAGAGTAATACGCCAGGCGTAGGAAGCAATCCACCGCCCGCGCCTCGCGTGATGCCTGTCTACCTTCCTCATAAACCTTCCAAATCACATCACGAGCGACATATGTCCTCGGCTGCGCAAGGAGCTCAGTCGGGTAGTGACACTGAACGAGCTTCTCTGAAGGTAGGACACCTAAACAATCTTGCTTAACTCCCTTTGACCCTTTTTTCAGCACCGCATGGAGAGAAACCACTCGGGAGGCCCCGTACAGAGAGGTGACGGATATCAAAACAGTGCCGTAAGGGAGAGACAGGGTCCAGACGCTCCCTTGGGTCCGCGTGAGGACGCCAAGTCCAAATCAGAGGTGTGTTGGATAGCCTTGACGACTGAATGATGGAGCTGATTGTGATAATCACCCAGGCTAAGTATACCTCGACGCAGGGCACATATTATGACTCGCGGCAGCCCCTAAAGCATACGTCAATTGACACTGTGGACATACCCCTTGTTACGCCAGGCTTCAACTCGTCACCTTTACCACACGAATCACGAGGACATGTGGGTACCATACCTGTTCTTGTCGCAGGAGAGGGCCCTGCCGATCGCCAGGCTCACGATGTACTTTACAAGTCACAATCTTCTTTACATAAAGATGAACTGCATGGTGTAGGATATCCTCATGCATCCCTCGCTTCCGCGGCGAAGCCATCTCATGGCAGATCACAATCCTCTGAAGTCCCCCGTAGCCGGCCGGAGCAACCCACGCTGGACCGATCTCGTACAGATCCTGCAGCAATTGATCTTTCGCATAGCCGTCATCACCGACCGGAAGACTTCACACCGCCCCGATACCTTCAGATCAGTACGCCAGTGGAACAGCAACCCTCTCAACCGCGCTCATACAAGACATCATTCTCCAATCCTCCAGCTGTCTCTGGCCCAAGACCTCAGCGTTCATCTTCGTCGGCAGATCATCAGAATGAGTCGACCAGACCGACGCCCTCATCGGGTCTAGTAGCTTCCAGCCAATCGCCTGTAACCTCATCACCTGCTCATAAGACGAACTCGAGTCCACCTAAGATCGGGTCGGGCTATGGATCCCTCCCTTCTGCACACCCAACCCCTATGAGCTCACAGACTCACCTCGCATCTGGAACCCATGGCAATAATACGACAGGAACTCAACGATCACCATCCACACCTCCTACTCATTCAACATCGATGAACACCTCACAGACGATGATGATGGCATCACAACCTGCTCGTGCATCACGAACTTCACTCGATCGTCCAGAACCTCACATCATCGCTCCTCGCATGACGACCGCTCAGATTTCCGATGGGAGTACGGTCAAATCATCCTGGGTCGTGCAAAGAGCCCAACCGCTCAAGGATGGTTACGTGACCAGGGAGGAGAAGCATTCAGGTTATAACAGCTCACATCATCAGGTCGATCCGCCCACGGTAGCTCATCCACAGCTGCGTGAAGTCCTTTCTCAAGACAACCACTATACAACACCCCCTGCAAACCGTTCAGCTCCAACTCCAAACCCCTCGCTGCGGTCGTCGCCTTATGGCACGCCAAAGGAGGTGTATGCTTCCGGGACACCTCGGCGCTCTCCAGATAATTCACCTCGCTTTGCGAAGGTCAAAGAGGTATGCAGATTGAAGCTACCTTTGCAGGTTCCACTCACATGCAGAGCAGGCAGCCACGCCGGAGCAGTCGAAATACCTTCTCTTCCCTGCACCTCCGCAGATTGCTGTAATAGGAGCCACGCCATTGTCTGAGAACCAAGAGTTGCCTCATAAGCCTCCGCACAACTCTGGTTTCCTAGCGCCGTCTTACTCGGCGCCTTCGCGAGTGTCGAGAACTACATCTGGGAGTCGGGACCATCCTACACAGCTGCAGGTGCAGCCACAGACAGTTCACAACCATGCTGTTGGTTCCACTGCGTCGTTCCAGCAGGCTTCGGGACCGCAACATGTGGTGCAGCAAGCCCCGTCTCCGTCATCGTATGGCAGTCTTCCAACGCCATCCTTACCTTCGAGGGTCTCGAGGACGACGTCAGGCAGCCGCGACCATCCGCAGACGCCAACGTTTCATACTCATATTGTTGACTCTGTCGCATCGCACCAGCAGACTCCTGCGCGTCCATTGCAGTCTTTGACTCCCCAGACTCCTGCGTCACCATATGGCAGTCTTCCTGTACCATCATACCCAGCACCTTCACAGATCTCGAGGACGACGTCCGGTACTCGTGAGCATTCTCCACAAACGCAGCCACAGACCGTGCATGCCCATCCTGTCGCTCCTCCTGTATCACAACAGCAGACTCCTGGGCGTCCATCCCAAACTGTGGAGTTACCTTCGCAGGTCTCGAAGACGACGTCCGACAGCCATGAACATCCTCCGCACGGGCAGGGCTCTATAGTGGCTCACCAGCAGACACCAGCGTTTACATCACAATCTGTGGCACCGCAGGCTCCGGCGTCGCCATATGGCAGTCTTCCTGCACCATCGTACCCACCGCCTTCACAGATCTCGAGGACGACGTCCGGTAGTCGTGATCATCCACCGGACGCGCAGCCGCAGACGGTCCATCCTGTTGGTTCTGCAGCGTCGCACCAGCAGAATTCTGGATTTTCATCCCAGTCTCCGATGTCGCAAGCTCCGTCTCCCTCGTCATATGGTCAACTTGCTACTGCTGGACAGTTTTCGCCTCCACCTTTACCGGTTCCGCCACCAAGAGTACCGGGGATTGACATCCCAGAGGACATTTTCCCTGTCAAGCTGACACCCAACAGTCCCGCTGGAATCAACTACACGCCCACGGGCTCTGCTGTTCCATTACAGCAGCCTGCTCCAGCTCCAGTTGCCACTCATACCTCGGCTATGGCAGCCTCTGCTTCTTCTGCTCAGCCTTCATTGCCCAACGGACATGCCGATTCCTACAAGAGCAAGCCTTGGACGGGCGGGGGAATGGGTGATGCACCTGCGACCACAAGTTCCGCATACCAAAAGGCTGCTGCTCCTGCACCTACTATCTCTCGCGAAGCTTCTCTAGCTACACCGGCATTACCATCTGCGGGTACGGGTCCTGCTAGTGGAGTTAATCAGGGCACATCAGATTCACAACACCCTTCGCCGAGCCAGGGAGCGCCTGCGAGCGTACATCCACCAACCAATCCGGCTCCTCGGTCGACACGGCCCAAAGTCACCATCGAGGAAGTTCCTGAGTCTCCGCAGTTCGGAAATAAGTGGACTGCGAATTCTTCGCAGACGTATCCGCAGACGCAGACGCATATTCCGGCTCAGCCTGAGGCTCCTGTAGCTTCCTCGAGTGTTCCTGCTGCCAAAGTGCAGTCTTCGGATGTGAGTGCTCATGAGAAGGCACCGAAGGTGAAGGATTTGTTTGTTCCTAGTGTGCAGCCTACTCCGAGCGTGCAGCCTACCTCCAGTGTGAAGCCCAGCCTCAGTGTGCAGCCTGCTCCAAGCGTGCAACCTAGCCCCACTGTGAAACCTAGCCCCAGTGTGCAACCTACTCCGAGCGTGCAGCCAAGCCCCATTGTGAAGCCTAGCCCCAGTGTGCAACCTACTCTCACCGCCGTAGCGTCAACTTCATCCCATGTTCCTCCTGCACCATCGATTCAACAGCACGCATATATTTCTGCGTCTTCTCGTGCTCCGTTTTCCGCTCCGCCAACGCAGACCACTTTTGCTCCATCGCACCAAGATCCTGTTCATCGGACGACATCATCTGGTGGACAGCCTCGAGGGTACCAACGGTCGACTGATGTGCAGCCAAGCGCGAAAGCACCGCCTACATATATAAGCGCACCAGCTATTACAGCGCAAGGTGCTCGACATGTTTCTCAGTTACCAAATGTTGCTCAGAGTGCTTCTATAGATGCTGCATCCAAAGGAAGATCATACGCTGCGACCCCTACTACGACCGTGACCGCCCCTCACCCTCAGAATTTGCCAACTGCGGAGACCCACACGAAATCTTATTCATCTCGACCTCTTACCAGCGCATCAGGTGCCGCAACGCAAACCGCTCGACCAGTTGCTCCGCCGTCGAATGCTGCTCAGAGCGTTCCTGTTGATGTTGCATCAAAAGGTAGCAGACAATATGCAGCAGTTGCTGCATCTGCTGTCGCGTCTCACTCTCATAATGCAGAGGCCCACGCGAAACCTTATTCCTCTCGTCCTGTTATAACTCCTGTAACCATTCCTCAAGGTCTCAACGTCCGTACGGCTGCCAGCACTCCATCTGCAAAAACCCAAGTGCAGGACCCTCCTAATACCAGTGATTCTACTCGTTATCGTGGTTTACTTTCTTCTGCTTCTCGTTATGCTTCAGCCGTGAACTCATTATACCCCGCATCTCATCGTCACGCTACCCCAGCGAGCGCCACTCAGCAACCCAAACCCTCGCATTCGACGCATCCTATACCCCATCATCGAACTGTATCATTACCCACTCCACAGCCTGTTTCCACATCTAATACCAACGCACGTCCTCCTTCTCCTCGTAAAATTTCTCAGCCTTTAGTCAACACCAGTGCTACGTCAACACAGCCTTTCCCCAGTTCATCGCAAGGAAACGTTTCGTCCCGCCCCTCCAAGACAGCCGAACCTTCGTGGGCTGCCCGTGTTGCAGTCTCAGGACATCCATCTACGCCTGCTCCGTCCCGAGCTCACCTGCCACCAGATATGAATCGTACATTCTCCCATGATTCCGAGATGCTGATGACGCCTTCCTCTATTGCACCTTCAATGCCCAAGACACCGCAAATACCGCAGACGAATTTCGCCTCTCCACACCAAGTAACTGCGCCCCCAATGAGGCAGAGGCAGATGTCAACGGAATCTAAGGAGTCGAAGAAGAGGCCGGGTGGTTTCCTTGGAGGGTTGTTCAGGACCATGTCGGGGTCTGGCTCTTCTAAACCTCTCGAGAGTCCCGTTGCTCGATCTCCAAAGCTATCTATGGAGCAGCACAAGTCTCCGGCGATTGTAGCACCGCCCATGCAGCACTCTAAGTCGTCTTCTCTGCCTAAGGAATCAAAGGGTAAGGCAGTGGCTTCTGCACCTCATGCTCAGACTACGACTCTTCCGCCCTCATCAGCGTCGGCTCAGCCAAAGGCACCAAAGGACAGAGCCAGGAAGCACCCTGATATTACCACATTATCTGCACATCCTCCTCGTGACCGCAAGCAGCCTTCGTCCAATGTGTTCTCTTCATTCAGTTTCCTGACTAGCAAGAGAAATCGCACCATGTCTGGAGCATCTCTCGACGTCTGTGATGGAAACACTGCAGTACGTATGATTTTCATGTTGTCGGATGTCGAGTCTTATCATGATTCACACAGACGAACACTGTGATCGGGTCACCGGCTCACTCTACTGTCAGTCAAGTGCAGCCTCTTCCGCCTATGATGCCGCCGCCTTCGCGCGATCCTATGGTGGCAACTAGCCAGTGGAGGGATAGAGAAGAGGCGGAGCAGAAGAGGAGGAAGAAAAGTCGACCTCGACCAGGAGTGACCTTTGACGTTGAGGAAGACCCGCCTGACCCTTACCCTGGGGCTACAGGCAAGCAGAAAGGCGCGCGGCTGGTTCGGCGCAAAACTGGTCGTTCTGCGACTCCCGGACCTCGCTGATGAATATATGGCTATTGACCTATGTTTGAAGTATCTTAGTATTGTCTTCGTATTATGTTGTGTAATCTATGGTTTAACAAGAATGGTATCGAACTGATAGCCGTGGAGTTTTTGAGGTAGGTATACTTCCAACCTGGGCCGCCATCAGTTCTCGATCAAACTGACACTCCCCCGTTGTCTACTGTCAAAGCCAGTATGATAGACACATGCTGAATATTTCATTAAATGATTGATAGTTACGGGGAAGTTCGACGAGCTTGCTGATCTATTACATGATCAATCATGGACTGCAGATTGGATTCTGACTAATAGTACCGTGAGTTTTCCATGACATTGTAGTGTGACGGATATTTACGCGTTTGTGACACCTCGTGTCTTGACGCGTTCCCTGCATTATATCTACTGGACTGCCCACTCATCGTTTTCGCGCAATGTACAACAATTCTGAAAGGAGGAAATTTGATCCAGCGAAATCTGACTCGTCCAAATCAGCAAACTCTTTTGAGTGGCCTTTCCGTCTTAACTTGTATGTATGTTATCGCCTACTTTCAGCAGGTGACCTCAATCCATTTTAAGTTACGACAAGTCCCCGTGGTATGAAGTCTCTTTAGAGGATTTTGAAAGATACGCCTTGGATCGCCTTCGCGTTCTTGCAGAAATCGAGTCGTCTTTTGCGCGTAACAGATCTTGGGAGGAGTTGAAGAGTGTGACCACGCGGCAGTGCAAGGATCACATCCCTCTCAACAGCAGTAGTGCCTCGACTGTAGATACGCAGACTGAAAGGAGGAATGACCACCTGGGTCACTTCGTACTCAGACTTGCTTTCTGTCGATCGTGCGTCACATCCTCATCATCGATCTCCCATCTAGTAACCGATTTGTAGGGAGGACTTGAGGAGGAGGTTCGTGAAAGCAGAGACAGCTCTCTTTCGAGTGAGATATGAGAGTGATGATACTAAAGAGCGAGAGCTCTTTCTACAATCCCGGGACTTTAAGTGGACTGAGGTAAATGCATGATATCACTCATTCCTCGTACTAACGATACTGCTAGGTCAACTCCGAGGAGAAGCTACAGTATGCTAGTGAACTGAAGGGGCTGGGAATACAGCAGCCAGAGGAAGGAGTTCCGACGACGGAGAGGCTTTACAAGGTGCGTCGATCAGTCTACCTTTCCTGCTCTTTACTCATTATCTACAGGTGAGGTGGACTCAAGTGCCGGATCTCGTCAATAAGCGGCGTGTCCTGCTAAAAGACGGCTGTGCATACGTTCCTAGTAAGGAACAACTCAGCATTGTTCTGCGAGCATTTGAGGCGAACCTTGAAAATGCGCTCGATGTCAGTTAGCGTTTTACCGATCCCCCCAGAACTTTCCTGATTTTTTGACAGTCAACCGCTCGATCAATAATGCGCATGGATGGTGACACACGCCTAACCGAAATACTCAATCATATGTCTCGAGGATTTGTTGCGGGGGTGGCGTCAGAATACTCTGGTCCAGCTACGGGCGACGAGATCAGAGCAGATATGGTAGACGACCTCGCAAAACGACACTTCCCCTTGTGCATGCGGAACCTACACGAATGCCTCGTACGGGACCGTCACTTGAAACATTTTGGTCGACTGCAATACGGCCTGTTTCTCAAAGTCGGACATTTATTACTAACTAAGTGGAAGCTTCGTTGACTGTAACTTATCAGGTTCTTGGTTTGTCGATAGACGAAGCGATTGCATTTTGGAGGAAGTCTTTCAGTAATCTTACGGACGACAAGTTCAACAAAGAGTACAAGTACAATATCAGGCATTCGTTTGGACTGGAAGGGAAACGTGCCAACTATCCAGCAAAGAGGTATGAACGTGTAACATTCCAGCTCCAGTGTTCTGATGGTTAATTCCATACAGTTGTCAGCAGATTCTCTTAACAGACAAACCCGGACCTTCTGATTGTCATGGATGTCCATATCGCCACTTTGCGCCAGACAACTTGCAAACGAGTTTATTAGCAACTTACTCATCACAAGGACTGACATCGACGGATCTGGCGGAGGTCATGCGTACTGTGAAAGAAGGACACTATCATGTCGCCTGTACCCGAGTTTTTGAGATCACTCATGCAGCAGCAGGAGTCAAGAAAGGTGATGGGATCGGAGAAGGGGAAAGTGTCACACATCCAAACCAGTACGCCGCAAAGAGCATAGAAATTGAGAAAGCGCAACGAGGGGATGCAATGGCCGTAGAGTAGATTAGCGTCTGTAGACTTGGATAGATTGTCATATCATTATCTATATGCGGTGTTTGAAGTCCTTGAGCTATAATGGAAGGACCCCGAAGCTGGCTTCATCGTCCGTGACTCTTGCTGGTCGTCTGCTCATCTACTACCTTACATAAAGCCAGCATGGTCCGAAGTAAACCCAGTCCAGTGAATGGCAACAAGCACGACAGTTCTCTCCAACAATACAATGATACTGATGGCCATTTCTCCCTAGTCAGGTGCGGATCCTCGTGTTCTCCCTAATTTCTTGACTTGTTAACAAGTTTGCTTTCAGAAACTTCCGTCTAGCTGATCTTGTTACCATTATGAACGGTGTCTGCGGCTCTTTCTCAATATTTTCATCTGCGCAGTATTTATTGACGAACGATGATGATTACTTGTTGTGGGCACTTGCTCTCCCACTGGCCGGATTGATGTTTGACTTCATGGACGGTAAAGTTGCGAGGTGGAGAAAATCATCCAGTATGCTGGGCCAAGAACTCGACAGTCTTGCAGATCTGGTATGCAATTTCTCTCAATAAGCGCCCCTCATTCGCCTAATTTGATTGCACGGTAGGTATCATTTGGTGTTGCACCAGCTGTGGTTGCTTTTGCTGTGGGCCTTCGGACATACCTTGACACCGTATGTTTGACTGGTTTCATATGTTGTGGTCTTGCTCGTCTCGCCCGCTTTAACGCGACTGTTGCGATCATACCTAAGGATGCAGCAGGCAAGTCCAGGTACTTTGAGGGCCTTCCAATCCCTTCGTCTCTCGGACTCGTCGCGATTTTGTCATACTGGGTTCGACGAGGTTGGGTTGAGGGCAAACAGGGGATACCAGGAGGTCTCATTACGTTGTGGGGAACACCAGGTGGCCGTGGGGATATCCATCCTGTCAGTGTTATTTTCGGTTTATGGGCAGCCGCGATGGTCAGCAAAACCCTTCGAGTCCCAAAGTTGTAATGTAGGGTGGTGATTTTTTACTACTCTTGTTTGAGCACATTACGATAGGGCACGGACGCTACGCCTATATGCATATGACTACTTACTTGACTCTGATAGTACACGACTTGCAAACAAATTTTATCATGCCGTATATATGGTGGACTGAGTTTTCGGAAGCCACCGACGCGACGCGATTTAATTGACGCGTGCTTTACGTGTCTTGTATCTTGGCCACAATGGTATCTGCAAACGACGTTCAGCGTCTCTTTCTCCAAGGTATATTTTCACGTAGCATTCTTTCCTTCAAGCACGCTCAGGTCCTCTGGGAAAAATGTATCGATGCTGTCAAAGGTACGTACACAGCTCTCACCTCCTTTCGCTTGATGTAGACATTTGGCCATCTGCAGTTGCAAACCCGACATTGGATATTCGTTTTTCAGACAAAAGAGAGGACTGGGATCTCTTCGTGATCAGTATCAATAATTCTCTCAATTGCCTGGACCTTGAGTTTCGGCATCTGACAGATGAACAGACTGGCAGGGAAATATACGCTATGGTCAGTCATTCTGCACACTAGCGGTCCTAACTGTCCTCACAATATGACAGGTGAACAGCAAGGATGATGAAATTGCACAGATGGCTACAGATTACACACCAGTTGAAATCGCCTACTTCAAGGCAGTCGTGAGTTATACCAAATTCCTTCTATCATGTTACCCATCATGTGCCTTTACAGGTGGAGCAAATCATGCTCGCCCCGCATGAGGCGTACTCTGTATCCTCATTGCTCGCCCTACGCGAAGTCAACTCTCTCAAGACAAACATGACGAAAGCGCAAGCTGAAATCGTGCTCGGTAGTTTTGTCGCCAAGGGGTGGTTGTTAAAGAGCAGGCGAGATACCCTCAGATCTCTGACATCCAAGGAGACTCACCGCTTTATAGGCGAGGTCGCTATTCCCTCTCAACACGCACGTTGCTGGAACTACTTCCATACCTCAAAAACTCATATTCCGAAGAGTGTCTTGAATGCGTCATATGCTATGAGGTGAGCCCTCAAACTACCTTATTTCTCATCAGCTTCTGACTCAAATACATCAGATCGTTACTCGTGGCGTCGCCTGCAGCACGCAGAATTGCAAGGCACGTTTGCACTACCACTGTTGTAGGAAGTATCGCAGTCGGAATGCCAAGTGTCCAGCTTGTTCGCAAGATTGGCCACAGGACCCCAAGAATATGACCCCTGTTGGCGAAGAAGCCATCAAGGATGGTCAAGACGAGGGACGCCGTGTACGGAGGAAAAGTACTGAGGATGGAAGTGATGAGGAAGACGAAGAGGAGATGGAAGTGGAGCCTTCGCAACCATTACAGACGCAGACTCAGTCACAGCGAAAAGGTAAGGGCAGAAGCAAGGGACAAGGGCAAACAGAAAAAGGCACTTGTAGATATGGATGTGGACGACGACGAAGACGAAGAAGACGAAGACGAAGCCCCACAGCAGACACAAGGAAACGGGCGCCGTCGCACGACGCGCACTCGCTGATTTCACGAGTATTATTTATTGTACTCTATACTAGCCTAGCCTACTATTGCTCTATTGATGATTGGCTTGGGCGTGATGCACAGCTGGCCGTCACCCGCCCGTCTTCTTGTGTTGGTACGGTCTTGTTGATGAAACCGAACCTACCCTTCCCCCACACTTGGTGTCGCTTCTTGTCTTTTCGGCCCTCGCCGAACTCCTCGTTCCATTTCCGAAGGTCTGCTAAGCTACCGAGAGACTCGGATGAGGAAGGCGTGATTTCCTTGAGTGCTTTGGTGAAATGGCGAGCATGGATGACGCGAACATGGGGCAGTGGTTCGACCACCGGTTCTTCGAGTGACGGTTCCTGGGTATCTGCCTGAGTCTCCGTCCGAGTCTCTGTTCCAGACGTCTGCGAGGCAGAAGCAGTGTCCAGCGAAGCCACCTCAGGAGGTGTGATGAGCTCGCTAGCTGGTGAGGTTTTGAGGACATTAGGCTTCCACGGAACCTGAACATTTTCCTTGACGGCATCCAGAGCAGCAGAGACACAAAGATCTAAGAGAAGGGTCAGATCGAGACACAAAATCCGTCACAGCTGATCTCACGTTTGAGGTCTGATCCAGAAAAGCTCTCCGTCTTCGTTGCCAGCGCTTTAAGGTCAATTTCAGGCGCCAACGTCTCGTCTCGAAGCAAAATCTTGAGTATCTCTGCAATCGTGTCAGATGAAACAGATCAGATCAAAAGATCAAAACTTGCCTTCGCGTTCCCTCTCCCCTGGCAAATCGACCAACAAGCGCCTTGGTACCCTCCTCAACACCGCATCATCTAAATCAAACGGCCTGTTCGTTGCGCCAATCACAATCACCCTATCTTCTCTCGAGGATTTCAGCCCGTCCATCTCTTGCATAAACTCGGTGATGACCCCACGATGCGCAAATGCTCCGCCGCTCTCGCGCCCAGACACCCGTGCCCCAAAGAGTGCGTCCATCTCGTCTAGGAAGACAACACAGGGTGAGAGACGGCGTGCGAGCGAGAAAACGGCTTTGACGAGCTTTTCGCCTTCACCGACGTACTAAAGTATGGGCTTAGTGAGTCACGAGGGATAGAACGGGGAGAAACGTACCATGTCCATGACGTCCGAGGGCAATATGATTAGCATCCGACAACCAGCTTCTTTTGCAAGCGCACGGACAACCAGCGTTTTGCCTGTTCCTGGGGGCCCGAACAGAAGACATCCAGTCATACCGTGTTCCTTCAGAATACCTTGTTGGAACGCCGCTGGGTGGAGTAGAGGTAGGGAGACGATTGTGCGGACAGCGTCGACGGTATGTTCTGGAAGGTGAACTTGGCTGAAAGTTGTTGATAACGAAGCTGGATCATCACGATGAACAAATGGCATATATATGAATACGGAGGCCGCTCACCAGGGTCCACGATGCAAGATAACAGCCTCTGTTCATGCTGTTCCAGGTCCGGGTCCTGCCTGACACGCTCCACAACTTCATCCACTTTCTCTCCTTCTGTTTCCTCGCCCTCCGCATCCTCATGCTCTTCTTCCGCATCCTTCTGCTTCACTATCTTCACCACAGAGTCGCGCATGAACGACTTGCGCAGATTATGCGCTGAGCGCTGAGCCGCCCAGGCATGGTGCACAGTGGTCCACGGCACAGGCGTTGGCTCGAGCGCTAGCTTCTTCTGTTGAGGAAGTCCAGAAGACACGACGCTCCCCACCGCCCGGTCTGCGATCTGCCGCACGCTCGTCCACGGCTCGAACTGATTGCTCCAGTCATCCCACATGTCCTCCTTACTTCCTTCCTGGCCTTCACCTTCACCTTTAACCTCCGCTGCCTCCGCGCGTTCAAGGACACCTCCGACCGCGCCAACACCCATGCGCATCGCGAGTTCATTGATTTCTCGTCGACGGCTCGTGCGGCATAGGCGTTCCTCCGCCTGCAGACGCATCCCAGGCACGAGCACCGCCGCGCGGAAGAAAGGTGTCGTTACCTCGCTCTCCGGTGCGCTACTCCCGTTCGCCATGCCGCGCTGTGCAATCATAGACTCAAGCATCGGCGGCATGGACGATCCTCCAATGACGACAACACCCCGAGGCCCATGTTCCCCCTCGGGCTCTTCAGGCCGAGTGGAGAGCGCAGGGAGGTCCTGGAGCAGAGCGGTGTCCCCGTCTTTCTCCCAACGGCGTAGTCGGTCCTTGAGGCGTTTCTCGCGGGCACGCTCGGCGGCATCGTCTTCGCCCCAGTCAGCAACACCTGAGCGGGGAGGCGTAGAGGCTGTAGCGTGCAGCGACCTCCGGCGTCCTGCTACGTTCACGAGGCCATGTTGGCTTGGACCAGCAGAGGACACGGACATGGATGTAGATGCATGTGTGGGCGCGATGGGTGGGGTAATGCCAAAGATTATGGTCATTGGGTTGTATACTGGGGACGACGGGCGGGCGAGAGGACCGATGCGGCGCTGGCGGACAGCAGAAAGTAGGTGGGGGTACCAAGTCGCAGAGGCGGACGCGAGGATAGGAAAGTCGCGAACGTAGACGATACGTGGGCGACGGGTGGTGTTTGTACCAGTCGTGCTAGTATCGTTTGGAGAAGGCAGATTAACGAGGTCATCGAAGAACGTTTTAATACGGTTTGGGGCGGGATTGCTGCGAGAGGCGGCAAGTACGGAGGTGCGTCCACGTGTTGAAGTGGGCGCAAGAAGGTGAAGGGTCATTTGAGAAGGAATAGCAATCGGAGACATCATGTCCATGTCGTCGTCTTCATCAAATGAAACGCGAAGGGGGGAGGATTGGGAATTCGAAGCAGGTGGGGGCTGGAAATGGAGGGGATTGCGGGGGAGTTGGAGGGCGTTTGCAGCTGATGAAGTGCAGCGTTAGAAACACGGGTATTCGTTATAGGATAGATGCGCACCTTTGCCAAAATGACCACATTCACCGGCAGCAAGCTGGACTGCATCGATGACGAGGACTTCAGCGCCTGTCCTGTGAGCAAGCTCTTTTACAGTAGCATCGATTATATATTCACCACCCTCTATTGGACAATAAAGGGCAAGGGTGGGCTCTAAAGGAGGACCTGATGAAGATGAATAGGCCGCTCTATGCTGAGTCTGCGGATGAAGGGTAATATGTAGATTAGTCAGTGCTTCATCAAAGAGCTCTGGAGCAGGTAGATTATTATTGTTCAAGAAATCAGTCTCTGCTGGACCATCGCCTGGAAGCCAAAGGACATTCAAGTCCTGAGGCAGTTGTATGCTGTCCTCAGGTGGAGTAGACGGCGAACTCGAAGTAGCGGGAGATATCCGCGTCTTTTTTGTTGGCTTTTCAGGTTCCTCTGGAGGTGCAGGGCCAGCAGCAGATGGCTCTGGTGTATCCGAACTCGTGCTGGCTGGTAGAGTAGATGAAGCAAGACGCTTGTACACACGCTGTGCTGGCGGTGTTCCGTCTTTTCGTGAAATACGCTCCAGCCGGATAGCAGGATGGATGCTCTTGCGCGTCGACGTTGCTTTGAACAGTGAGCGCGACCTTTGAATGAAAGCACTAGGTGTTCGCATGCTGGTGCGATGTCAAGCTGTTCAGACAATAAACAACTTCCCTTCTTGGGAGCTTGTGCTGTCACATAGATTTTATTCTATTATATTAGTCCTCGGAGCACTACTTCTTCTCATCATCGTGCACTGGCGGCCGTCGTCTGTTGAGTCCAACAACGACATTACAACGTGTACTGCCAAGTAACTCTCGCCGAGTTCGTTTCTCACGTAACAGGAACCTCACTGCGGCCGTGCACCTTTCCACATCAACCACTCTCAGACCGGCGTATCTGTGACTTTGACTTTATCACAAAATATGGGTCGCGACAGACTAGCTGCTCTCAGAGTATTCACTTTTCTAGTCTTCATGTTTAAAAAAATTCTAACGGAGACATTTTCAGGCGCAACGGCAGAATGTTACACCAGATCCAGGACAGGGGGACTATGAGATGCAAGCACGCCCTTCACCTTCTACAAACGGCACTGGCAATGGTACAGGAACAGACCCTTTGTCCGCTTTTTATGCAGAGGTGTGTCTATTTATTCTCGTATTTCTCTCCGGTACGAACCCGTATTTCGACTTAGGCCACCGCCATCCAAGATTCCATCCAAGAATTTGATGACAATGTCACTCGCGTCGCTGAATTCCACTCACGCTCCCTAAACGCCCTTGATGATGCAGCAACACAAGCAAATGCAGCTCAGCTCGAACGCCTCACAGACGAGACCAGGCAACTCAGCAACAGTCTCGCTAACCGTATCCGTGCCCTCGAGAAACCCACTGGTGCAGGCCCGGATGCTCAAATTCGCAAGAACAGAGTATGTCATCTTCCATTTTGTACAACACAGCTGTTGACGTGGTTGTCAGATTGATGTGGTTCGGACAAAATTTATGGCCACCTTGCAGCGGTACCAGGATGTTGAACGCCAGTATCGCCAGCAGTACCGCCAGCGTGTGGAGCGACAGTTCAAAATAGGTACATTCATTTCCCATTCTTTCACTCACATTTTAATTTAAATATTCAGTGAAACCCGATGCTACACCTGAAGAAGTTGCTGCTGTGGTGAATGATGATGATCAAGGCGGAGGAAGCCAAATCTTTGCGCAAGCAGTGAGCCTTTATTCGCTTGGAAGAGGAGTGTGTTCATCTCTGCTGCGCAGCTCACTTCCTCAAACCGATATGGGGACTCACGGGCTGCATACCGAGAAGTCCAGGAACGACACCAAGACATTCGCCGGATTGAACAGACCCTCGGAGAGTTGGCCCAGTTATTTAATGACGTAGGTGCAACATTTGCATGTATGATGCATTTGCTAAGGACGCTCTTTTCTTATTTCAGATGGCCACCCTTCTAGGCGAGCAAGAAGAGAAAATTGACGCTATCGAGACGGCGGCTGCGGGTGTCGCACATGACACCGAAGGAGGGTGAGCAGCTGTTATGATTACCTATGCGTACAGCCACTAACTTTCTTGCAGACAAAAGCACACCGAGGTCGCAGTAAAACACGCCCGCTCTGCCCGACGAAAACGCTGGATCTGCTTCTGGCTCACCATCATTATCATCCTTGCAGCTGTTGGCATCGGTGTGGGTGTGTACTTCAGCCAGCATCCCTCAAAGTCGAGTTCGTCGGGTTGAAGGAGCTGGATCATGGTGGTTAATGAAGTCGGACATGACTGAGTCGTATACCCCTTACTTTCTTTTGCAAAGGTCCACGCTACCTCCATGACTTGCTTTAGTGATATTAGTTAACTAAGTTGTTTAATATGGACTGGTACTTTTGGTTTTACCGATGGCAGCCGGTAGTGACAGGATAACGAGACTCGTAATGTTACGTCACATGCGTTTGACGTTAGTTCAGAACTGTGCAAATTTGGCGGAACCTGCGTTTCACTCCTTCATTGACTCCTTCAACACTCCCCACCGCAGTGTACGCCTGCAATGACAAAAAACGGTTCAGCAAATCCATCCCGCAAGATGCGCCGGCGTGGTTCAATCGACGTCGTTGATGCAAAGGTTGCAGTTGACCTCGCCACAGCTCAGACATATTCTGAAAATGTCTTCCTTTTCATACCTAATCTCATTGGTGCGATAGTTCTGCTGCATTGATTTTGCAATGCGCTGATTCAGATGCTCGGACCACATAGGGTACACACGCATCATCCTTGCTGGACTTTCGCTCCACTTCATGAGCTATCACCCCAAATACTGCACTCTTGCATATGTAATATCATGTTTATTGGACGCTGTGGATGGTCAGGCCGCACGAGCCCTAGGACAGACATCGAAATTCGGTGCAGTGTTGGACATGGTCACAGATCGGTGCGTCATCTCTTCCCGCTATTCCTCCAATTCTTTCTACTTTAACTCATATTGTGCACCTCCAGGTGTACGACGTCGTGCTTGCTCTGCTACCTATCGTCTGCATACCCGAATTTCGCAGTGGTATTCCAGCTCCTTATCTCACTTGATTTCGCCAGCCATTACATGCACATGTACAGGTGCGTTCTGAGCTCTCGTTCTGGCCTGACTAGTCCTCACCGAATATCATTCAGCTCACTCGTAACTGGTTCGCGGAGCCACAAGCTGGTGACGAGCGAAGTCAGTCGTATCCTATGGTACTACTACAATGATTCCGTGCGTTTTACTCCGTTCGTACGTTAACGCTGCCCAAATTGACCGCGTGCGTAAAACAGCGCACTCTGTTCTTCATGTGCGCAGGCAACGAGCTCTTCTTCGTTTCTCTCTACCTCATGAAATGGGTGGACACGCCTATCGGGCTCGGCGTGTACTCCCCATGGCTCGCGGGTCTCACGTGGCCCGAGCTTGTCGCGATCCCCAGCGCATTCGTCTGTGTAGGGAAGAACATTATTAATCTCGTGCAGCTCTGGAAAGCGTCGAAAATCCTCGTAGGAGTGGACCTCGCAGAGCGTGCGCATGCGCGTGAGCTACAGGCTAAGAAAGAGTGAATGGGTTCGTGGACGGACAAATATCATACTACATATGCTGCTTCGTGCATAATGCCAATGGGACGGTGTAATCGCATTCTTTGTTTTTGATATATGTAAATATTTACAGCGCAAACGCAAACTACGTCAAGAATGACGTGGATGTGGAGGCGCTTATCACACTAAGTATTTGGTTGGGAGGCTTTAGGTGGTCGGAGTGAATCTAATTTTCCGGTGAATGCCCTGGATAAAAAATGTTGAGTTGGGCTGGGTGGTCTGCAGTGTTCAATGACATCAACAGAGCCATCAAGCCCAAACCAAACAATATGTTATCTTGATATACTTGTTATCTTGGTCCTCGATCTGACATGTGTGGCGCCCTGGCCGACCTGAGCTGTTCTTAATGGGGTTCTTGTTTGCAGATCATGAGATGTATCATGCCTTTGATTTGCTGGCTGCAAGAGGCCTTGGGTGATAAGCAATCATGAAAACTGGCTGACGCAACTGGATACACCGGACTAACATGTGAGTCATGACAGAGTTGACAGAGCTGCCAGGAGGTCTCTAGCAGCGCCATCCACGGGTACCCGAGGTGATTCTTCCTGTATATGATAATCTCGTGATTGAATGCCCTAGGAATCGCAGTCTTGAACCACTTGGGACGGCACTGGCACTGACGCAATTTATTTAACTCGCCGATTTGAGACAGTTTAGATAGAACCCGTGTTCCGGGTATGCGGTAGGGAGGGCGAGACTGAAATGATAAGGAGATGGGTAGGTAGTCAAAGCGTTGAAGCCCGCGTACATTTTCCTCGACGAGAGATATGATCTGCAAGCCTAGCGATATCACCATAAGATTATGTGCGAGCGTAGAGTCAAACCTTGAGCTCGTCGTGTGGCCTACGTTGATGATGGTATCGAGAACGGAGACAATTTTGATTAGAATCAAGCCAAAAAGAAGCCTAGGCTCAGGCTAGTACACTAAGCTGACAAAAGGGTGTGCTCAGTTGATACGTAAGTCGTATGTCTGAGCGACTGCTATGGCTAGTGATCACGTCATCAAAATCGATGTTCTGACAAACGACCAACACTACGTACTCAAGGCTTCTGCAGATTTGCTGAGGCGGATACATAGGCTCTGCTGGGGCTTGCACCAGTTCTGTAGCTATCAAATTTGCCAGTACATCATGATAGCTCATCAATACCTCCTCGGCCTCAAGTTCCGCAACAGTCGGTAATCGCGACCGGAGCGATTCGAGTTGTTGTCAACTTGTTCCAGGCGCTCGAAATTGACGTTAACCAGTGATGCGAGGGGGCGATTGAGAAACGTTACCTCGGTACTCGGTGGTCCCGGCGAGCAGTGCGTTCTAATTTGAAGCGTAACGTTGATGATATCGATGACGGGGGCAATTTTGATGGCCAGAAAAATCGTTAATCAGCCTAGCATACTAAGCTGACGAAAGGTCGGACTCATTGCTGAAGCGCTGATGGCCCGCTCGCATGATAGACGCTTTGTGTCGCAAGATGACTAATAGTGATCATGTCATCAAAATCAACGTTCCGACAAACGCGTCCCCTCTCACAAAGTATGCAACCACTCGATAATCAAATCTGCCGCACACACTGCGTAAATATCTCAGCCGGCTCATGCGTACTTCCTAGACAGCTATAAAGACCACTCCAGCTTCCTGCGGTCTATCGTCAATCCAGAATCTCAGAACCTTTATCAGAATGTCTATTCGAGCCACTACGTCTCTCGGCGGTACTGCATCTAACGTTACTGTCGGTAAAGTAGCTGTATGTATGTTGGTCTTTATCCTGTTTTTTTCACTGACCTTCCCCTCTTAGCATGGATTGATGATGATGACGTGCGTTTTCTTTTGACGTCGTTGGATTAAGTTTACATCGATTGTGTAGATGGGCGCCCGAGCCAGTCCCAGATGAACAATGTTTTGAAGCTATCAAGGCTGGCGTGGACGCCCTTCCTCCTGGAACAAAGATGTTCCTTAACGGAGGTAGGCAAAAGTCTCCGACGTAAGACATATGTGCTAACTTCAGCTACAGGGGAATTCTACGCGCATGACTTAACGACCACGAACCTCGAGATGATCGCCCGGTTCTTCGAGAAGTACCCCGACTACGTAGACAAGACTTTCTTGTCCATCAAGGTACGATCTATTCCGCTTCCGTCTTATCATGATTAACTCCTTGTTTTTTTTAGGGAGGAGTAAAGCCTGGCACACTGGTGCCGGATGGCTCGTAAGTTTTGGTTGCACATCATTATAATGAGATGCTATCTTGCTCGTCAGGCCCGCCAACTTGAGACGAAGCGTTGAGCTCATCAATGAGAAGCTTCGCGGCACCAAGCGCCTTGATTTGTTCCAGAGTGCACGTGTAGACCCCAATATTCCTTTGGAAGAATCGATCAGGGCTCTTGTGGAACTCAAGAACGAGGGTAAACTAGACCATATTGGCATGTCTGAATGCAGCGCTGACACCCTGCGGCGCGGTAATGCTGTACGTGGATAATATGAGCGTCTCGGCAAGACATTTGCTTAGTATGTTTCAGGTACACTCCATTGCTGCTGTCGAGATTGAAGTCAGCCCATGGGAATACGGAGAGGAGGCCAGAAAAGGTACATCATCATACATAATGTTCCGTTGGAGTAACTCATCTTTCTGTCAGTCATTGCCACTGCCGAAGAGCTAGGCGTTGCTGTTATCGCATACTCGTACGTGCCATGCTAGTACAGGCATTTTCCGATCTGACATACATCATCTTTAGCCCGCTTGGTCATGGGTTTTTGACTGGTCAAATCAAGAGGCTTGAGGACATTCCAGGTAATAGCATCGCTCTGGGACGTTTATCTGCCGTGTTTACCACATTTGCCAGAGGGAGATTTCCGCCGCTCAATGCCTCGTTTCCAGGAAGATGTAAGTTCCCCGACATGCGCTTCATCATTACCTCATCATAGGTTTACAGAACTTCAAACACAACTTTGCCATTGTCGATGCGTTGACTGCGATTGCGAGGAGCAAGAATATAACTTCTGCTCAACTCAGCATCGCTTGGGTTGCATCGCTGGGCAAGCACGTCATCCCTTTGCCAGGTTCCTCGTAAGTTCCTGTCTAGACATGTGATTGGTATGGGTCTTGACATCGCTGTAAGGCATGCAAAGCGCACTCGAGAGAATTGTGCTGGAGGAGATGTCGAGTTGTCTACTGAAGATATCACAGAAATCAACAGTGTTATCGGCGCTGGCGCAGCCAGGGGTGGCAGGTATACCCATGAAGCATATCTCTGGGGTTAGATGGCTTCTTGATTCTATTTGGCTAGTTGGACCACTCAAATTGTACTTTTATTTGCCTTTGGACCGTCTGACTTCAAACAAATCATTCCGCTTCTTGTACGTAAGGTACCTCAGGTCCTTATGCCTTTACTGTTGGGAAGAGCAAACTGCGTGCATAAAATTTGTGACCTGCTGATGTGCATGAAGCTTTATCGTGAGCGCTATAACCAGCAATCATATGGTACCGGGCCTGGACTCCTTGGCTGAGCACTATTACATACTTAATTGGAGCATTCGAAGTCCATGGGCGACTATCCTGCTCTCCCTTAGGCTTGCACAACCACATCCTTAATCTCTCATCAATATCATGCCTCGCGCTGAAGCATTGTTTTCACGTGGAGTCGCTGTGGGCGTGATGACATATGGCTTTATTAGCATCAGAATACTACCCATGGATGGCTGGATCCGAGCACAGAGGGGAGGGCACTTCCAGTTTGTGACTATACGAGAGTGAGTGCTGCCCACCCTGGGCCTTCTCTGAGAGAGGCTGAGTCCAGTTCGTGTAGTGACGTGCATGGCCCGGCTTCAGGCTGCGGGCCAGCCGAATAGGCCAAGCCATATGCTGTTGAATCTGCACAAATATTATTTGTGTCCCCCCGAAACAAAAATGTGTGACCCCTGGGAAAAATGTGTGCCCCCCCGAAAAAAATTGTGTCGCCCCGAGAAAAATGTGTCGCCCCAAAATTATATTATGTCTCCCCCCAAAACAAAGCATGATTCCGACAATTTATGTATGTTTTTTTTATCATGGTAAGGCTCATTTCCACTTCGGACTTACAAGAAATAAATCAATTAAAAAGATTGTAGTAAGAGACAGTTACTATGTACGATTAACAGAATATAAACCACAATAGAGAAAAGTGCATTTAAAAGGAGGGATAAATCTGTAGTGTCAGTTTGTGATAGGAAGTTGGGTATGACTTGGATGATATAGGTGCAAAATAATTACAAATTAAATGATAGGACCTAGAAATCAAAGAGACGATTTCCTTCCCATGGGTTATCGAGACTGGGATCAATAACAAAAGACCCAGAGGCCTGTAAGGTTGGTGTTGCAAAAATTTCACCAGTCTGTGATGGGGGTGTTGAGACAGGCCCAGGTGACTCAAAAGGCTCAAAAGGGGCAAGGTCAGCCTCCACTGCTACCTCTGGCTTGGCTACAACCTCATGATTGTCTAGCTTGAAGGAACTGAAGAAGTTATTAGGGTATTCATCATCACTTGCAGTTAAGTCAACTATAGTGGCTGATTTGGATAAGTTTTCAGAGTCTGATGCTGGCAGGATCTCATCGTCAGTTCCTGTCAATACTGATGTTCATCATGAGTCTATTGACAATCAACAAACAAAACCAATGGACTGTACCTTGATGATATTTGCTTTTTTTGGGGGGCTTGGATAAGCTTGACTTGGATGAGGAGTTGTCATCTGAGTCATCAGATATGCTCTCAGACTCAGTGAGATCATGAGATGCTGATCTAGATGGGAGAGAGGGCATCTTATCCTTCTCTTTTGATTTCGCCCATCCTTGTAACACTGATGTTGGGATGCTCTGGCAAGTGGCTAAGAAATAAGCTATCAGTAGTCTGTGTGAAGCGAATGAACTAAGGACTGACCTAGAATGACCACATTTTCTCGAAATCCACCTCTCTTATTCATCCTTGCATTTCATGCCACCGATGATCCATCAGGGAATTGGATACCAGGAGGGATTATGATTCTTTGCTTCTCCTTGACACAAAGATAGTATTGGGGCAGATATTGAAAGATCTCATCTTGGTGCTCCTCGTAATCTGGATTAGGCAACTTTGGCGAGGCATTGAGATAAAGGAAGAGTTGTGGGAAAAATTTGTGAAGCTCGAGGTCAAAGAGCATGAAAGACCAGTTCTTGCTGATGACAATACCATCAACATGATCTGTGATCACTAGTCTCATGACTTCAAGAGTCTGGACTTCCACCAGAGTTGGCATTTGAGGATTGTGAAGAACAGGTGTCAGAAGGGGGATGTATGAATGTGAGGTCTTCTTAGGCTAACAAGGTTAGAATCAGTAATCTCAGCCAATAGTAGTCGCAATATCAACTACTTACCTGTTTTGTCCCACAAGGAATGAAAATGATTTTGCCAGCTATAAACTGGAAGTCAAGAGGATGAGCTGACTTTGACTAGTAAAAAAGTATTCCAAGTCCATGGCATAAGCAACAACTCCTTTTCAAACATGCTGGCACTTACTTTGGGGACCATCTGGGCCTTAGACCTGCTGTGTGATTGAGAAGCAGACTTTAAACCTTGGTTGGCCTCACTATTGGCCTTTCTATAGGCAGTTGAAGATCCAGCTGAACCTCCAAGCAATTCCTGCAGAATAGAGTTAACTGCTAGTGTTGAGCTTGATTTTCTAGAGGTTTCCATCTGCTTAGACTCCAAGGTAGAAGGATGCAAATTGGAACCAGATGAAGTTTTATGAGAGCTGCTGGCTTGTCACTTATGCTTGAGAGCCATATGAAAGAATTGAAAAAAACAAAGAGTAGTGAAGGAGTGACTGGTAGAGACAGGACAGAAGTATTTAAAAAAAGAAAGTTGATTGTAGATTGTAGTAGTATGAAAGTGGTCATAATTGAATTCAACCACATTACCCATCATGTGATCTGTGGCTGCTCATGTCATATAATTGCATAGTCACTTTAAACTTAACATTGTCAATTCAGACTGATCACTCTTATATTGATAGTCTAGATATTGTAATTGTAATTAGCCATCAGAATCATTATGATCACCAACACTAGCAGTAGTACTATCTGTGTCACTATCTGATTCAACATCAGTACCAGCAAGCTCCAAAAGCCTGATCATAATATCGAGTGCTCGACACCACTGGATTGCCCTAGGTCACCAAATAAAGTCAGGTAAGGGAATTTGTAGTTCTTTGGTCCCTTGTTATCCTGATTGAATTATTTCATGTGAAGGATACTCATCATCATCCCATTCATGTGGAAGGATACCAAATCCATCTGGGATATGCTCTGCCTCTTGTACTTGATCAAGGGCTTGACAAAAGGTGTCGTAAAGAGTAGCAGAGCAAAAAGGACTGGCATGTTTTGGGACACGGACAGGCTTATGGTGAAAATGGGCATTGTGATCTGCAGCGATAAGCTGGGGAAGCTCTTGTAGATCTTCTGTACCAATGTCCTCTGCATCATTAATATCTTCCCATTCCTCTTCTGATTCTTCATCGTCCGATTCTCCATCAGTAGATCCAGAAGCTGAGTATACCTCATCTGAGGGATGACCTGCTCCAGTTTGATGGGGTGCACGATGAATAGGCCTTCCTGCAGTTCCATAGTATTGTCTGATGATATCAGGATGGACTCCTTCACAATCGTCAGCATATAGTCCATGCTTGAGCTGGCCCATAAGCCTCATATCCTGATAGATACAAAATCAAAATCAATTTATTTAGCTAGCTGTGTCTGAGCTATTAGATGACATACATTTGGGCTCTGATCATGTCCTTCTCCAGAGATAGGGTGTACATTCCATTCAGCTTGAAATGTGTTGCAGTCAGACTCAATCTGTCTGAGGAACAGCTCATGTAATAGCCAAAGATGCTGGGCATTAGATACATTGAGTCCATGAAGCCTCTCAAGCTGGTAGAAAAATGCATGCCACATGCAAGCAAATTGAGTGCCGACCTCAACCCAGGATCGTTCAATCCTGCTGTTGTGAGTTGATCTAGCAAGCAGCAGATTTTAGAACAACTAATGTAAGTAATTAAAGTGTGGTTACTAATGATCCCCACATAAAGCTTGCACGGTTAGGCCCTCTAGTCATGATCATATAAACTGATACCTTCTTGTTTTCTCTGCCTCTATCACCTCATACTCTTGAAGGTGTACCATAGAGAGTGACTGCATTCAAAAACACCTCAAGCACTGTGGATGCACTATTGCTTGTGCTGGGATGAATGGTGACCATCTAAAAGTCAATATCTATCAGATATGGGTGGCTAGTCAAGAATAATAGCCTACTGTGTGACAATACCCATCAATGATACCATGGATTATGATACCCCAATGAATCAGCTTATGGTGACCATTCATGTGCCACAGAGCATTTGGCCGTGAAACCTTGTACTGTTGCTGTTGAATCATAGTGTGTTGTTGGAGGACAGTTCCTAAGGGATCAACACAGTGGATAGAGGCAGTAATATGCTGCTGCTGTATCTGCAAGCCCAGCTGTCGTAGATGGCCAGTAAGATAGTGAACTCCAGAATTTGGTTTCATCTGATGAAACTCCCAAACAGCATGATCCAGGTCAGCATCCAAGATTAAGCTATACTTGTAGCTAACATTGTTCTGCTTCAAGTAGGAGTGCAAAGTATTACGGTGGATACCCATGACTCGTGCAAGTTTGGTTTGTTGTAGATGGTGACCAGGAGAGGCAAATTCATGCAACAACTGAACATTTGGCACCTTACGTGGTCTCCCTGGTTTTCTGGTGTGTTCAGTAGTGATTGGCTGTGGAACTGAAATATTCGATGTTTCACTGGCAAAGGACTAGATATTAGAACTACTGCAGTAAATACGGTAGGCTTACCCTCCTTGTGCTGTTGTTTCAGCCTGCTGCAGCTGCTTCAGTAGCATTCCAAGTTTTGCTGTGATTTGAAGAACCCAGGACATAGGAATGCCCTCTACCAAAGAAGAATTCTCCAGTGTGATCACTAGAATAACTAGCGGGAGCGCATGCTCAGTAAGTTCAAGAACAAACTATCATTGAAGATATCTACCTAGTGGGAGCGCACGCTAGGTTACATCAGTATGAGATAGAACAGCAAGTAAGAGATATAACATACCTCAGTAAGTTCAAGAACAAACTGAGGTATGTGTTGAGATGACGTGAACTAAATATGAGAGACCAAGAGCTTAGGTAATTGTACCGGTGAATGGACAAGCAGAGGAGTTCGTGTGGTCAAGAAGCAGGAAGATGCATTGCATATGGTGTTGAAGCTGATAGTACCAGATAGTGCCAAGAAGGTAATACGAAGTCTAAAAGGCAAAAGATAGTGAAAGTCAACACAGTGCATGTAGTAGTGGTATGGCATTATTGGCAATGGCCTCAGCATGAAAATGTATGTGGTGCAGTTTGCTGCAAGTCTGGAGTGCTTGCAATGCATGATGATAGATATAGAACAGAGTGTCATGGGCTTGATGCAGATGATCAGGCCAGACACCTGAGCCATCAATAGGCTGTGGTAATGGAGGTAGATCCATTGTAGCTTGAGTCAGGTTAACACAGCACTTTGACCAATATTTGTTATGTAATCATCCAAGTGTTTACTGTTGTTGATTTGGTCAATCCATGGTGGGTGAGACGATATGAAGTTCATCTGGCCATTATACAAGCCCACCTAGTACTATCTGAAGCTCTTATCCACCATGGATGTCAATCAGAGATTGGTTCCTCACAGGCATGGTGAGTTTTGGTTCGGAGATGGAAACATTGTCTTTTGAGTAAGTTCTAAAGTGAATGTCTCTCGAGTTTTGCTCAATTTCTGGCTGGTTTCTGGATTACTTCTACCACAGGCTAGCAATACCTTATTTTGTGTACATCAAGGTGTACTTGTTTGGCATTCTCCTGCTTTGGAAGCAATTTTGGCTATGCCATCAGGTTATGATACTGATGGTACAGAGCAACTTCTCATTGTCCTACATCAGATCTCAGAGGAGGACTTTACATATTTTCTCAACTGGGTTTACCACATGTATGTGTAGCCATGATATAGATTGTATATTATAGAGTGGCTTAATTGGTGTGTTCTAGCAGCTCGATTTCTCCACCATCTGAGGAACAATTGCTTGTTGCTATCCTTAAGGTTTTGCACCTGTGGATGATAAGCAATAGCATCAAGTTCACTATTGATGGGCTGGAAAACCTTGCCCTGCAGCCTACTTGCAGACTAGAACTTGCTCGGTTATATTCCATACCTTGGTGGATTGCTCTGGCAATCTGTGAGATCATATCACTGTCGCTTGTGAACACTACTGATACTGAGGCTGCTCAGATGGGGTTCAAAGTATATACAATTATCGCTCAGGCAAAAGAGGTGATAGAGCGAAAACAATGAGCATTGGCAGCTTACCCACCCTCACTCCTTGTTTCACCATCTTTCAGCTGCTCGACTCACTTACATAGCCAGTGCAAGGAGGCATGGTCAGGATTCTGGTGGAAGAAAGTAGCTTGTGTGATCCTCCACCCAACAAACCCACTCCCACTGGCACAGACCCTCCAACTCATCATTGAGGCCCCATTACCTGATGGTATGAATATTGCATGCAGACAAGTTATGGTTGATGCGATGATAGAATTAGATGGGCTCAAGGTCAAGGAGAGGATTATTGAGGGGGTCATAAGAGCAGTCACTTCATATTTCAGCTCCCTGTAACATATTTCCAGTAGAAACTGTGGGTGTGACGATAGGTTGTTGCATAGAAGCCAGGATTTTATGTCAAAAAATCAAAAAAAAAGCATAAATGTAATGAAAATGAGCAACAAACGATTAGGATAACCTCTACAGTGAATAACATGGCATAATTAATTGTGGCAATGGGGGGAGTTGAATGGCAGAGCTTCCTGGCTAAATCCTGCACAGCAATGCAACAGGGACCAAGTTACCACTACACTATCCAGCAGATACTGTAAAAATAAATAAATAATATATGTCATATGAAAAGTGCCAAAATTGCGAAAATGGTCAGCCATTCTGCTGCTGACCACTACACTTTCAACCACCACCATGGCCTCACAATCAAGAAATCCTACCCATCTGGGACAATGTATGTGATATTTTACCATCATTATCTAGGCTAATATACTGGTGGTGCATAGACTTTGAGCATCTAGCTGGAAGTACATGCTTTATGTATGCACTTAAGATTAGATCAGATCTTGATAAGGATCTTCTTGCTTTTGGGGATGATCCAGGCCTTGCAAAATCTGTAAGTATGTTTCTATTACAATATCTATGCTAAGATCTGAGTGTTTGTATATCCAGGCTAGTCATATGCAGCTCCTGGCTACCAAGAATGCTGCATTGGTGCCAGAATCTCTCAAGGAGGCTCTCAGTGAGTATTCCCTCCATCGCCACAGAAAGAGGAATGTGGCTCGCTCTAAGAAACGAACCATTGTGAGTGTTCTCTCTGCTGTTGCTGAATTATTTTACACTGTACTTGATAGGCAAAGGCTCTCAGCCTACATGCTACCCCACTGACAGCCCAGTCTCTTGCAGCCACTGGTATGGTCAAAGTAGTCATTCATGATCACTTTGATGACACCAGCTTTAAGCGGGGCACTCTTTTAGTGGACTGTGGCAATGAGGATCTGGTTGACAGTGGGAGTTCCACCCTTTCTGTTCCTGTTTATGGTTCTTGGTATGTGATCAAACCAGATGAAAGCATTATTTTCATCAATTCCAATGGTATGAATGGTCCTTTTGTCTTTCATGTCTGACTCGTTTAGTATATAGGTTTGGTCTCACTTGCTGTACTCTGTGGGAGGTGTAGCCAGCATCCTGACCTGTTGACTTATGTCAACAATATCATCAATGAGGCTGTCAATGACCACAAGGGAGTCAGGGTGAGTTTTTTCCCGTCTCAATTCAGTATATGTTTCTGACAGGTCGGATAGCCTACTCATGGGGGGGAGCTGATTCAGTTTGGCTGGAATGCAGGTCCCTGCCATGCACGTGTCTTTGGTCTGGTGAATAACCTTACCAATAAGAGGCTTTTGATGACTGCAAGGCAGGAGAAGGACTCTCGTGCTTTAGGAATTTTGGCTTTGAGCTGGAATTTGCTGGTAGCTAGTCTCCCTGCTGAGGTCAGTGCATCCTGTATCAAGGCAATTGATGGGGCAGGCCTGCCTTCCATGACCATCAAAGGTGATGGCTCAGGTGAGTGTCTTACATGTAATCTCCATGCTATGATAGGGACTCATATATGATACCTAGACTCTGGGTATACCCTGGACTTACCTAATGGTCCTCTCTGCTTTTCAACAGCTAAGTGGGCTCCCTCTGAGGGATACATGTCTCAAAACTATGAATCGTAAGTGTGTTGCATCTCATTAGAGTTGCTCTTGATGTCACCTCTAGCCCCATTCACACTGACCAACTCTATGTCCCATATGCAATGAACTGGGTTACTCTTCATAGTATTGTGGATCCAGATCAATGCCAGCTTCATGGTGATCATAGTTCTGGTGGGAATTATGTTGATGTCTCACTCAGGGTGGTGGTGAAATGTGCCACTGACACAGTCATGGTAAGTTTGTCTCTCTTTGTGATTTGATATTTTTGTTGATAACATGTGTGACAGAGCATGCAACCCAAGTTCAAGCATGGTACGACCCTTGCTCAAGAGGGTGTCTGCAGGCAAGGAACTGCAATCAATTTCTCAAGGCACATTAAGAAAGCATTCAATGAGGCAATTGCAATTGAAGGTGATGTTAAAGCAATGGTGACTCAACTTGTAGAGGAGAAAAAGTGAAATTATGGATTGTATCAAGTAGTCTTCTAGTTGCATACAAACCGTTTGGAATTGCACTTTGTTTTTTGGGGGTGATATAATATTTTTCTTGGGGCAACACTATTTCTTTTGGGGGACACTATTTTTTTTTGGGGGGGGCACACATTTTTTCAGGGGGACACACATTTTCTCGGTGGTCACACATTTTTGTTTCGGGGCAACACAAATAATATTTGTGCAGATTCAACAGCATAGCAGCTTATGTCATATGCTTAACTGACCTAATACTATGTAGTAGACAACTAACTACAGTACACGTAACACTTTTTCAACTCCTCCACACCACATTTTTTGAACTTCAGAACCTCATCAGATATTTCTCAAAGGCTTACTAACTTAAAAAGACACATAGTCTAACTTTTTTGAATTAAGTGCCCATATTTCAAAATGTGGACTGATTTAATTTTTTATTGTTTGCCTGTAACATAGTCCATTCATATTTGCCCTGTACTTGACAGTCTGACAGTTATGCCACACCCCAACAAAGCCTCCACACAAGCTAAAGCAAAGTGACAGGCTGGCCAGTCAATATTTGTACCTGTGAAGGCTGTCTATAATGTTAAAGCTAGACACATGTCAATCTATTGACATATTGTTAGTGTCTAGGTGGTGTGTAAGTGACTGAGGGAAAAGGGAAAACACAGAGAAACAAGTATATATATGCATCTGTGTTGGAATTCCAACCGTGTCGTGTTGCACATGCACATTCATGCACCAACACTCCTCCTTGACATGATGCATATCTCCTCCTTGACTGAATCACCAGAGGCCCAGGTTGTTGCACAGACGTTCATAGTCTTTCTTTGTGAGGGCTTTAGTGAAAATATCAGCCACATTGTCCTTGGAATGAACATAGTGGAGTTTGAGCTGGTGAAGGGAGACATGTTCATGAATAGAGTGATAAGCCATATCAATGTGTTTGACATGGGTGTGGAAGGATGAATCTTCTGTGAGGATGATCGCACCATTGTTGTCACACATGAGGGGAGAGGCAGAGGATTGCATGAAACCAAGTTTGTGCAGTAAGGTATGTAGCCACCTGATTTCCTTGCCAGCTTTGGATGCTGCCACATATTCAGCCTTGCATGTTGACAGTGAAACCATTTTTTGTTGATGAGCACTCCAGGTAGCAGCTCTGCTGCTAAGTGAGTAGCAGTACCCACTGACTGATCAATGTGTATCTGGACAGCTTGCAAGGTCACTGTTGGTATGGGCAAGGAGATGAGCTGTGTGGTCACCTCTGAGGACAAGTTGCATGTTGCAAGTGCCTTTAAGGTATCGGGCCACACATTTAGCAGCTTCCCAGTGCCCATGACCATATGAGTCTAGAAACTTGCAGAGTTGCTGAATGGCATAAGCTATGTCAGGTCTGGTACTAATGGCTAGATACATCAGTGATCCGATGAGGGAACAGTAAGGAGTGCAAGACATGGTGTTGCATTCAGCATCAGAACAAGGGGAGTGATCACGGCATGATAGGTGCAGGCCAGGTTCCATAGGGAGGGAGACAGGTACAGCATCCTTAAGTCCAAATTGTGTGATTATACAGTTGATGAGGGCTGTTTGTGATAAGGAAATTGTGCGAGCCAGACAATTGCATGCAATAGAGATTCCTAGACAGAAGTGTGTGTCTCCAAGCTCTGACACTTGCCATTTAGTTTTAATTTGGCTTTTGAAATCAGTAATGACAGCTTTGGAACTTCCAACAGTGAAGAAGTCATTGATGTGGACAGTGATGAGGAGGGTGCTGACGTCAGTTTGGTGGTAATAGATGCAGTGTTTGCTTTTAAGACAAATAAAGCCTTAGGATAACATCACTTCATTGAGGGTACAGTTCCAGATGAGTCCACCCTGTTTCATTCCATAGAGGCCCTTTTGAAGTTCCCAGATGTGGTCCTTGAAACTGGTCTTGACAAAGCCTTCAGGCTGCTCCATATAACAGACTTCATCTGAATTGAGCAGGCCATATAGGAAGGCAGTCTTGATGTCCAGTTGCTCTATTTCCCAGTCAAGAGCTGTGCCAATGTGTGCAAGGATGTGGAAGGATTCTAGATGCACTGTTGGTGTGGATGTCTTTGTATAGTCTTGACCCCAAACTGCAGAGTATCCACAGCAGACATATTGGGCCTTGAATTGTGCTGGGTTTCCATGTTGGTCTCACTTCAGTTTAAAAATGGGGCAACCTTTCATAACTTTGCATCCAGGGGGAATGGTGGAATGAGGGACCAGTTTGTAGACACCAAGGTCATGAAGGGAATCAAACTCCTCCTGCATTGCTGCAGTCCATTCAGACATGTTTTCAGAGCACATGGCCTTGGCACATGTTGTAGGGTCATCTGGGTGCTCATTCCTGAAGTCATCAGGGATAGCAGCAAATACCTCCATTAAGTATGTGATCTCATCCTCTAGATCAGTCAATGTGCTGTCACTTGCTTCTGCAGAGTAAACCTGTTCATTGTCAAGTGTGCAAAGATGCTCTGCATCAACCATAGATTTGAGTACAGCCCGCTGTGTTGCATTAGCATAAGGGATTCCTTCAGCTGCACATTTGCACTCAGATGGAACAGGAGTGTGTGATGAATGCCATGGCCCAGGAGTAGTAGGTTGTGGTTATTCAGGTAGGGTCTTGTCCTCCAGGGCATTGGTGACGCTAACATGCTGGGACAAAGGAGGGGAAGGGACAGTGGAATTCTTGATAGTAAGGCCAGGGCGAAAAGGAGTGTCACTAGAGGTATGCAATTCAATAAAAGACACGTGAAACAAGACAAACACTTTGTGAGACTCATGATGGTAGCAATGGTAGGCCTTAGAGTCAGGAGAATAACCAATTAGCACACATTCCACAGAGTGGTTATAAATCTTGGGATTATGACAATTTTGAATCAGAACAAATGCATGACAACTGATCTCACAAAGGTGTGATAGATTGGGCTTGGTATTAAACCAGTGCTCATATGGGGTATGGCTGACCTGGGAAGCGATGGGTGCACGGTTAGTGAGGTAACACGCTGTGAGGACAAACTTGTCCCAGCAATTAATAGGAACCCCACAGGTAGAGTGCATAGTCTGTGCTTTGCTGTTAAGAACCATGTTGCTCAAGGGAGAGAGAGACTGACTCAGAGGGGCTTGGCCTCAGCTCATACACTGTGCCCCTTACCTGAGTATGTGCCCTTCATTTCATATGAGGTCCAATGATGGTCTGACAAAGTCTGGAGGACTTCCGGAGGAATGCAGGAAATGCTCAGAAGAGTTCCCACTGCAAGGTAATACTTCTACAGGAAACAGGATGGGAGGATAGGAGGTCTGAAGGTCCAGAGGACAGGAGGACAGGGTGACGGAGGTATGAAGGACAGGATGTCTGGAGGTATGAAGGTATGGAGGGCAGGACATCTGAAGGACAGGACACCTGGAGGTCTGGAAGGAATAGGGGCTACATTGGACAAAGTCTGATGTAGAAGCAAACAGAGGTAGACTATTCTAAGGTAGAGTCGGAGGGACAGGAAGTGGACATAAGTCCGGAAAGAGGGTAAGTTCTGGAAAGGTGGAGCTCCAGCCTAGGGAATCAATCCCTAGGCCTGATGGATAGGACAGACTTAGCTGGACCAAAGTCTGAGAGAGGATTGGGCAGGTAGAGCAAAGTCTAAGATGATATTCAAACTAAGGAAACTACAGGAGTATCTACAGGGGTTATATACTGGAGGATATCTGAGGGGATCAGTAAGCAAAGGAGCAGGGCTATGTACGAGCATGTGGAAACACATTAGTAAGTAAGATGGAACATAACTAAATGAACTCGGAGATGAAGACTCATACAAGGATCAATCAGCAAGAAGGAACAGGAGGTAACCAAAAGCTGGAAAGGCAGAGATGTCTAAATGGGGATAGGCGCAGGATATTGGACAGAGGGTGGGAATAGGTCTGGAGTTAATATCCGGAGGTCCGGAGATCTGGGGATCCAGAAGACAAGGTGGATACAGGACCAGGATATGAGAAAGTGGATGTAGTCCGGAATCCAAGACAAGGTGAAGTCCGGATGTCTTGCTGGATGGAGTGTGCATAGGGTGGACAGGATAGGGTGGTATAGATCAGGCTAGCAGTGAGGATCCAGAGGTCCGGAGCTCAGGGGTAAATCCGGAGCAGAGTCGATCCTACTGAGGTGTGGAGCACACAGTGGAAGGGGATCTGGCAATGAGTCGGATATGGGTCTGGATGTAGGCTCGGAAGGCGTGGGAATATTATGGAAAGTGGGTCTGGATTGTGGGGTATGACATTTGCCCATTAGAGTACAGTGTAGATGTTCCACATGGCCATTTTGAGCAGAAGTATATGGTGCAGTAAATTGATGTTGAGACCCATGTGAGAGGAGCCACTCTCACATAGACTTGGATTTGAGTTCTCCATTGTCTGAGTGGTATATTCTGACCTTCAGACCAGTTTCAAGCTTGTGGGCCTGTTCCCATGCTTGAAGGGCTGGGAAGGTGTCAGATTTAGCTGCTAAGGGAACTGACCATGCATAGGACAAAAAATTGTCAATCAAGTCCATTACATATCTATTTCCTGCTGCAGACACAGTGTCTGGATGTTCCATGAGGCCTACATGCATGATGCCCAACTTCCTAGTAGCCTGATGTGACAGTCAAGTTTTCCTTGGGCTTAGATTTACTTACTTTCATTACCTTTACCTACCCCCACTTTCTTTAGCTTATGTTCGCATTTTTGCAGCTTATATAAGCATCTACCATTACATCTTACCTTTCACTCTTTACCTGTAGTTTGAGACTACCCATTTCATGATGATTTCCTCTACTCTCTGAGCTCTGAGTCTAGTACAGAAACCCTTGTGGGTCAAATAGCAGCTAGGTACAGCACTTTAGACCCAACATATTGGCTAGGTACTTTACCAAGTATCTAGCCAAGTTGTGTTACTCACACCAATCCCCCACCCAAACCTTTGGGACACTGGACCTGGTCTGTTTTCCAAGGATGCAAGTGTCACAAATTGGAGGCTCAGTAGAGAGATTGATGGGCATACCAGTTGCATTGCTGGAACATGCAAGATCATACACTGTGCGATAATTTGTGTGGCCAAGACAATGGTGCCAAGATTGTAAGGTAGGAAGACATTGAGCAAGGTAAGTGTGCTCTGCAGATAGCTGACTGGTGGAGAGTGCATGGAGTTTGTGGGAGGTGAGGGTACCAGACAACATGTGAGTACCACTGTGGGCTTGGACCCAGCAACTAGTGGCATCAAATGAGGCAATACAGCAATGGGCAGTGCAGAGTGCCAACACAGAGAGAAGACAGATAGTAGCAACAGGAATAAAGAGGACATGGTCAAGGGTAAGATGAATACCCTTGGTGATGACAAGACAAACAGTTCTGATCCTGATGGCCTGAATTGAGGGGCCACCCACACCACTAACCATATGAGGAGGGACAGGACGAAGGCTAAAGAAATCCTCCTCATTGTTGCTAATGTGGACGGAGGCACCGCTATCCAGGAAGAAGGGCACAACAGAAGGGTCTACTATGGTGCAGTGATGCTAGTTGGGTGCCTTATACATGATACCTGCAAAGTCCACTGACTTAGAGTGGTTGCACCAGTCAATACTGGTCTGTAGGGTGTCCACTGTGGCTAGGAGGGCTAAGAACTCACCATTGTCATTTGCAGATAGTTCCTGAATAAAAGCAGGGGTCATTGTATTGCATGTGAGGCCAGTGAATTTGCAAGATTCTGGAGTGGGCAAGATGCTGGTAGGTGCAGGGGAAGGAACAGAGGTGATATAAATAGCCTCACCAGACTCACTGTCGAGTAAGTAGGCACATCCACCCTGATCATACTGAACTTCTCCTGGTTTCCCAGTGGAAACAGCTCTCTTGCTGGTGGGTGTCATATCCCACAATCCGGACCCACGTTCCATCATATTCCCACGCCTTCCAAGCCTACATCTGGACCCCACTTCATATCCAGCTCATTCCCAGATCCCCTTCCACTGTGCTCCACACCTCAGCAGGATCAACTATACTCCAGATTTACCCCTGAGCTCCAAACCATTGGATCTCCACTGCTAGCCTGATCCATACCCCCCTGTCCCATCCACCCTATGCACACTCCATCCAGCAAGACATCTGGACTTCACCTCATCTCGGATTCTGGACTATATCCACCTTCTCATATTCTGGTCCTGTATCCACCTTGTCTTCTAGATCCCCAGATCTCTGGACCTATTCCCACCCTCTGTCCGATATCCTGCACCTATCCCCATTTAGGCATTCTCTGCTTTCCAGCTTTTGGTTACCTCTTCTTCCATCTTGCTTATTGATCCTTGTATGAGTCTTCATCTCTGAGTTCATTTACTTATGTTCCATCTTACTTACTAATGTGTTTCCACATGCTTGTACATAGCCCTGCTCCTTTGCTTACTGATCCCCTCAGATATTGTTCAGTATATAACCCCTGTAGATACTCCTGTAGTTCCTTAGTTTGAATATCAACTTAGACTTGCCCAATCCTCTCTCAGACTTTGGTCTACCTAAGTCTGTCCTACCCATCAGGCCTAGGGATTGATTCCCTAGGCCAGAGCTCCGCCTTTCCGGCACTTTCCCTCTTTCCGGACTTAGGTCCAATCCCTGTCTCTCCAACTCTACCTTAGGGTAGTCTACCTCTGTTTGCTTCTACATCAGACTTCATCCAATGTAGCCCCTATTCCTTCTGGACCTCTGGACCTCCTGTCCCTTGTACCTCCAGACCTCCTGTCCCTTGTACCTCCGGGCATCCTGTTCTTCAGACATTCCGTCCTCCTAACCCTCAGACATCCTATCCTCCTGTCCTTCAGACATCCTGTCCTTCTGTCCTCCATCATCCTGCCCTCCTGTCCTCCTGTCCTCTGGACCTTCAGACCTCCTATCCTTCCATCCTGTTTCCTGTAGAAGTATTACCTTGCAGTGGGAACTCTCCTGAGCACTTCCTGCATTCCTCTAGACATTTCCCATGCTCCTCCAGAAGTCCTCTAGCACTCTCCAGCAGAGTAGCCAGCCTCCAGAAGTCCTCCAGACTTCATTGGACCATCATTGGACCTCATACAAAATGAAGGGCACATACTTGGGTAAGGGGCACAGCATACAAGCTGAGGCCAAGCCCCTCTGAGTCAGTCTCTCTCCCCCTTGAGCAATATGGTTCTTAACAGTGGGCTTGCTGGTAGATCCTCCCTTACCAGCTGCTTCGCAAGCAGCACACTTACAGGCTAAGACTTTGTCCTGCTTGCCCTCCATTGTGCCACCCTTGGTGAAACAGTCCTTTGTGTAATGTCCTCACCTATGGCAGGTGGTGCAACAGAAAGCATGGCCAGTGCAGCTGCACTCAGAGCAAGTCTTAGACTGGTTGGACTGAGACTGCTATCCTCCCTTTCCAGTGGCCATCATAGCAAGGTCACCTGATCCCTTCATTTTCTCAGTGTTGATGAGCTGTTGCTCAACATCAAGTGGAGCACGAATGTTGGATGGACCATATGCATTGGTAGAAGAGCTTGTAGAAAGGGCATCCATGATATGATTCTGAATGTGAGGCAAGTCATCACTCATCACATTAAGCATCATGATGGTGAGGAAATCGTTCTCCTTGGGTAGCCTGATCACATATATGCATCAGACTAGCTTACCAAGTTGAGTACTGGTAGTGGAAAGGTGCTTGGAGTGGCAATAATGAACAGCAAGAGCCTGCTGAATCAACAGGATCTGTGCAATAGGGCCAACCTTCTCATAACAGGACTTGAGAGTGTCCCAGGCTAAGTATGTGTTGGAGTACATGCAAAGGAATTCCTGTTCTTCAGGACTGGAATGAGTGTGTAAAGTGGCAACTGATGCACAGATTGTTTAAGTTCCGATGGGCTGCACTCAAGGGGTCAACAGAGGGGTCAGGATGAGGGATGATACCAAGGATGTAGCCTCCACCATGCTTCAAGAGCAGGTAGTTCTGCATCTTATCAGACCATACTCCTTAGTTATTCTTGCTGTGGTCAAGGACTTCAATCTTTTCTAAGTCCATCTGGCTAAGCATTATGGCACTGACAGTAGGGGAGACAAGAGTTGCACTGGTAGAATTTCCAGGTGAGGCCAATCCCCCCCTTTTGTTACTGGAACTGTGTGAGCACATATGGGGACTGGCAACAGCAACTGTGGCATGATGGATGATGAAAGAGAGAAAGAGAGTTGGGAGAGGGTTTGTGTCCTGCTGTCCTACTACTTAAGGGTCTTATGTACAACACATATATAGTGACAACACAACTATACAGGATAAGACTTCTTGCCAGTCCTTAAGTACACAGTCTATGACTTTTCTAGTTTTCATGGTAGATAACATGTGAGTTCTTGGGAGGGATATGTTTCAATTATCCTCTTCTTGTTTCCTTGGTCTAAAAGCAACTAGTAGTCTGGAGTACTGCATGTGAACTTTGAATGTGTAGCACTTTGTATGCTTGTGAATTGTGTCTCCCTTCCTGAAAAAGAGAGAAGAAAGTAGTGTAGATGAAGCTTTAGCTTAGTCAGCTGTACTGTTAGTTATATAGTCAACCCCTGTAAGGTAGTATATAACCTGAATAGATGTTTCTTAGTCTTACTTCAAGGCTACTGAATGGCCTGCACTTAAATCTTAAATGTTCTCACACAGTTTGTCAAGTTTAACTTTATTTACACCAGGGTAATTGGACGAGTGTGCTCCTTAGCAGCCTCGTTCTTTGGGTCTTCCCAAAGCCCATCTTTACTAGGGCCTGTCCCTTGGTCAATTGTAGTTGATGCCCCATGCATCATGCAATATGACTAATTCATCTTGCACAATCATTATTGCCACCTCCTTTAGTGGAGCCAATGGTCTATGACTAGCAGGATGTATCGAGTTGGGGGGTCCTTACCTCTTCTCACTTGAATTTCTTGTCTTGCTAGGTACGCCATTTATATTTTGAGTAGGTTCCTCTTCTCACTTGAATTTCTTGTCTCACTAGCTATTTTGCACATTGTTTAATCCCATCGAAATCTTTCTCATGTCAGATAATGCAATCAAATCCTCCCATACTCTCTCCTCTGAGAATCACCAAGAGTTTGACCAAAACTCTGTTAAAGAATGTCTTAATCACATTGAGGACTTTAAGAAAGGCCTCACACAAAAAGGGGATGCCCTACTTGAAATACAAACCATACTTCAAAAGGCTATTGCAGAATCAGATTCCCTTACACAGCTCAACTTCAAACCTGGATTTAAGCATTTCCTTGAACTCCTTGATCACACCATTATCTCAGGTGAAGCCTCAGATCATTGGGAGGAACCTTCTCTCGAAGAACCTGAGCATCAGGAGTCCTCTGTTGTCCCCAAGGAGAGTCAGATCATTTCTAAAGAGAAAGAATTGCACACAAAGATCTGACAACAAATTCAATCTGAAGAGGCAGAAAGTGTTTTGTCCAGAGATGAGCATGAGTATGTCTTGCAAGGGAAAAGACGAAAGCTTACCCCTGATCGCCTTCAATTCTACCTGTGGCTTGAACCTGACCAATATCACCAGGTCTCCAACAAGCGAGCAGAACAACTCATGCTCGACTGTTATGAGGAGTGGTCAGAAGAGACCAAGTATTATCTAGGGCAAGTTACTTCAACTCCAGGGTGTCCAAGTTTCCCAACCTCTCAATGGACTCTCTTGCTCGACAGACATGCCCCAGATCTTGAGAAAGTCCTCTCTGGACATTACTCAACCACCATTGAGCTGAAGCAATCCCAACCTCTTGGGAAAGGATTTGAAATCACTTTATCCCAGCCTACCTCCACTCATAAAGTCAAAACTTATGGAGACTGGAGTGTTGCCACTGATCTCTGGGTTGAAGCCCTCTCCTTTATCATGCCCTGGAAAGAGTCAGAATTGTGCTCCTACAAATGCTATGTATCCAGATTCTTTGTCAATGTTCACTACAGTCTTCATTCCTGAATCATTGACTTTGACAAAGCTTGTCGGCTCAAGATCAAAGGGCAAAAATACCTCTGTTTCGATGCCATTAATGAATTCTGTCACCTTGAGATCACTCATCTCTCCTCCCTTGGAATGGTCGCTTATTCCGAGCTCCAACAACTCTCTTCTGGAGAAAGGGGTTTGGGAAAAGGTGTTGGGACAGGAAAGAAGTCACTTCGCCAAGACTCTTTCTCATGAGGTGAACCTTGCCATAACTGGAATTGTGGATCATGCAACAAGTCCACTGCTGACTGTATCCAATTCCATGTGTGCAGTAAATGCCGAGGAGGACATAAGCATGCTGAATGTCCCATGGCAAAGACAACTAAATGAATCCATTGCTTGAGGTCAGCATTTTCGGAGATGAATGATTTGGGGAGAGGAAATGAGATTGATTAGTGGAACTGCTCAATGGACTGAAACTGCAGAGCCTCTCCCATGTCCTCCTCCAGTAGAGTTCGAAAATTCTGCTGCTTTATCCACTATCACCAAGTATCCTCATCTCTTTCATATATTGACTCCTATAAACGTTGATTGATTTGAAACACTCTTATCTCTTGCCCAACATCCTAACCCTCCTTTTGTTCGGTCTGTCTGTCAGGGTCTCCATGAAGGTTTTTGGCCCTGGGCCAATACCCAGTATGGAGTCTACCCTACTACTTGGGATATTTCTTCTCCTACTCCATCCTCCAAGGTGGAACATCTTTTCTTGCAAGACCAGATCTTGAAGGAAGAGTCTGTAGGAAGATACTCCCCTAATTTTGGTCCAGACCTTCTCCCAGGGATGTATAGTATGCCAATCCACACCATACCCAAAGAAGGGGGAAAGTTTTGTCTAGTGACCAATCATAGTGCTAGTGAGTTCTCTTTGAACTCAATGATCGACAAAGAGGACATTGCTGGAGTTACCCTCAATAACATCCAGGACTTAGGAGACACTATTAGAGATTATTGGTGAAATCATCCCAATGACCTCCTCCATATTTGGAAGGCTGATGTCTCTGAGGCTTACCAGTATATGCCAATGCATCCTTTGTGGCAAATCAAGCAAGTCATCTCTTTCAATGGCAAAAGACGAGTTGACCGAGCTAATGTGTTTGGTGGGAGAGCTTCACAATGTATCTTTCATGCCTTCATGTCTCTGGTGATATGGCTTGCTGTCTTTGTACAACTCATTCAAGCCTTCATCTATGTGGATGACTCTTTCTCTTTCACCAAAGTTGGCAACATGGCATACTATGTCAAGTACCGCAAGATGCTACCTATGGATATGGTTGCTCTCCTTCTTCTTTGGGACGAACTTGGAATCCCTCATGAAGAATGGAAGCAGATTTTCGGGTCACCTCTGCCTGTTATTGGCTTTGAGGTTGACCCAAATTTGATGAAGATAACCCTCAAGGAGGAATCTAAGAGACAATTAGTTCAGGAGTTGTGGAATTTTGCAAGGTATAAGCAAAGAAGGTCACTTCAAGACTTCGAACATATTGCCAGATCACTTAACTGGGCATTGAATGTCTGCCCACTCTTATGGCCTGGCCTTTCGGCTGTCTATGCGAAGACCAAGGGAAAGACTAATTCTAAAGGTATGATCTGGCTTAATCAAAGCATTGTTGAAGAGCTACTTTGAGCAGCATTTCATTTGGAATGATTGGATGGTATTTTCCTTTTGAAATCTGTCTCCTGGCAATTTCGACCTCTTGCTCCCGATATACTCCAAGTTTACTGTGACACCTCTGGTTCTGGGATGGGTTACTGGTACCCATCCCTTAATCTTGGCTTCCAATCCAACCTCCCATCCCATTTGCCTGTCCAAGACATATTCTTCCATGAAGCTCTATGTGTTGGTTCAGCAATTCATGATGCCATCACTCAGCTTCCTTGGAATGGTCGATTTGTGGTGTTTACTGATTGTTAAGAACCATGTTGCTCAAGGGAGAGAGAGACTGACTCAGAGGGGCTTGGCCTCAGCTCATACGCTGTGCCCCTTACCCAAGTATGTGCCCTTCATTTTGTATGAGGTCCGATGATGGTCTGATGAAGTCCAGAGGACTTCCAGAGGCTGGCTACTCTGCTGGAGAGCGCTAGAGGACTTCTGGAGGAGCGCGGGAAATATCCAGAGGTGCACAGGAGAGTTCCCACTGCAAGGTAATACTTCTACAGGAACAGGATGAAAGGATAGGAGGTACAAAGGACAGGATGTCCAGAGGTACAAAGGGCAGGATGTCCGAAGGACAGGAGGATGGGATGTCTGAGGGCTAGGAGGACAGAACGTCCAAAGGTATGGAGGGCAGAACATCCAAAGGTATGGAGGGCAGAACGTCCGAAGGACAGGATGCCCAGAGGTATGAGGGACAGGAGGTCCAGAGGTCCAGAAGGAATAGGGGCTACATCAGATGAAGTCCAATGTAGAAACAAGCAGGGGTAGACTACCCTAAGGTAGAGTTGGAGGGACAGGGATTGGACCTAAGTCCGGAAAGAGGGTAAGTGCCAGAAGGGCGGAACTCCAGCCTAGGGAATCAATCCCTAGGCCTGATGGGTAGGACAGACTTAGGTGGACCAAAGTCTGAGAGAGGATTGGGCAAGTCTAAGTCAATATTCAAACTAAGGAACTACAGGAGTATCTACAGGGGTTATATACTGAACAATATCTGAGGGGATCAGTAAGCAAAGGAGCAAGGCTATGTATGAGCATGTGGAAACACATTAGTAAGTAAGACAGAACATAACTAAATGAACTTGGAGATGAAGACTTGTACAAGGATCAATAAGCAAGACAGAACAAGAGGTAACCAAAAGCTGGAAAGGCAGAGATGCCTAAATGGGGATAGGCACAGGATATCAGACAGAGGGTGGGAATAGGTCCGGAGTTAATATCCAGAGGTCCAGAGATCTGGGGATCCAGAAGACAAGGTGGATACAGGACCAGGATATGAGAAGGTGGATATAGTCCAGAATCCAAGACAAGGTGAAGTCTGGATGTCTTGCTGGATGGAGTGTGCATAGGGTGGACAGGATAGGGTGATATGGATCAGGCTAGCAGTGAGGATCCAGAGGTCCAGAGCTCAGAGGTAAATCCAGAGCAGAGTTGATTCTACTGAGGTGTGGAGCACACAGCGGAAGGGGATCTGGCAATGAGTTGGATATGGGGTCCAGATGTAGGCTCAGAAGGCGTGGGAATATTATGGAAAGTGGGTCTGGATTGTGGGATATGACAATATACCTAGACACACATCAATCTATCAAGATATTGTTAGTGTCTAGGTGGTGTGTAAGTGATAACGGAACATACCCTCAGTCTTGTGTAAGTGACTGAGGGAAAAGGGAAAACACAGAGAAACAAGTATATATATGCGTCCATGTTGGAATTCCAACCACTCTGCTGCAACTCTCTCCCACAGCTGAAATAACCCCTATTGAGGATCTTGATAGACTGCAAGTGATATCTTGAGTAATTACCAGGGTTGTTTAATAGGGTTGAGGTCTGAGGACTGGACTTGCCATGATAGAACACTGATACCATAGTTTTCAAACCATTTTATGATTAACTTGAAGTATGCTTAGGGTCATTGTCTTGTTAGAAGGTAATGTTTTCTTTGTTAATTCTTGATTCTTGCATGCTTCTGAGCAGATACTTTTCCAAAATTGAAATGTGCTGCTTCACATTCATCCTCCCCCCCACCTTACAGAGAATTCCTACTCCATTCCACCTCATACAACACCATACAATCAAGTTTCCTACTCCATACTTTAGTGTTTTCTTGACCTTTCTTTCTTCTAGTAGTTCTTCTGCATTTCATTACATATATTCCTGGCCATCTGGCCCCATCCTATTGATTTTTGTCTCATGTGACCAGGTAGCCCTATTCCAGTCCTCAACAGTCCAATATTGAGGCTTTAAAGCAAAGACTAATCTTCTTCCTATATAGGCTGAAGACAGGAAAGGCTTTTCTGCCTGTTTACAGCTTTAAGATTGGCTGCCTTAAGAGTACCCCTGACTATTTGAGTGGAGAGAGTAGTGTAGATGATGTAATTAATGAATTTGGTGGCTTGAGTAGCATTGGCAGCCTGCCTAGTTGGAATATTATGAACAAGAGATTTTTTGTTATATGATGTAAGCTTGAAAGGACAATCTAATTTGATATTTTTCTTGTCTGGAATGACTTTTTTATGATCCTAATGATAGCAACCCTGCTCAGACCAGTTTTAGTAGCAATCTGCCTGGTATACAGATTAGAAAAGCTAATGATGATAACAATAGGGGCTATTTCAGCTGTGGGAGAGAGTTGCAGCAGAGTGGGGCAAGATTGTTGATGAGGAATGCCTCAAATTGATAGATAGTATGCATAGAAGAGTGGCAGAAGTAATTAGAGCAACAGGAGGAAACACCAAGTACCAGAATTATAGAGATTGTGTTGGTCAAACTGAAAGTCAAAAAAAGTGTCTCAATGAGTCACCAAATTAAATTAACCATATCTTCACTTGATGCCATAATTTTCTCATGCTAGAGGGATCAAACATAAAGCTTAGAAGCAGAGCTTTTCCACACCTCCCTATGGCTTAGTCATACTCTCACACACTAGCTCATAATACAGCAATTACACAAAAAATCACAAATATTGAGACACTTTTCTGAGCCACTGTAAGTCTCACTTGTTTCCCAGCTGAGTATGCAAGGTCACCTTGATGGTGGAATTTCTGTCCTCATTTGATGTGCTGGGTCTGAAGCAGTTGCTTCACCTGAAAATCTTCCCATCAACCTCTACATTACACCTCATGAACTACAAGAAACTCCTGAGTAAATTGGTAGAGACCTTGCCATCTAGGTGCAGGTCTTTGCCCAGGAGTTTGCAATGCCACATCTTGAGCAGTTCAATCAATGCTGTGTCATCAAAAATATTCAACCATCACCATGCTGTAAGTAGTAGATCATTTTTGGCTTCACTGTTCACACAACTGACTCAAACCAACAGTTGCTGCAGCTCATGTCCATGTCAAAGGCCCGCAGTATCTACCTGGCCCAGTGGTTGCTACTGGAGCACATATGCAATGCTCTGCTCAACTGGCCCACACCTTCACAAAAGAATTGAAAGCAACTGCAGCACACAATGCTCCACCTGCAGGTATCCACAGGGGTGCTGAAATGGGCAAAGGTCTTGGCAAGAAAATTTCACCACAGCTGATCACCCAACACACACAAGTTCACCAACATAGGCATGCAGAAGTTTTCACACCTGGCAAGGTAATCAGTGATGGCCTAATTTTTTTGGTACCAAGACTGGAGCAGGATACTGCATTTTTTACCAGTGGACCACCACTCATTAGTATTGGACTGAATACTGACACTGCTCTGGATTTGATTAAGTTGGGGGATGAAGTCTTACCTAAGCTTTGTGTTCTAGTTCAAACTGTGCATAGCAGCTGATGGGAGGCAGTGTTCAGGTCTCCGAAGTGGGATCTCTCATATAAACATGCTTCCATTCTGTCTAGGACACTTCTGGCTGGCTTCAGGGCATGCTACCCAGCCCTGATGTTGTAAAGGTCAGTGATACTTATGTTGACTGCTGCTATCATACTAACTTAATTGAATGACCATAGCAGCTGTCATCTGTCCTCATGTCCATTCTGAAGCTTATTGGTATATTGATTTTCTTATGCAGCCTGTACTTTGTCGGCATCTTATTATTTTGGCTGTAGATCACTTTCCCCTTTTGAGTTTTAGTTATGAGCCATTTGTCCTGTTTTTTTGCCATGGCTTAGAAAAAATAAATGCATTGGTGTATAAAAAATATTCAACTTCAACTACAAAAGCTGTTTGCTGATTTTTGCCATCCCTCTGTGGGTGATGGTCTCCCAGTCCTTCTATGCTGCAAAGTGCATGAAATGCATTCAAGCACAACCTTGTAGTCATCCTAAGGTCACCCTCAGCAAAGAAGCTCACACAGCACTCAAGTTTCAATGAACCAAGAAGTCGCGTCAATTCAAGGATGTGCTTGGTGTTGCATGGGGCCAAATTGACAATGTTACAGCAACCATTGCTGCTACCCATCACAAGAGCTTCCATCATGTACAGCACAATTTATACATGGGTCAGGGATCACTCCATTCAAAGCATTCAAAGCCCAGCATTTGGAACACATTTTGCTGGAAGAAATCTCAGGAAGTGAAGAAAGAAAACTGTAAGTCTGCTGATTTATATCATATGCATTTTCATGACTTGATGTTGAATTAACAGGCAATGGCCATGGAAAGGAAGCACTCCAGTCACTGGTCTGCAACCACAAGGATGAATACCATGCTCTCACACAGGAAGAACAACAAGAGTTGCTCCAGGAATTTGCTGACCAGAAGGAGACCAAGGTCTCTGGGTTACATGTCTCAATGAAGTCAAAGGTTAACAACATAACTCAAATCCTGAAGGCAGCAGAAAATGAGGTATGCACCCTTTAATTGCAATACAATGTTACTAAGTGTCTCTCATTACTAGCTCAATAGTTTAAACTCTCACACTGGTGCCAAGATCATGTTGTATATGACACATGGTACTACTGATTTACCTCTCCACACAATCACCTTCACAACACCAGGTGTCAATCACTTTATGGACTCTGTCATCGGCATTGATACTCAGGACTTTCTCAGCAAAATGGAAGGGTTCACAACCCAAGGGATACAAGGTTCCACAAGCAACCATCAAAAAGAGGTTTCTAAGCTTCACAGAGACATTTGGGCAATCATCACTCAGAAATTGAGTAAGTTTTTCCCCTCTTTTGATGGCACACAATTCATTTTATTCATAGGGAAGGTGACCAGAGAAAGCAATGCCAGGATGCAGTGGGTAGATTATTTTCATAATGTGGTCAACAGCTATCAGGTCACCATCAAAGGATGGCCAGAGCATATCACATTTACAAACCTTAGTAATGCAACCAACACACTTCTGGACCTCCAAATTCTTTGAGACAGTTGGAAGTCAGGTGATACAAAGTGGAAAGTCTTGGACGACAAGGAACTTGAGCAACTCCATCACAAGCACAATGAAAAAATTGACAGTGGTGAAATTATCAAGTCTTGCAGAAGGACATGATCTGACAAGGGTAAGAAATGAATGTGATAGCTGACCCCAAGTCTCACAAGAAGCACAAGAGTGCAGAGACCATCAAGTCCAGTGATGACAAAGACAACCAGAGTCATGGACAGACACCAGATGCTTCAGGGGATATTACTGACAATAATGTTCCTGCACTATAACTCATTTCATAATGGTATTGCTCATGGTAGACTTGGTTGAATCTTAAAAAAGTGCAATGACATATCAGTTTGATCTACACATCACAGTGCAAGTAGAGTGCAATAAGGTGTGACAAAGTGAGAACAATGAAGGCACAAAGGAGGAGGAGGACAAAGGCACGAGGGAGGAGGAGGACAAAGGCACAGATGAGGATGGCAACAAATGAAAGAGGAGAATGACAAAGGCACAAAGGAGGAGAATGACAAAGGCACAAGGGAGGAGGATGACAAAGGCACAAAGGAGGAGGAGAATGATGAAGGCACAAGGGAGGAGGACAACAAAGGAGGGAGGAGGACAATGAAAGCACAAGGGAAGAGGACAATGACAAAGGCACAAAGGAAGAGGAGAACGACAAAGGCAAGAGGGAGGAGGATGACAAAGGCATGAGGGAGGAGGACAACAAAGGCATGAGGGAGGACAACAATGAAAGCACAAGGGAGGAGGACAATGAAAGCACAAGGGAGGAAGACAACAAAGGCACAAAGGAGGAGGAGAACAACAAAGGCAAGAGGGAGGCGTGAAATGGCAGGGACAATGAGCACAATGAGCATGAAATGGTGGGAGCTAGGAAGCATGAGAAGCCCCTGGGTTTGAATTGGGAAGCATAGCTGGCATTGCCAAGGGTGCTGAATTAAAATAGGAATGACACAATGAGGTGGGGCAGGATGCTTACCAAATATAGCCTATATGTGCACACCCCCACCATAATGAGGTGTATTGTTTTTTTTGAAGGTATCTTTGTGAGCTGGGGCACTATTTAATGCTGGTGTAGGGATTTGATGAAACCAAGCCCAATTATAGTTGGCGAGACACGTAATTACCAAGTATAATAAGGCTTATAAATTGGGCAACCCAGGTGTGTCAATGACAAGTTTCATGTGACACTACTTGACATAGCTTGACTACACTCTCATACATTATTGTTGTCAATTATTAAAATTATAATACATCAGTCATGTATATCACAGTACTTATCATCATTCTAGCACTTAGAAACAATTATTTTGGAGGTATGTGGTGTACAGGGGGACGATTAACATTTGCTGTGTCAACCAGTGGTTGTACACTGTAGTATTATTTCGAGTAGAATTTCAGTCAATTTAATTATCTCAAAGTCTTCATTAAGTCTATACTACAGATTGCAGGAATCCCATTAATGTAAGGATGCACGCTACTAGGAGTTTTACTACTACTGATATGTCTGAGGTCGCATTTGAGCTCCATCTGCCGGAAGGAGGAGGATGCCGAACCAACACTGACTCTTAGTAATACTATCATTCCAGGTAATCTGCAACATTTTCAGCAAATCTTTTGTAGCTTGTCAATCACTTCATATTATCTTCCATGAATTTAGAGTGTTGTAGATTTGTACCGCCTCTATATAGATCTTATTTTTGCTCATTTTTAGGATTTTGTGGTGTGGTGTCAGGTGAAAGCCGAGAAAATTCAGGGTCTGACTGCTAATCTGCAAAATATGGTCACGTTGAGTCACACCTCGGCATAGCACCGGCACAGTCAACTTTGACTCTCCGCACTGCGCTCTCGATCTGTTGGCGTTGAGTCGTCAAACTGGAAGCTTGAAACTTAATGCTCTGATAAATAATGAATACAGCAATATATTATCATCAAGTATCGTGATTCATGTAATTATTGTGAGTGTACTGGTGATACGGTCCTGAATAAGGTTCTTGGTCTTCTCCTCTCTGATAGCCTGAATAGCAGCAGTGAAGTTGGCTTCGCGAATCACATCTTCTTCAGCTTTCTTCTGACTGGTAGTATGCCTGTGGTTTGGTGCCATTGTAACAAGGATGTGAGAATGATGCAAGAGGAGACAACAATATTTGCAAGACTTCGTGCACTTGCTGAGTGTGCCATAGAGGAGATTGAATTTGTTACACACTCTCCTATCTACTGTCACATTTTCATACATGTCGTCAATTCTTCTTCTATAGCATCTTAAAATGACAGGATGAGCTTTATCGAAATTGTGTTCTGTAATCCTGACGAGGTGATTGTTGTGCTCCAGGTATAACTTCAGGAATATACCTGCAGGATCTATGGGATCTGGATAATTTATGTTCCTGCATGGTTACAAATTACCACTATTTCATCCCTCGCAGCTGCAACACGCAAGAAATTTTCATTCTACTTGTACAGTACATCATATATAAGTAGTCTACATATGCATGAATTTTTTTGAAGTGAGTTGAGCAGTGCGTTGAGGTGTTTTGAACATTTTGCATATTACATGCATGTTGCAGATTACCCGGAATGATAGTAGTGATCATGTCATCAAAATCAACGTTCTGACAAACGCGTGACGTGGTTACCCCCTTTCACAAAGCAAGTATGCAACCGCTCGATAATCAAATCTGCCGCAGACACTGCGTAACATCTCGGCCAGCTCATCATTCAAGTTGCGTACTTCCTAGGCGGCTATAAAGACCACTCCAGCTTCCTGCGGTCTATCGTCAATCCAAGATCTCACAACCTTTCATCAGAATGTCTATTCGAGCCACTACGTCTCTCGGCGGTACTGCATCTAACGTCACTGTCGGTAAAGTAGCTGTATGTATGTTGGTCTTTATCCTGTTTTTTTCACTGACCTTCCCCTCTTAGCATGGATTGATGATGATGACGTGTGTTTTCTTTTGACATCGTTGGATTAAGTTCACATAGATCATGCAGATGGACGCCCGAGCCGGTCCCAGATGAACAGTGTTTTGAAGCCATTAAGGCTGGCGTGGACGCTCTTCCTCCCGGAACAAAGATGTTCCTCAACGGAGGTGGGCAAAAGTCCCCGACATAGGACATATGTGCTAACTTCAGCCATAGGAGAATTCTACGGGCACGACTTAACGACGACGAACCTCGAGATGATCGCCCGGTTCTTCGAAAAATACCCCGACTACGTAGACAAGACTTTCTTGTCCATCAAGGTACGGTCTATCCCAGCTTCCGCCTTATTGTGATTAACTCCATGTGTTTCAGGGAGGGATAAAACGTGGTGGAGTACCAGTGCCCGATAGCTCGTAAGTTTTGGTTGCACATCATTATAATAAGATGCTATGTTGCCCGTCAGGCCCGCCAACTTGAGACGAAGCGTCGAGCTCATCAATGAGAAGCTTCGCGGCACTAAGCGCCTTGATTTGTTCCAGAGTGCACGTGTAGACCCCAATGTCCCTTTGGAAGAATCGATCAGGGCCCTCGTGGAACTCAAGAACGAGGGTAAACTAGATCATATTGGCATGTCTGAATGCAGCGCTGACTCTCTACGGCGTGGTAATGCTGTGCGTGGATAGTATGACTGTCTTTGCAAGACATTTGCTCAATATATTCCAGATACACCCCATTACTGCTGTCGAGATTGAGGTAAGCCCATGGGAATACGCAGAGGAGGCCAAGAAAGGTACGTCATCATACATCATGTTCCGTTGGAGTAACTCATCTTTCTCTCAGTCATTGCCACTGCCGAAGAGCTAGGTATTGCTGTTATTGCGTACTCGTGCGTGTCATACTAGCAAACGTCTGTCCTGACCTGACATACAATCCTTGAATCGTCTTTAGCCCGCTTGGCCGTGGGTTTTTGACTGGTCAAATCAAGAGGCCTGAGGACATTCCGGGTAATACCATCGGACCATCACATTTATCTGCCATACTTACCATATTTGCCAGAGGGAGATTTCCGCCGCTCAATGCCTCGTTTCCAGGAAGATGTAAGTTCTCCGACATGCACTTGATCATTACCTCATCATAGGTTTACAGAACTTCAAACACAACTTTGCCATTGTCGATGCGTTGACTGCGATTGCAAGGAGCAAGAATGTAACTTCTGCTCAACTCAGCATTGCTTGGGTTGCATCGTTGGGCAAGCACGTCATCCCTTTGCCAGGTTCCTCGTGAGTCCCTGTCCAGACATGTGATTGGTATGGGTCTTGACATTGGTACAGGCATGCAAAGCGCACTCGAGAGAATTGTGCTGGAGGAGATGTCGAGCTGTCTACTGAAGATGTCACAGAAATCAACAGTGTTATCAACGCTGCCGAGATCAGAGGTGGCAGGTATGGCCACGAAGCATACCTCTGGGGTTAGACGGCTTCTTGATCCTACTTGGACTATTCAAGTTGTACTTTTATTTGCCTTTGGACCGTTTGACTTCAAACAAATCATTTCGTTTCTTGAACGTAGCGTACCTCAGATCGTCATGCCTTTACTCCTGGCAAGAGGAATCTGCGTGTACAAAATTTGTGACCTGATCATGTGTATGAAGCCTTGTCGTGAGCAGTATAACCAGCGATCATACGATGGGCCTGGGCTCCTTGGCTGAGCACTATTACATATTCGAACTCCACGAGCGACTAGCCTGCTTTCCCTTAGACTTGCACAAGCACATCCTCAACCTCTCATTAATATGCCTCGCCCTGAAGCGTTGTTTTTACATGGAGTCGCTGTGGGCGTGATGACATACGGTTTTATTAGCCTCAGAACACTACCCATGGATGGCTGGATTCGAGCACAGAAGGGAGGGCACTTTCAATTTCTGACTATACAAGGGTGAGTGCTGCCTACCCTGGACCTTCTCCGAGAGAAGCTGAATCCAGTTCGTGGCAAGGCTAGCTGTCGCTTGGTTTACCATGGTCCTAAACCTTGGCTGTGATTTGCTGCCTTCATTCGCCGGTAAGAGCGACAGTCAAGTAGCTCTCCCTACTTGGATTTATGACCCATTCTCTAGCCCTTCGCGCAGTCAAGCGTGCTTCCCTCATGATGGCTCTTCCTGTAACTCTTTTTACCCCTCTGATGGTGTTGTTCGCTGATGAATCCATCCCAGCTCACATTTGTGATATCCGCAGTGTACTGGTCACTCCTGTTGTTTTTCCCATCATTGATTCTACAACGCCAGCTTCCGGGACTATCTGAGCCATCTTCTTCGTCGACCCTCCCTGCACTGGCACGGATTCCTCTTGACATAGATTTCTCTCTCCATCTCGCTCCTGTTGTCACCCTCCTTGCAGACTTTGTTTTCTTCGAGAAGAAATATACCAAAAAGCAAGTTCAAATCGGCTCACCACTCGCCGTCCTCGCCTGTGGAACATGGTATGCCTGCTGGGTAGAATATTGCGCTAGTTATAATCATACATGTGAGCATATGCATTTTCCTTTGGTTGCATGTTACTGAAACACCTCGATGTCCAGTCCCATACCCTTTCCTGACAGAGAACCCATTTAACATCCGCGTTGGCATTTATATATTCGTGTCCTTCCTTGCTTGGAGCTGTTTCCGCCTCATGAACGCGCTCCATCCTTAGAGGGTTATACCATCCTTATACCTTCGTGTAGAGCTGGGTGTTAACAACAGAACGTCAATGTTCCACATAATAGGCGGGGCTCAGTACGGTAGATTGTCGAAATGTGATAATAGTGCACATCTTGTTATGAGCAGTATAAACCGTTGGTGAACCCAACGGGAAGTTTGTCCGTTTTTCCTCGTTGTTTTAGAACCAATATATTTCGGAAGTATAACATTACCTAGGACATTGCACACAGGTATTACAATGTAAGGTGTTCGATCTCACCACGATACGCCAACGGGAATCTTGTTCTTTACTACTGGTGTATATTTGATGATTGAATATCGAGAGGATTGATGGTGGACCTTTAGATGGCACCAGTGCGCAGTTCTTTGGCTAGAGGTTAGTTGTGGCTTAGGATTGCTGAAACGTTGATGCCTCACCATGGTGCTCTTGTCCTACTTTCCTATCACCCCCGTAGTGTCAGTTGAACCACGAGCATACTCCGTTAGCACCAGAACGACACTCTGTCTTTGCGCAGACCCAGAGAAGAGATTTGCTGAGCCGTGTAGTGTTGTTTGATTTTTCCCGGCCACTATCATACCCTGTAGTAGGGCCTTCTGTCGTTTCCATGATATTCTCTGCACGATGAATGACCATATGCTGCAGGTCCCAAAGGGCTAGTCTTGGATCACCCAGTAATTAGTGGGTATAGGTAATCATTCTCGATGCCCGATTGAAAATGCTTAGCAAAATCGAATCAACGTTCTGCATTCCTCCAAGAATAAACGGTAGTCCCAGAGATTATAACAAGAAGCGCCATCAGAATGGGCAAGGTAGTATGCGCTTCCTTGGATGTTGATTGAAATCATTATTGACTACAGCATCTCCACTGAGAGTGTTGCCTTATTAATGATTGAGTCAGAATTTTAGAATGTCAACCAACTTGATGTCAATTTTGCCTACCAAATGACGGTACGTCCGGCAACTCCAGTAACAATGTTTGACTGATGCATGGCTGATATGAGGCCCTAGTGTCTGGACAATCTGGGAACAGTGTAATGTGTATGCGAACTGCACGCACTTGATACCCCACACTCGATGAAGAGGGTTACCAGGGTCGAGAGTGATGCTGAACAACACGTTAAAGCTGCCATATGAAGTAATCGTGCCGACATGTCTAAGGTCCCGTATTCCCTCGTTCTGACACTCCTCTCGGAGAATATTGTCGTCCAACACTGGACACCATAGAGGATAGCCGAAGTAGCTGAAGCCTCCTGAAAGTAAAATTCTTGCATAAGCTTGGCTCTCGTCTTGATGTCAATCGCTGGGGAAGATCTTAGTTGTTGATCATCGAGATCACGATACTAAGACAAATGAGATTCAGGCAGCTGCCACATCGTGGTTCCCACGAAGCGATTAACCGTATGTTTTTCGGACTCCATGCCATTGTCGATGTCTCAGACGTGCCGACGAGGATAATGAGGTATTAATCTTGAGTCATGATGAGCCAGCCTGTCGACAGCACTGAGCATGATGGGAACTGGCAAGGTTTGAAGATCTATTATTACCTAAGCATCAATTTTCTGAATTATCTTATCTGGTCGAGTCACTAGGAACTGCCAAAATGACAGAGATCGAGGTGTTTTATCGTTGCCCTCTCCAAAATGTGCGGCATACTTGCAGTCCATGGTATCGAAAACCCAGCAGCCGAGCGCACTCGATTTTTAGCTCTCTCAAAACGTCTTCGTCACCGTGGGCCTGACTGGTCTGGGTGTTTTGTCGGAAAGGAAAGTATACTTCTTCACGAACGCCTTGCTATTGTTGGTGTTGGTGCGTGACTTATCATCTATTCTATTATTGATCTTGACCCATTGTGGGTTAAGACACCGGTGCCCAACCCCTCGTCAGCGAGGACGGTCAGGTCATACTCGCTGTCAACGGTGAAATTTATAACCATCTAGCACTTCGTGCGACTCTCAGCTCAATTGCCAAGTTTAAGACACACTCTGATTGCGAGGTCATTATTCCTCTGGTATGTTATTCTATGCATCCGCCTGTAACAATTACTGATGGTCTGCAGTACAAAAAACATGACAAGGATCTTTGCAGTATGCTCGACGGGATGTTTTCATTCGTACTTTTGGATGAGTCTGTGACTCCTACTAGAGTGATTGCCTCCCGTGACCCCATTGGGATCACAACATTATACCAAGGATGGAGCTCGAAGCACCCTGGTGCAACGTATTTTTCCTCAGAGTTAAAAGCTCTCGTCGATGAATGCGACACGATTATTTCATTCCCCCCTGGTCATGTCTACGACAGCCGCGACAAGTCCACGACACGTTATTTCCAGCCATCCTGGTGGGATGGAGATGCAGAAACGAATCCTGTGCTCCCGATCACACCTGTAGATTACACCCTTCTCCGGGAAACCCTGGAAGCTGCAGTGCGCAAGCGGCTAATGTCCGAAGTGCCTTATGGTGTTCTCCTTAGTGGTGGACTGGACAGTAGCTTGATCGCTTCTATAGCTGCAAGGGAGACAGAAAAAGTTGCTCGGGCTCAGTACGAAGCTCGGCAGCGTAAGCTCGCTGAGTCCACCAGTGGCCCCCCAACACCAAGGATGGATGACCTGACACAGCAGGGTAGGCATACTGAATTTCGCTCCTCATTTTCACACTGAAAATCACCACAGCTATGTTGGCTTCTTGGCCACAATTGCATTCATTCTCAATCGGACTGGAGAACTCGCCTGATCTGCTTGCTGCCAGGAAAGCAGCACATTTCTTGGGTACCGTGCACCACGAATATGTTTTCACAGTCCAGGAGGGCCTGGACGCCATCCCGGACGTCATTTATCACCTTGAGACCTATGATGTGACAACTGTTCGTGCAAGCACACCGATGTACCTCCTCAGCCGGAAAATCAAGGCGATGGGTGTTAAGATGGTTCTCAGCGGGGAGGGTAGCGATGAAATTCTTGGCGGTAAGATGCCTTGAATTCGCCACCGCGAGCTTGATTAACATGCTGTTTAGGCTATCTGTATTTCCATGCTGCTCCAGATAGTAACTCTTTCCATCAGGAATGTGTTCGGCGCGTCAAGAATCTTCACACTGCTGACTGCCTGCGCGCCAACAAGTGAGTTTTGAGGATCCCACTTTTCCTCGGATCACTGACGGATCCGCGCATAGGTCAACAATGGCCTGGGGCTTGGAAGCTCGGGTACCTTTCCTCGACAAGGCCTTTTTAGAAGTCGCCATGAACATCGACGCGAAGGAAAAGATGTTTAGGAAGGACTTAAACCAAGCGGTTGACGAAGATGGTCGTCCGAAGATGGAGAAGGTCAGCTGGCCCACTGAGTATTCACGGACATTCATGCTTCATCGGTTTCTCACAGTACATTCTTCGGAAAGCATTTGACTGTAGGCCAGAGGGCACGGTCTGTCGATCCCGATAATTTCCACACTTGCCCTGCTCATCCTCAAACTTCAGGCTTATCTCCCAAAGTCTATCCTATGGCGCCAAAAGGAGCAGTTCTCAGACGGTGTTGGATATTCTTGGATAGACGGGTTAGCCTACACCTTTTTCCCATCGGCAGCGAGACACACAGGCTGACGGACTTCGATCACAGCATCAAGGATAACGCCGCTGCCTTTGTTTCTGATAAAGATTTCGCTAAGCGTACAGAGCGCTGGCCGGTCGATACCCCAGATACAAAAGAAGCCTATTATATTCGAGAAATATTCGATGGTGAGCGATATCTGGAAATAAACCGCTCCGAAGCACGTGTCCTCATGTTCGTCAGGTCTTTTCCCCTCTGAGGCCGCAGCGAGGACTGCAGTACGGTAAGTTTAAGTTAACTCCCTTTTGAGGGGTGTTTTCTGATTTCTATCGGACCAGCTGGATACCACGAGGCGACTGGGGATGTTCCTTGGACCCAAGCGGGCGTAGCGTCAGTATTCACAACGCGGCGTACGAAACAGACTAAATCGATCAAAATGGTGTCATACAATCGATAGCGAAGAAGCACGATTAAAACTGTATATAGAGTGGTGACTGCATCGTAGTAGCTCTAGACCCTGAGAGCATAGGGGAGCACATCTTAAGTACTTTAGATGAAATCAGGGATGATTGAATGACTGTCAATTGTTCGATGTTTGTGTTCCAAATAGAGAATGTGATAAAAATTGAAGGAGCATGAGGGAAGAACAACGAGAGTGATAAGGAATCATCAAATAATTGGGTACCGACTCTGACATAGCAGGAGTAAAACTCGGAGGTGAGACGCAAGAGCAAGATGAACGATGAATGAATGTGTGTCGGCTGCGCGATGAGGGTAAGGAAGTAATAAAGTAAGAGAGTGCAATATGCGATGATGAACGCCGTGAATGATTGTAGTGAAGATGGATGGACGAGGAAAGCTAGCGGAAATCTAGGCCTGATTGACGAAGGTCAGGCTACGTGATCAATGATGGATCCTGGGCCACTATTTGGCGGTACAAGCCCACTCCCGAGTCTTCAGATCCAACAGGAGAGACTTGCGGTTTGGTGGTGGTGGAAGTTGCGCGGACAGCTGCACTCGTTTGGGAGGTCTGACGTGACCGCTTCATGCCAGGAGCATGCAGATTGCCGCGTGTGCTCATATCCCAAGCGGGTCGCGTGACGGTAGCCTTCATAGAATGACTGTCTTCTGAAGCATTCACACGTGTGCGCGTGCTGGGCGTTGTTTGCGTTCGCCGGCTCATGGGGCGTGTAGAATGAGAGGCATGGTCTCCCGAAGCTAGACGAGTCCCAAACTTAGCGTTTGCAGAGGACTCCCTGCTATAGGAGGACGTGCCGCCTGGAGATACACGACGTGTTGAACCAACGACGCCGTGTTGCTTGGGCTTGAGGACAGGTTTCTGGAGGGTGATCTTGTCTGCACCCCAGTATGAAAAGCTCATTTTGCTCTTCTTGTCCGAGTCGTCTGATTCTCCCTCGCCATCTTCATCATCGTCAGGGAGAGGCACGATCTTAGGTTGCGCAGCAGACCGTGCTTCTGCTTTGGAGCGTACAACGCTGCAAACCGCTGAGCAGACATCAGTGATAGGAGCACAAAATACATACTCTTCCATCGAGACAACCCCTTCCTTGGGCTGGACGACATCTCCAATCGCCCAAGTCTCGATCTATGCCAGAGTAAGAACAAGTCGAACAGCGTCATCGGTGCTTTACCTTTAGAAAC